ATAGGGGATTATATCGCTTCTATATATACTAACTATAAGAATAATTATAATAATTATATTAAGCATGTTAATTAGAACTAATCGATTTGCTTAACATGCTTAGTGTATTTATTCTAATTAGAAGTTCGGAGGTCCGTGCTTCTTTAATTAGAATAATTATATAATTAGGTCGCTCTCCGAGCGATCCTATTCTTTCCGCTTTGCCCTATTATTACGTATAACTAAAACATATTAGCTATATAGGCTCTCCTATACTAGTCGTTACCTATAGATATTCCTATACGGGAATGTTACTACGGGAGACCCCGCGGAGACATTCCGTAATAAGCCGCTACGCCTTTAGAGGATATACCGTTACCGGCTTATTATAACGTAACGGAAGTAAGTATAGTATTACCTCTATAAGCTTATAATAACGACCTAGAGTATTAAGTAGAAGTAACGTTAAACTATCCGTAGTTACGATAACTATAGCCCTTAATATCCTCTTTATAAGCCGTATTATATCGATTAGTACTTACTTAATAAAGAAGCGATTAAAACGAAGCGTAAGGGGCCCCCCTTTATACCTCCGCCCTCGGAGCCTCCGCCCTTATATATCCGCCTTTAGAACCTCCTTTACTACCTCCTCTAGTAGTTCCTTTATCTCTAGCCGCCCCTATAACGCCCTTATATTATTAAACATTCTATATAGAGAGTCCGCTAGATACTTAATGCTTTTATAATGCTCTAATCGAGCAACCTCTAATTCTAGTAACCGCTCTATTAATACCTTTACGTTAGTACGCCTTTAAGTCCTTTACTTTAGAGGCTAAAGATAAAGCGTATACGTATTAAGAACCTCCTTAATTAGGTAGTAAGGCCTAAGCAGTTAGTGACCGGCTAGTTAATTATATATAAACTACTAACTATATAGCTATTATTCCCTTTCCTTTACTTTAGAGCGTACCGGTAAGTTAAGCTAATTTAGAGTAGTAGTTAGAACCTATAGTACAAACTACTACCTCCGGCCAATTACCGGTCACTTACTTAGCACTAATAACGAACCCTGTAACATGCAAGCTAATACAGAGTTTTTATGGTTTATTCACTAGTGTCCGGCTAGCCGAGGGCAACCTTATCACCGTACGACCTTCAAAGGGATGCCTTCTTCGTCGCACGGAAATGCCGTTGTTGTCCAACGTGAGGATACGGTCCCCACAGGTTGATTTACTAATCTTCCTTGCAGATGCTGTGCTTCCGCTTCCGCTTCCGCTTTCCTTCTGCACTTTCGTCCAGGCGATGGGCATGGACCAAGGGCTGTTGAAATTGAAGATTGCCGCCTCTCCTCGTGGTGAATTGACGACAAGGCTCACGACCAGGTGGGTACAAGCACAAAAAGCACCAACCTTACGGAGAGTCAGATACGGAGGATCGAGTGTCTTACTCTTAATCGTGCCGTCGTGGTTGCAGCAACTAGAAGATGTTTGCCTGCTCCAAGCAGGCGGCAATCTTCAATTTCACCGGCCCTTGGACGACCGCGTGCCTTACGACAGACCTCACGCGAGAGCCGGTATGCGTGGAGTCAGACGCTGTTGAGCGGAAATCCTAGCCTAAGGAAGGGATGCGCCTTCATTGATCTGCAACTTTTCCTCCACGTATGATCATGCATGGCCTAACCAGGTATGTCGCACCATCTTACAGACTGTGACTGTATCTCCAATCGCAGGTCTTCGCTCTACACTCCGGTCTTGTACGCTGAGACCACATGTTCGGAGCATGGCCGGGCCCGCTCACAATTCTATGTGAGACTCGTGCGAATGTACTCGATCCATGTGCACTTGGTCCTCAATCTATCTGATGAACGACTTGATACTTTCAGCTCACGAAACACTTGACGAACTTCGTCTGAGGTGGGCGGAAAAAAATGCGGCTGTGTGGGTGGCTATTTGAGTACGTGCATTCATGCGGTACCTGGCAACCATAAGCTATAGTAACTCACCGTGGCGGTGCCAGACCTTGCTTTTCCTCGGTGCCGAGTGACTTCTGTTGGTAAGTGCTTGATGTCATTGCTGGTGGCCGATCAGTGACTGCCGCGAGATCAGCAACGACAACAGCTCACTTGGCCGCAAGAGAATGGGGACAAGCAAGTTGTCTCGCAAGTTCGATTCATATTGGAGAATCACGTTGCAATATGACTGACTATTCTCCGACTTGGCACATTGGCAACGTCTTGTCACTGAGGCACACTTTTTTCAATCATGYCAGGCTAAACCTCCTTGTACGACTGGTACCATTCCAACAGCGCCCCTTCCGGTCGCATGTGCCAGCTAAATGAAGAACTCGGGTGGATTGCTGGCGCCTGCATTTACAAATGACCAACGATCGATGACTGTGTCTCTGATTGTAGAAGATGACGAGGGTACATGCCGGGATTGTTGACGGATCCCCAACCAGCGCAGTCATCATCATTCTCCGCCGCAATGCTTGGCGATGAACGGGGACGATCAAGGCAGGGGTCTGCGCCGACGTTACGATGCGAGATCCTTATATCCCAAGTCGAGTTCTAGCCCTTGCTTGGTTCACCCTCAACATTAACTCAACGATTATGGCTCAAGCAGTGCTCAGCAAGCAGGAGTCTACGCTCTCGTCTTACGAAGACATCATGAATCAATCTTCAACAAGAGCACCCTTCCATGTCGAAACACCTGTTGCTCCTCACTCCCCCATGCTGAGCTATGCAACTGCCTGGGGATTATCGCTTCTTGCTGTGATTTTGATCGTGCGTGTGTTAAGCGGAGGAAAGAAGCTTCCAAGCGGGGCGAAACAGCTCCCACGACTCCCAGGTGGGCCACTCTTCTGTCATTCGATCAACAAGTACTGACAACGCTCAGGAATACCATGGATTGGTCGATTCTGGGGAATTCCAATCTCGGGCGCAGAAGCTGCGTGGCACTTTGGCGACTTCCACAAGTCTTACGGCCCAATCTACGAATGGGTCACTTTCGGTGTCTCTCATATCTGGATCGAAAATGACAAGATTGCTCGCGACCTCCTCGTCCACAGAGGAAAGCTCTATGGTGACCGGCACGAACTTCCCGCCGCTGTTGGAGTCCGAGGCGGCTCTGAAATCCTCCCCTTGATGGGAATCGGCGAAAACTTCTGGCGCCACAAGAACTTCATTCATACCATCATGCGACACTCATCGCAAGCAGCTTTCTGGGATGCCCCGCTTGCCGAGAATAAGCACACTTTGCGACGCTTGCTCGATTCTCCGGACACTTGGTCAGAAAGTCTCATTACACATTGCGCCCGTGTCGTGGCCAGGATTGCATGGGGTGATGCCAAACATGGGACCAAGCTACTGACCGTAGTGCCCCAGCTGCTCAAAGCAGTGTCTCCGGACGGACCACTCCCGAATCTCCTCCCATTCCTGATGCATCTCCCATCTTGGCTTTCACCTTTCAAGAAGGCCGAGGCTGAGCGGGCGCGAGTCATGAAGGAGGCCTTCTATGAAGCCCAGCAGGATGTGATGGATCGCGTCAAGGCCGGAACTGCCGAGCCTTCATGGACAAGGATCTGGCTAGAGAATGAGAAAGGCATGGAGAAGAGCAAGCTGGATCAACACGAGGCTGCCCATGCCGTCGGGACCAATTCTTTCGTCGCCATCGCCACAATTGGCTCCCCTCTTCACTCGTTCTTCACCGCGATATGYCACTACCCTTCATGGATGCCGCGCATGCAAGAAGAACTCGACAGGGTCTGTGGAGATCGCCTTCCAAACATGAAAGATCTTCCGAATCTCCCAATCCTGCGTGCTGTTGTCAAAGAAACTCTCCGCTGGCGCCAACCAACGCCGCTCGGCGTGCCTCACATAACCACCGATGAGGATGTCTATGAAGGCTACTACATCCCAAAGGGCGCCATGGTCCATGCAAATCACTATTTGATCAGCCGAGAAGAGAGCATGTACCCGGAAGGGAATGAATGGCGTCCAGAGCGATGGCTCGAACCCTCCTGGCCAACCTTCAAGGCGCCTCTCAGCGAGTATCCTACGCTTCGAGGTGACGCTGGCTTTGGTTATGGCACCCGATCATGCCCTGGTACTGACTTGGTAATGACTGAATTGTACACACTCATCGGCTCCCTCGCATGGTCTTTCGACATCAAACGCAAGGAAGGACGTCAAGGGTACGACAGCCCAGTGCCCTGGTATGAGACGAATCCTTTTGTCATCACAATGGCGAAGCCGTTTCCCTTGAACATCAAGGTTCGCAGTGAAGAGAAACGCAAGTTCATACTTGATGGATGTCCAGATGGCGGCTTCCTGGTGCGCGACCAGGGCGAGAAGACCCTCGATCGATGGGACGTGTTTCGAGGAGACGGCACCCCTTTCAATTGGCAAGGGTTAACTACCCCTCTCTCAGGTCAAAGGCCAAAATCGTACAGCCCTGGTGTATGATGCGTGTGCTGCTTGTACGATGGTTCGAAGTTTGGCTTGGACGATATTCGATAGCATTGCGTGGTGTTGGGTAGCGTTCACTAGAGGCGGTCTGCTTGGTTCATCTGCATCTCTTTGCAACCTTATTAATCAAGATATTCCCAATAACATAGCTGGCTCCCCAGAGAGCAGCCATATACTGAATGTTCTAAAATGTGCCTCAGGTGACCGCCAGGAACGGCAACGGTGCCAAGCGTTTCGGACATTTCGCTCCCTGGTCGAGATTTCCTCGTCAGTGTAACGGATGCGATTGCGCGCGCATTGCATGATGCACGTTCGGAGAATGCAATCCCTGTTGCACGACATAGCAGATATGATGCCTTGACTCTGTCCAGACTCTGTACCACGCTACCGTTTCTACGTAGAAACGCTAGAGAAATGAAACCGTTCCTAAACAGAAAACATAGGATAACGTCTCTTTACTAAAACGTTTGTATATAATAACGTTTATCTCTCTAAAACTAGTACGTTACGGTTAAACCTAGATTACCGTACTACTACCGCTATCTAGACCCCTTGTTTCCTCTAAGGTATTGTGGGGGATGGATACCATGTTAGCGTGGAGTTTCGGCTGTGAATGCCCGCCCTGAAATCTACGGAACCCGGCACGTGGCAAGTCGGGCCKAGCGTGGACATCACCAGTCATCGCAGGCCAGCATCGACACAACAGCATTCGGCATGGAAACTCAGCCGGCAAGGTCTGCATCTACTCCTGGCCGCGTTATCGTCTATCATCAGACACACCATCAGCCCAACAATGGCCCACCCGTGTCCCTGCTCCCTTTGCTAGCCAACCAGACCGGCGTTACGCACGTCATCATTGCAGCGATTCATCTGAACGAACCTGGAGATAATATCATCACTCTTAACGATCATCCACCCAATCACGAGAAGTTCAATACACTCTGGGCCGAAGTTGCATGGCTCCAAGCGAGTGGTGTGAAATGCCTGGGCATGCTCGGAGGATTTGCGAAAGGTTCCTACGAACGCCTGGATGGTGACGATATTGCTCGTTTTGAATCGTACTACGCCCCACTACGAGACATGATTCAAACACATCATCTCGATGGTTTGGATCTTGATATCGAAGAGCCCACGTCTTTGCCTGGGACAATTCGTCTAATAGATCGCCTCCGAGCAGACTTTGGCCCTCAATTTCTGATTACGCTTGCACCTGTAGCCAGTGGACTTCTACCAGGTCAGCCCCATCTCTCTGGGCCCGCTTTTGAATACAGGATGCTCGAGCAATTGCGCGGGCATGAAATTGCTTGGTACAACGCCCAATTCTACTGCGGATGGGGAGACGCTGGGACCACTGCTTGGTATGATGCGATCATCTCAGTGGGTTGGAAGCCGGAGAAAGTGGTCATGGGACTCATGACAAACCCCGCAAACGGTCCTGGACATGTGGAGTGGCCCCGACAGCAAGGTGTGCTTCTCGCTCTCCGATCGAAGTATCCCACGTTCGGTGGAGTCATGGGCTGGGAGTACTTCAATGCCCTACCTGGCGGCGATGCTAGACCCTGGGAGTGGGCAGCGAACATGGGCTCGGCGATGCGGGCTGTTGTTCCTGCTCCAATACCGACTCAGCAAATGCCAATCCGACCTTACGGACAGCCAGCTCCTGCTGCGCTACCAAGGCCGGCTCATAATTTCCCCGCAGAGTCGATTTCGACATTGAAAGATTTAGGCTTCAGTGAGCAGCAGGCAATCGCTGCTCTGAACTCAACTGGTGGCAACGTCGAGTACGCGGCTGGACTGCTCTTCCAGGATTGAACGCTATCCTGACACGGACGAAATCTCGAGGTTCTCAGCATGGCGATCTGGACGAAATGTGCTCAGCCAAGGTGCCATGGAAGAGCAGGTATGGCCTACTCGGGACATAATCAGGCCTACTCTACATACTAATAAAGCTGCTGTCGTGCAGCGGTTGAAGGCTCGTGTCTCAGCTCTTGGTCTACATTCCAGAGTCTCTACCATACCTTACCGATGGGTGAAGATCGTTCAAGCCCGTTGTCACACGGCGAAGTTAACATCATTCGATGCGTGACCGATGGCCCATGCCTCCTCATATCGACATCTCACCATCGCTGGTCGTGGATGCTAACATGGCGCCCCTAGCAGTCCGTCGGATAACAACACAACGGGTAGTTTGTATGTGGATGATCAGATGGCTTCCTGTTAGCGTGCGCTTTGCGACCCGACTGTTGCGTTACATTGAAGTTTGGCTCTAAGGTCTATCGTGTATATCACGTTTCTCGAACAGCGCCCGGTATCGCTTTCAAATCAAGCAGATAAGCACTCGCAATATTCGCTCCCCTTTTCGCAGCGAAAGTCATATCTCGCATGTTCGCCATCGTTCTGTCAGCTCACCTTTTCCTCCGGCGTGTAGAAAAGGTGCAGTGCCTCCAAAAGCATGGCCAATTGTACTTTTAGCGGTTTGAAATCGCTCACTGGCCTCTGCTACCGCCGCCGCCGCCGCCTCTTCCGCGACGACCTCCTCTGCCTCCACCACGGCCGCCACGCTCACCGCCAGGCTTCTCGATTCTACCACCGCTGTTCCCGCCTCCGCCACCACCTCCACGCCCTCTACCATTCGCCTGTCCACGGCCGCCGCCGCCACCACTGCTCTCCACATGTCCAACATTGAGTCCGTGGACACCCTTGAGTCCCATTTTACCCACCACTTTCTTGTCGATCATCGGAGGCTCGGGGCATCCCATTGCCTCGGCGTATTCGTTTGCCTGCCCCACCAGACCATCATTATTGAGCTGCAGTTGCTTTATAAACGTCTTGTGAAACCCGAGCCATGCCTGGTATGCTTTCGCCTTGGTGGTCTCGTCGACATTAATGAAAGCAGACTGAACTGCTTGTGCTTGAGCATGAGCCGAAGCCAGAATGTCTGCATGTGGGTAGGGAGAGATGGGAAGCTGGCGGTTGACTTTCAAGAAGAAAGACTCGCGTTGTGTGAGGAGGATAATGGCACGTCCTTCGTTGCCGGCGCGGGCTGTACGTCCGACACGGTGGACGTATTGATCTCCACTTGACGGGATTCCGACTTGGACCACCAGGCTGACGTTGGGAAAGTCCATGCCTCGACCGATCACGTCACTGGCGAACATGATACCTGCTGGCGCAAGTTTGAACTCGTTGGTAGTGCGTGTGCGGTTTGCTTGCGAAAGACGGGACTGGAGCTGGAAGACTTGCAGAGCTTGGTTGCCGGCAAGGAGGTTGGTGAAGAGCGAATGCATCAGCGCAACCCCATTGGCGGTGGTGCCGAAAACGATGACTTTATAGTTGTCCGGCGAGGCCTGGTATTCCTTTTGAAGAATGGCCCAGAGGGCGTTGTAAGTGTCAGCAGCTGCCGGTACCACAACGGAGTGCTGGAGAACGCGGTCGATGGTTGGAGTCTCGTTGGGATCAATGGTCGTCAGATGCGCGTGTCCAGCTTTGAGGATTCTGGGCAGAACGCTCTGAATCTTCTGTGGCATCGTGGCGCTAAAACACATTCCCTGCCACAGTGCCTTGTGCTTCGGTGGCAAGCGACCGAGAATCTGATTGATGGCAACGAGAAATCCAGCTTCCAGCATTTGGTCTGCTTCGTCAAGCACCAGGGTACGAATGTTGGAGAACTTCTCGGCGACATAGTCGTCTGAGAGGTAGTCRTTCAGGCGACCTGGAGTAGCGACCACGATTTTTGGATCGCCGTTGAGGAACTTTTTCAAATCCTTGTCTTTGCTCGTGCCACCGTAAGCCGTGTGGACTTCTAACCGTGGTTGAAGTTGCGAGGTCAGTCGCTCAGCTTCAGCGGCGATTTGAAGAGCAAGCTCGCGGGTTGGGGACATGATTAGGATCGCAACCTGGCCTTTTGGTACAGACTGCTGGGCGAGGAGAGAGGATAGAGAAGGGGCCAAGAATGCGATGGTCTTTCCTGTTCCGGTCTTTGCCTGTACCAAGCAGTCGGAGGAGAAATTGGGCAATTCGCTTAAAACTTTGGCTTGCACTGGCGTCATGAACCTGTGATGGTTAATGTCTGAGTATGGTCGGCAGGTGGCCTGGAGCAGACGTTTATCTCACTCATATCCCATGACCTCCAATCCCTTCAGGAGGCGCTCCGGCATCTTGCCTCTCATGCTGGCCCATGGCTGCGCATCGGGCGCGATTGGGGCAGAAGTTGCCATCGTGTGCTTGGGCGACGTTCCGATGTGTATGACGCACAATCTGCAAGAATTATCAAAAGAAGGCCGCTTGATGTTTTGTTTTGCGTGTCCCGTAAAGTTTCATCAAACGTGATGATGAACCGAAGTTGCTTGCAGGACCCTTGCGGGGCCGGGAGTGCCGAGCGGCCCGCCCAGGCAATGAATCCAGGCACGCAAATAACATTCGGCGAGGATGAAAGCGGTGCGGAGATGTTTGTCAAATCACCATTCCTAGCTTATCGCGAGGACAGTATATGCCTCAACTGATCTTCGTGGCCGCGTCAGATTGTTGTCAGCAGGACATGATGATGATGATCTGGTCGGATGGTGGAGAAAGAGGAAGCAGAGCGGTGACGGCGATGATTAGGATTAACTCAGGAGCATCCCGCCCTTCGCCCCCGAGCAGCGTGAGCCGGCCGCTGTTCGTAGGGCATGCCCTCTGTCAATAGGTGAGGTAGTAAGGTACATGATGGTCGCCGTCGATAGTAGGGCACACAGCTACAGGAAGCAAAGCAGGAGCTCAATGCATTTCCAAGGTGGCACTTCGGTCTAAACAATAATAATGGAGACGAGAGTGGGCTGTTGCAGAGTGGGTGTCGATGGTGGAATTTGCACCTGCCGCCATTGCAAGACATCAACGAGGCTCCGTTGGCAAGTCAAGGACACCCAAGCTGCGGCGCAACTCCGCGAGTCTGTTCATGTATACAACGGCATCAGTTAGTAGTCAGAAGAGTGGTAAAGGGAAGATAGAGGCTGTTTTCTGCGTGCGATACGGCCCCACCCGATGTCGCTACACCTCTTGGATGCGGGTGCTGGTCAGAGACATGTGAGCTCCAAAAACTTCACCACCTACCACTCCACTCTTCCCTCTTCATTTCCTCGTGAACGTTCCTCTCCCTCCTCTCCCCTCCCTCGGATCGCCTGCCGCATGCTTCTTCGCGCCGTCCAGCATCCTCCACGTCCCACCTGAAATCTGCGCACTGCCTCTCAACGATGCAGTCCATTGCGCGTCCGCTGCGCCAGCAGCTGGCTCGCCGCCGTCCCCTTCTGCCATTGACCGCGACCACTGCCTCCGCCAGACCTGCCCTCGTCAATGCTCGTCGCCAATATGCTTCGCATAACCGCCTGGCGAATGACTCTTCCGCACGCTCAGCAGTCATCAATGTGCTCAACAACATTGGCTCCAAGCGTGAGGTGCAGCAGTACCTCGCTCAGTTCACTTCCGTCTCTTCACAGCAGTTTGCCGTGATCAAGGTCGGCGGTGCCATCTTGACAGACTACCTCGATGTGCTCTGTGCCTCGCTGCGGAACCTCAACCAAATGGGCCTCTACCCTGTAATTATCCACGGTGCAGGCCCGCAGCTCAACAAGATGCTGCAAGAGGCCGGTGTGGAGCCCAAGTACAACGAGGGCATCCGTATAACCGACGGTAAGACGCTGGGAATTGCTCGCAAGCTCTTTCTACAGGAGAACCTCAAGTTGGTCGAGGCATTGGAGTCATGGGGTGTGCGTGCGCGACCTGTCACTTCAGGAGTGCTCATGGCCGACTACAAGGACAAGGAGACATACCAGTTCGTCGGCGAGGTCAACCAGGTCAATGCTCAGAGTTTGAAGGCTGCCATTGCGGACGGCTACATTCCTGTCATGACCTGCATGGCTGAGAGCGAGGATGGACAGGTGCTCAATGTCAATGCCGACAAGGCTGCTGCTGAGCTGGCCAAGGAGCTCGTCCCGCTCAAGATTGTCTACCTCTCGGAAAAGGGCGGTCTGTACGACAAAGAAACTGGCAAGTTGATTGAAGCCATCAACTTGGATGAGGAGTACGATGTGTACATGAAGAAGCCGTGGGTCATTCATGGCACTCGCAGCAAGATTCGGGACATCAAGACCCTTCTTGACGWTCTTCCCCGAAGCTCCAGTGTTGCAATCATTCACCCCGAAAGTCTCGAGCGTGAGCTGTTCACTCACTCTGGTGCTGGAACTTTGATCCGCCGGGGCACCAAGCTTCAGCAATCCTCATCTTTGAAGGAATTCGAGGATCTTGAGAAGCTCAAGAAGACCCTGGTTCGTGAGCGAGAGGGTCTTGATGCTGCCAGTGTTGTGGACCGCTACCTCGAGATCCTCGAGTCGAAGCCGTTCCGCGCATACTACGATGAGAACATGGAGGCTCTCGCAATCGTGCTACCACCGCAGGAAGGCTTAAACGGCCTTGGTCATCTTGCTACACTCACCATGAGCCGAGCAGCATGGCTATCAAACATTGCCGATAACGTTTTCCAAAATCTCAAGCGCGACTTCCCCAAGCTTGCGTGGACCGTCAAGCAGGATGATGAGAACCTGGCTTGGTTCAGTGAGAAGGCCGATGGCTCGATCGTTCGTCGTGGAGAGGTGCTTTTCTGGTATGGCATTGAAAGTCCGGACGAGGTCCGTGAGCTCATGAGCGAGTTCATCCAGCACGGGCGTCAGATGTTCGGGGATATAAACCTGGAGTCTCAGCTACACAGAGCCGCCGCAGCCGCCACGCGCATTCGTGCGCGTGCTGCGGAGCTCGGTGGACGTGGGGCACAGCAGTCTCGAGCTTTCAGCACGAGCACACGGCCTACTAGGCGTGTCCGCGTTGACGGCCTACAACAAGTTCGAACGTACACTACCACCAACCCCAACCCACCCCTCGGTATTAAGAACCGAGAAAAGGACTATCCGGCGAAGGTCGCGCTTATTGGCGCTCGTGGCTACACTGGCAAAGCGCTGATTGACCTCTTGAACCGACACCCGAACATGGATCTCTGCCACGTCTCCTCCCGCGAACTGGCTGGCCAGAAGCTCAAGGGATACGAGAAGAAGGAGATCATCTATGAAAGTCTTTCTCCCGACGACGTTCGTAAAATGGCCGAGAGGAAGGAGATCGACTGCTGGGTCATGGCCCTTCCCAACGGCGTATGTAAACCTTATGTTGATGCTATTGAGGAGTCTGGCCACCAGGAGGCTGTTATCGTTGATCTTTCTGCCGACTACCGGTTCGACTCCAGCTGGACATATGGTTTGCCAGAGCTAGTTAAGCGCAACAAGATTGCCGGAGCTACACGCATTAGCAACCCCGGATGTTATGCAACTGGTGCCCAGCTTGGAATTGCACCTCTGGTGAGTTAAACGATAGTCGGGTTTGTTTCTCATGGCAGGATCATGCCAAAAGTCTCCCAGTTGAAAGGCATCTGCATGCATGAGAAACAGTCCCTGAAAGGACGCAATGATCAAGACACTGCTAATCGTGAAAAACCAGGTGCCATACCTCGCCTCGGCTCCCACTGTATTCGGTGTTTCTGGTTACTCTGGTGCTGGCACGAAACCGTCTCCCAAGAACGACGTGAATGTCCTCACCGATAACCTCATTGCCTACTCGCTCACCGACCACATCCACGAAAAAGAAATTAGCGTCCAGCTTGGACACGAAGTCGCATTTATCCCTCACGTAGCCGTATGGTTCGCCGGAATTCACCACACCATCTCCCTCCCTCTGAAGGAGAAGATGGCCAGCCGAGACGTACGTCAACTATACCAGGACCGCTACGATAACGAGAAGCTCATCCGCATTACTGGCGAGTCGCCTATGGTCAAGAATATCTCTGGCAAGCACGGAGTAGAGATTGGCGGATTCGCTGTCCATTCGAGTGGCAAGCGGGCCGTCATCAACGTTACCATTGACAACCTTCTAAAGGGCGCGGCCACACAATGCTTGCAGAACATGAACCTCGCTTTAGGATACGCGGAGTACGAGGGGATACCTTTGCAGTAGAGCGCAGAAATTGACCGGATGATGGAGCTTTTGTGAGCGTTTTCGTTATCATTTGTCGATGTGTAGAGACTAAGGTGTTGTGGCGGCCTTCGCGGGCTTGAAATTGACTGGTTGATTTGAGTCATTCTATTCATCCTGTTGCTCAAAGGCTTGGCACTACCAAGTCATCGATGAGTATCTGTCAATGAGGTTCCATGCACACCCGAACAATGCGCAACAGCAGCGAAATTCCATTCCTTTCTCCCGGAATTCTTCGTATCTTGCATGAACGAACCTGCACACAGTCCAGGCGCGCTGCAACAGGAGTATTAGATTTACAAATGTTCAGGTTTGCGCATGGCATGTTCTGGAGCCAAGCAATGATTCGAGATCGCTGCCAAAAAGATGCTGCAGCCTTCACGTTACTTCAAGAATCCGCATCAAACCATCATGGGAATAAAGCGAAGAGAAAAACGCATAACATTGCTCAAAAGCACAACGCACGTACAGGCTGCTGAGGAGGAGGAGAACTCTTGATTAATCGACTCCTCTTCTCCCCTCGCGTCTTCAACGTGGCATGTGGGCAACACTACGATATGGCGTACACGACTTTGACGACTTTCGAAAGGACATCCTATCACGCAGGTCCGAACATGATCAAGATCAAGCGTCGCTCCTACCTTCGAGATGGTTGCAGAATCGGACGAWCCGACTCCACCACCAACCCTCCACAAGTGTCTTACAGCGTTCTGCATCTGGCAAGTTACGACACATGGCCTGGCGATGCCACCCCGGGCCGCAAAGGATCTAGCGTCTGTTGGTGTTGAATTGGCCATGCGTGAACCGCCGATCAGTAGGACGCCTAATGCGGGCTTGCCGAGAAAGATGTCGCCAACCATCGTTCAAGGACTACGCCCGTTGTCGATCAGGCCACTCACGTACAATGCCCTCAAAGCTTGCACATCACGGATCATGCTGTAAGTGGTGGGAGTCGTCCATCTTCCAAAGCTTCTGTGAGAATCCTACCAGTAGCGCTGCTCTCCGCAAGGCTAGCCGTTGTTGTCGTTGCGATGGCTCTCCATACCATGGCCTATCGAGTATATGAGCAGCTGGCTCGTCCGGAACTCCGAGTGCTTCGCGAGTTCATATAGCACTCTTCTAGCACACTCGATTCCCCCTCACCCAATGCAGCAACATCTCCTTGTAGCGCTCGCGGCAGCGACTATTCTAGTACAGGCTGCTCCTGCGGTGGTCGAGCGGGACAACATTGTTCCAAAGAAAGCAGGACTTTCTGGATACCCAACCATTCAGAACACCCAAGCCTTCGCGGATCTTGCCCCTTACATTGGGTGGTACTCTGATTACAACCCGGATACCCCTGATTCAAAGGGTGTACAGGGTGTTCCTATGCTCTGGGGAGCTGATGGAAGCTCATGCGATGTTACCAATGGGCGATTACAGACCTTCAAGGATAAAGTTGCAAATTCCACACCGCGCCTGATGTTTGGCTTCTTCGAACCAGGTATGTATATTCCAGCAAGGATATACTCATCCTCCCTTTCGAGAATGATGACCTTTTTCTTGAGAAGGGAACGGTCCGCGGGATGCGTTCATGTCATCAACAACCTCGCTAACTTCCCAACATCAAAGATTGCAAATGCCAATCCTCAAGCCACATGAACATAAAGGAAACCGCCAATGCCTGGAACAATCTCCTCGTTCCACTAGGCAACAGAGGCACAATCCTCGGATCTCCAAGCATGTGCCTACAAAAAGACGAAAACTACCTAACACCTTTCCAAACCATGATCGATCGAGACTGGGACATCACCAGCATCCACGTCAACAAGCCCGACTTAAAGGGCATCAAAGCCGACGTGGCGCATTATCGCAAATATGGAAAACCCATCTTCATCAGTGAATTCGCTTGCGTGTTCGATCAACGCRATTTCACGCCTTGTACTGATCAGGGACAAATTGATGGTTTTATCAATGATGCTGTCGAGTATTTTGAAAGTCAGGATGATATTGTGGGATATGGACCGAGTAATGGGGAGGGTCTGGGGAGCGTTTGGCCGTTGACTAGGAATGGGAAGTTGACGAAGTCGGGGAAGACGTATTTGAATGCTGTTAAGAGCTTGTGAGGAGAGATGTGGGAATGTACTTGCAAGTAATGATCAGGTATAAAGGTTGTTTAGTACTTACCAAGCTTTCACCCAGGCGAATGATGTTTGCCTCTTCGTCAGGGGAGCGCTTAGGGTCAGGGTTGGGGTAGTGCTGACTTTTGCTACATTAACGATATGGCTCTCGCATATGATTTTCTTGTATACAACAAACATTTGACTCTACTCACAGGTCGAAGAACCGAGTTCGGTGCGAATTGTGGTTTCGACGGAGACCATTGCCTCGAATTTCGACGTTATTGCTGATTGTTGCACAGGGCGCTTTTCTCGCGACGACCGAATTCTGGTTGGGAATCATGCTCTCCTTAGAATTCCCAGCGTTTCTCTTCACGTGGTCCTCTCCATCCGTCGAACCGAGTAGAAGACAGACCAAGATGACGGTAGAATACAATGACCGAATCGAATGACATGTACTTATCATTCTATTGAACGTAACACATTAACATATTTAAGTTTAAAGCTGATATCTGCCAACCGCATTCCTCAAGAATGAACCGAACCAAACCGCATTCCCAGGACCGACATTGACAGAAATACTGAGGTACGGTGGAAGCAGACCTACGGAAAGTTAATCACAGCACTGTCATCTCGATGTACATCGAGACTTACCTTGAAGCAGATTGCCAACAATCGGGAGCTCCCCAACCATAGCGAAAGGACCACCCTCACTGAACAAGTTTGGGAAACGGACTATACTGATCTCATCTTCCGGGCTGAGGCGAAGCAGAGCATTGGTGGTGGCAAAGAAGCTCATCCAAACATCGCCATCCTGAGAGGGACCAGAGGTAACCCCTCCGAGAGATACTAGCTGTCCACTTGGGAAGACTTCGATCTCCTTGGTTGCGAGATTGATTCTTCCTAGTGCGTTGCCAATAAAGACGCTGAAATACATATAACCATCCCGTTCAACGCGGTTGACAGCTGGTGCTTGAAGAGGTAGCGGCATGTCGTATTCGACTATCTCGCCGGTATCTTTCTTGTATTCGAAGATCTTGTTGCCGAGAAGTTCGCAGCCATAGACGCTCCCATCGGATGTGACGAAGACACCGAGAGGGAGTGCGAGGGATGTCGGGATCTTTGCCGTGATTGTGAAGTCTTGTTGGGCGTAGTCGAAGAATTGCAGGATGTTTGCGGTTGTCTGCGTCATCCACATTCCGTCACTATCTGTGAACTGAACGGCAAAAGAACGTGTTAGTGAGATCGGCCCGTTGAACCCTACAAAGGCTTGCGTGAAATCCAAGACTGCCAACATGCTCCTTTTGCAGTACTCACAAGGTCATTGAATGGGAACAGATTCCCCGTTGGATTGACCGGAGATTGAAATAGCTTAATCTCCCGTGTCTCAAGGGTCATCTGGACAAGCTGATTTCGCAGACCATTGGTTGCATAAATCTTCCCATCAGCTCCAGAGCGAATCGCACACGATAGTGCGAGTCGATCCTGGATAAGGCCACCTGCAGCGCCATTCAATCCTGTTGATAGCGTTAGCATGTGAAGTCGTGCCAGTGAAAAGCACGAAGCTGAGACCCTCGCCTCCTTCTGAGGAGCTCTGATCAATTGATCGGGACTGCGATGGTATGAATCGGTGAAGTCTCAATCCATGCCTGCCAACACTGTAGCGTAGGATTCAAAACAACGAGCAAGTCGTAGTGGTCGGGAGGGATCATCCCAAATACGAGACCAATGAGCGGAGTATTCTCTTACCTGGAATTGTCGCATTGCCAATGCCAAATGAGAACGGGATGGGGTATTCCTCTACCTCACCAGTCTCTGGATCGAGACGAACCAGGTTGTTGACGCTATCGATGTCCGTCAGTCCCGATCAAGAGTAAGACATGACCATTCCTGTTCTTTGAGCTGCTCACAGTTGTTCAATTCCCCAAAGTGCACCATCAGGGCCTTCGCAAAGATCACAGATACCACTCAGAGGTGTGGGCATCTGGTAGAACGTAAATCGACCCTCCTGCTTGCCGCCAGGTGGAGCCGCCTGGCGTGCCTGCAGAATCTTGGCAGCATGTTCCAGCGCCTCGGGGCTGGGTGTGGGTGTGCTGAATGTCTGGCGCACAAGCAGCGGAATCGCGAGGAGTACAGCAACCAGCATCTTGAGTGATTGCCAGCGCTTTCGGAGCTTGCAGATGGCAGATGTAGTTGAAGTCGTTATCCAGGTAGACCGATGCACGTATGCCGCGATCCAGACGGTTATTCACGCCAGCTTCAAGAGTCCAAAGTCAGGTCTCCTCACGCCGTGAGCTGAGCGTCTCCAAGGCTATGGGTGTTGGCTTTGTCCCAAGGGCCAAGAYTGCTAGCGGGTGTACTTTGGGCTCCGTGGCAAGTGACTTCCCCAAGTCCGAAGTTCGTTGACCATGAGGACGAGCGCGATTGTGCAAGGGGATGCTCAACGAGGTCTGCAGATGACATGGAGCGACTCTGCCTGCACATGAATCGCATTTGGCTTTGAAAGGATCTCCAATGGCGTTCCATGTTCGAGCAGCAACAAGATTTATTCAACGTGTGCCGATTCGGAGGCGGGTCCGCTTCCACGTTGCCAGAGCGGTGATCAGTCTTGGCTGGCGATGAAATGTCGTTCCCGGCGAATAATGCTGCTTCATCGGTGACAAGGTCTGCATACTAGCGCACGAAGGAATGCAAGATAACGGAGACAGAACAAGTTGCAAGTCATTAGCAACGCAAGGGCTGGCAGCGAGCGACCAGCTGGCGCACCATGTGTCGTGAAGAAAGAAGTCTAACGATTCGAGTCAACTGCGCGGCCTGTGCCCGATGGAAGATCGTGCTCCAGCTCCTGGTCTTGCCCGACTCCTTATGAGCTCATATCGCCAAGCCAGGATTCTCATTGCTCCTGTTCCGGATGGCAAAGATAAATAGGTGGTGGATGATGTATATGTTCATTGGCGGCTCAACCAGGATGGGCCGCAGCCGAAGGTGGGAATGGATGGCTTATGGTACCCGGGCAAACTCTGTTCTGGGAGGACAGTGCAGGCGACTTGGAGCACCGGGAATCGCTCTCGTGGTGTACTCTTCCACTTCCCATGTCGCAGCTCTTGGTACGAAGATGCCCGAGCATGTGGGAGTGCTCGCTCTGTTCATGATGACGATGATGATGATGGAGACGATGGATGGAACCTTGGAAGACGTTGGCGAGGAAAGACCGCGCGCGGAGCACGGACCGGAGAGCGAGGCCAGGATTGACCCTTCCCTTCCTCGACACCACACCATCACAGTACACACCTGCCAAAGCTGTAAGGTACCATCAAATCCAAGCGGGAATATTTGCTTCAACGTTCTTGACATCATGACTGGAGCCCGAATTGCCGCCATTCACCTGGGAGAGAGGCATGATGCAGAAGCTTGACCGCACGCGTCGACTCCTCACAATCGGCGCGTATGAATGCTGACGCCTCTTGACGAGGTTCCACAGAAGTTGGTGGGAGCTTGAACTTGGGAAGGTTTTCAAATTGGGTCGGTGAAGCAGCATATGGGCGAACAGTGTTTCACCGCAATACAACCCGATGACTGTTACATCTCGTCTGAGAACGCTCTCGTCGTATCATGCCGGCTTCGCTAATACACATAGACAAAGTCCTCGTTCAGCAAGTCCGTAACATCGTCAAAGGCCTTGTCACCACCTTGGGCGGCTTCCTCATGCTCCGCCAAGACCTTGCTGCTGGCCATTGAGTAATCGACAACCGTCGCCGACTTGCCCAGTCTTTCTCTCGCGCTGGCGTGTTTTGCATTCAGGAATCGGATATACGCGGCTCCGATGCCAGCGAGAATTATAATCGCCACAAAGAGGACCAAGTTGCTGATCAGACCGCGTAGATACCGTGGAGCTTCATCTGTCCTAAAGCGAAGGATGGAAGGTCAGCTCGGGTCTCATAAGTCTTGGGTACTAGGAGGGGTGCATGGAGGCTTCAAGACATGCTCTATGCCTTTCATACTTCACTTACGTGTAAAGATTAGGTCCGAGGATGTTGCCCGCCGACGCGCCGATGAAGAGGATTCCTGTGGTCACTTTTCTCTTGGTGTCTCCGGCCGTGTTCTGTCCAGACCAGCTGTAGATGAGTGGACTGATTGCCGGATAGGTGGAGATGATGTAGTATCCGAAAAGCAGAAGGCCTCTGTTGGCTGGAGCCCTTTCCACCTTCAACAGAATCGAGATCCCGATGATTGGTGGGATGCAGAGCACTGCCAGAACGGGAGACTTTGCCTTCCAACGAGTCGCAGCCCATGCGCCCCCAAGTGTTGCCGCAATCTGCACCGCACCGAAGGGCATATTGAACAGAATGGTTGTGAATGGATCATCGACAAATGACCTTACAATCAGCGGACCAAACGTGGATATACCACCACTCGGGATGGAAACTGCCGTCCTGCGATCCCAATCAAAGTCAGCATGTTTCTGCTTCAATGTACAGCCCGAGAACGCTTTCGTACAGTAATGCAAACCAAATCCATGTCTTGATATCAAAGACACACTCTCGGACGTGGTCCCACCGCCAGACGCCGGAGGAAACACCCATGTTGTTCATGCGTAGCCGCTCAATTGCCTGTCATACCGAAGGTTAGCAAAGAAGCCTGTGTGAACCAGATGCACCGCACTCACCAGCAACTTATCGTCTTCGCTCAGGAACTTCGCTCGCATCGGCGAATCAGGCAGAAACAAAAACACCACGAAAGAAAATGCCACAGTCAGGCAGCCGCAGAACAGGAAGATAATCTGATAAGGCCGGAAAACGTTGGTATTGATTTTGGCCAGGCCATAACACAGGAGACTTCCGAACTGTGCACTGTCAGTCTTGCTTTGGCGGCCTAGAAGATCGCACTGCTCACGATGTTGACGACTCCGAGCATGGAATACCACGCAGCGTTGCGGTTAGTCTGCTCGCCACGACGATACCACATTTGGACCAGAGCTTCGTTCCATGTCAGTGACTTTGCGCTCGTCTAATCGATTTCGGGAGACTCACCAATGAAAGTAGGAGCTACACTGGCCTCGAAAGCTCCCAAAACGAATCTTGAGGCCATGAGACCGCCAAAGTCAGTTGCCGCAGTCATCCCGCATAGCGTCGCTCCCCAGCAGAATACCATGATTCCGCAAAACTTTCCTATCGGCAACTTGACCAGGAAATATGCGATAGCTGGTTGGCAAACGAGCTGTGCAACGTAGACAATGGCGCTTGACCAGCTGTACTCATGTCCTACCAGGCTCAGATCTTCGACGATGCCGAACACTGATGCATAGCTCAGTGCGGATTTATCGAGGGCCTGCAGGCAGTAGATGAACAGGACGATCCTGGAAATGGGATGTTAGCGCTTGCGTGTGTGCTCGTTGACGCTCTTCGCAGAAGTGTCCACTGATGCAGGCGACTGCAAGATTGCGGGACGAAATAATGTCCACCCGCTTTCATGGTAGACTCACGGTAGGATGTGCCAATCTATCCTCCTCAAGATACGTTTGTTTTCTTCTGGAGTGACAACCACCGAGTGTCCCGCCGCCTTCAACAACAAAGCAGCCTTATCTTTGCCTCCGACATTGTTTTCGATCGTCTCGATCGTTTCAATTTGAGCAGCGTTTGCCTTTCCTTCTCCTTGAGTGCCCAGTTCGAAGACGTCGTCCTTCTTTGCGTTTGCCATGACGGGCAACGATAACGAAATGCAACGACAACTTCTCCGGTGGGTCGAGAGATGGCACTATATCCACCCTCGTGCGGACCACGATGCTACCTTATGTTCCGACGAAAACTACCGTAGCCGTGACTACTCCACCATCCCCAGACCGCTAAGTGAGTGGTTTGAGGGTGGATGTGGAGATATATGGGGGCCTGACAAGGTTCCCCACTTCAGCCACGACGGATACAGTATACATAGAGCACGTCGGCAACTGCWCGGACCCTAGATTGGGGGTACCACTGCTGATCGGCCTTAGCTTTCGTGGCGGCGACTGCAGGCTTCTGCAAAGTTCAAGTAAACCTGTCCACGTGCGATAACGAGAGGAGATAAAACTCCTGAGCGGATCCGTGATGCCATGGTTCAACGGTCTCGAGACGGGGTAGCTAAGTGTCTTGTCGTGCGTTCATGGTGGATCTCGTGGAGCCTATGCAGGTCCCGTGAGCACGTAGCGAACCATTGACATCTCGAATAGTACGTTGAACAACACGTTCACGACACCTGCTGCTGATATATCTCACACTAGGTGTTCTTCTTGCAACATCAACCATCGTCTCCATACAGGATGCTGCAGCAAGAAGTGATCCCTCAATCATACGCTCTGCAAGAGTCGTCAACCCCAGACTTGCCGTCAATTCACCTGCGAAGTGATGGCCCAGCAGGCCATGTCGACTTCACATTCGAAGCGATCAAGCCTGGCTTGTTCCGGACCACGTTTTCCTCCCCATCTCATCCCCTACCACCCTTTCCCAGCGCCTCAAAGCCAGCTGCTGTAACTTCGGCATTCACGACCAAAGACTCGGGACCAAAATGCAAGATCTTTCACGCCAATGGCATAGAGGCCAGAGTGGAGTGGGAGCACACTCCTATAGTCTCTGTTGGATTCACTGATGAAGCTCCATTGCATACGGACTTGCCGCTACGCTCGTATGTGCTGGACGGTACCGGAATCGCGCAATACACGCGATACTTCCGCAACAGTCTTCATGTTGGACTGGGCGAGAAGGCCGCACCAATGGATCTATCTGGCCGCCATTTCACGCTCTCTGCAACGGATTGTTTCGGATATGATGTTCACCGAACTGACCCAATGTACAAGCATATTCCACTTTTGATCAGAGCAACTCCGGAGGGAGTCGTGGCAACATTCACAACCTCGCATTCTCGCGGTTTCTACTCTGTTGGATCTGAGATGGATGGTATGTGGGGGTTCTTCAAAGTCTACCGCCAGGACCATGGTGGGCTCGAACAGTACACCATCGTCGGGAAGACACTGCAAGATGTAGTGACATTGTACGCTGAATTGGTTGGGTTTCCTTTGCTTGTGCCGCGATGGGCGTTTGGATATCTCGGTGGAGGTATGAAGTACTCGATGCTGGACGAGCCCAGAGCCAGTGACGCGTTGATGGAATGGAGCGAGAAGCTCGAAAAGTACGACATTCCATGTTCGGGCTTCCAGATGTCTTCCGGATACACAGTCGCTGAGACGGAGCCCAAGACTCGTAACGTCTTTACTTGGAACCGTCATCGCTTCCCCGATCCAAAGGCCTTCTGTGATGCTTTCCATGCAAAGGGCATTCGATTGATCGCCAACATCAAGCCTTATATCCTCGCCAATCACCCAGCGTACGAAGTTCTGGTCAAAGCAGGAGCTCTTTTCGTAGATCCAAAGCATGGTGGCTCCGCGGTCGCCCGTCTGTGGAGCGCTGGTGGAGGTACTAGTGGTGAAGGAGGACACATTGATTTCACATCGAAGTCCGGCTACGACTTCTGGTACAATGGCGTCAAGGAACTTCGCATGGTCGGCATGGAYYGCATGTGGAACGACAATAATGAGTACGTGACACCGTCCGATGATTGGCAACTCAAGCTCGACCAGGAAACTGTCGCGGCAACATCCGAGAAGCGGAAAGATATTGGTCTTTGGGGTCGTGCGATGCATACTGAGCTGCATGGGAAAGCATCTTACGATGCTCTCCTCGAAGTGATGCCCAATGAAAGGCCTTTTGTGCTCTCTCGCAGCGTTACTGCCGGAACGAACAAGTATGCGGCCAGTACCTGGTCCGGCGACAACACTACCAGTTGGCACGGTATGCGTGGAGCCAACGCCTTGTCCCTTACGGCTGGGATGTGTCTGATGCAGTGTTATGGTCATGATATCGGTGGGTTTGAAGGTCCGCAACCAGGTCCGGAACTACTGCTACGTTGGGTTCAGCAAGGCATCTACTCTCGTAAGTGATTATCGAAACCAGCGAGCTATGAGGTATGCTGATAAGCTATAGCACGTTTTGCCATCAACTGTTACAAGACCGGAAGCGACAGCCTCGTAGGCGATGTGATTGAGCCGTGGATGTACCCGGAAATCATCCCTGAGATTCGCAAGGCGATCTTGAGGAGATATGAACTGATCCCATACCTATACAACGGCATGCTGCACAGCCACTTCACAGCAGTCCCTTTCCAGCGCTGGGTCGGTTGGGGCTACGAATCCGATCCAGAAGTCTGGAGCAGCAGAATCCTCAAAGACGGCGAGCAGCAGTATTGGTTGGGCGATACATTGCTTGTAGGAGGTGTCTTTGAGCCCGGTGTCACCGATGGCAAGATCTATACCCCGAAGCGCAGTAACTCTGATCCCGGCTTCTTGAACACCAACGCACCCCACCAGTATCTGCCAGCTGGAGCATGGCATACAATCTCATCTCCTTGGAAAGCCAGCATCCCTGTATTGGCTCGAATCGGCGGAGCCGTACAAGTTGGCAAGAATAAACAAGTTGTCGCTCCAGGTGACAAGCTCAACGAGGCCAATCTATCGGAGGACGACTGGCGTGGCGTTGAGATCTTCCCACAGCCCGAGAACAGWGCTGATGGGACCGTATACATGAACAGCTGGTTGGAGGACGATGGGATCTCGCCACCGCCCGCCAAAGTTGGCAGGTTCGAGATCAAGTACTCTGCAACTCATCAAGAGATACAGGTCATCGTGAAGAAGGGTATTTCTGCTTTCGAGCCACCTTGGGAGAAGAAGGGTCTCACAATAATTCTTCCGGTTGGTGATTCGAGACCAGTGGTATCGGGGGATGGCAATGTTGTTGTTCAAGCCAGGCGACAGGACGAGTCTGGACGGAAAAGATTCGATGTCCAGTTCCAGACTAGCTTCAACAGTCTCCCGTGTCGATAGAGAGACGTGCGTATTAACTCATCTGTTCGAGAATCAGGAATGGTTGGTACTCATGGATGCGAGTGAATGACTGTAAGTTCACTCCGGCGAGTGAGGGCTACCTCAGCATGTGTTCGACAATTCTGGCCAAGACTTCTCGAAGAACTTCTTTTTGTGGGGACAAGGCGTAAGATCATTATTCATACTATATACACTGCCGTCATTGAAACGTCTTGACCGTCTATAGCGTATATCGGAAGCCATCCTATCGAAAGGGTCAGTAAGTTGAACATGGGTCAGTGTGTAGCAGCACGACTTACATCAGCACCCTCAATGGCATATGAACCACGTGCTTGCTTCGCGTTCTGGAAGTAGAAGTAGATGTCCAAGATGATCACAAGCACAATGATCAAGACCGATGCAGCGATACATGCCCAGAGACCTGGAAGGTAATCCGGCGAGTCCTGAGAACGGAATACTAGGGATCCGGCAATACCGCCGATACCACCAAAGCCAACCAGGGTGGCACTGCAGAAGGCACGCTTCCACTGTCCTCGAATGTTGTTTCCTTGGTAGGACATGACTTGCGGGATATTTCCGTTGGCTCCAGCGCAGACCTGAGACCGAGGGTTAGTATTGGCTAGCGGCTCATACGTTGGATGAATCCCTTACCAAGAAGATGCCGAAATATCGGACGCCGACGGTCTCGACCCATCCCGTGATTGCCAGACCGACAATAGCCATGGTGGCGTTGAAGATCAAAAGCGGGCCTCGGATCTTGTGCTTATCACCTATCCATGCACATACAATCATAATGATCGCAGCGAAGATGTAAGGTGGCGCAACGAGAACCTGAGCGATACCAACATCGAAGCCAAGTCCGAATACCAGGATGATTGGCATGAAGAAAGCCAAAGCGTATGTTTGTGTAGTCACACAAAAGAAGATCAAAGCGAACCCCCAAATCTGTTCATGTTAGCTAGGCCTCATTTGTAGACGTTGAGAGTTCCTCACCTTCATGTCGAGAGCTGGCTTGAGGAACTTGATCAAATCGAAGGGCTCTGTTTGCGCATCGCCACGATCTGCGTCAACACGTGCGATGACCCACGCCACCTCCCGGGCGTTCAAGAATCCCCAGCATTTCTCAGGGCCGTCATCGGGGAAGGGCACAAGGAATATGTAACCGCCAATCGCGACCAGCACAGTCATGATGCCTTCGATGATGAACTGTTTTGGGGTCAGCGAGATCTTGCAACCGAAGATGAAAGCACCTACAATCCAGCTCCAACCCTGATAGCCTCCGAGCCCATCCATCTGCATTAGTCCATATGCCAAAACGCCGCCGAGAGCTGATGCCATCATTCCGATCAGGAAGAAGAGAGCGTTACGCTTGCCCATTTCGTATCTGCAGTACCAGGTGCTGAGGAGGTAGACACAGCCAGGGAAGAAACCTGCTTCGAAGATACCCAGAACGACTCGGAGAGCCGCCAGCTGTTGCCACTTCTTCACGAAACCCATACCAATCATGGTACAGCCCCAAAGAAAGCAGATGGCTGACAGGAAGTTGCGTGGGCCAATCTTCTTGGTGAGGACAGTAGCCGGAGGCTGGAAGAAAACGTAGGTKRTAAAAAAGACCAGAGTGACGATCGAATAGGCCATTCCGTTGCCAKCAGGTTCAGCTGGAGTCTTGGGGTTCATCTTGAGCTCAGTCCTCATGCCGGCGATGGAAGCATTGGCCAAATTGGTGCGGTCCATGAGCGAGACGCAATACATCAAACCGATGGTAACGACAAGTCGACGATCGATTCGACGCATGATCTTCCTCTCCTCGGCAGGCGTGAACTCGCTCTGCATCTCATTCTTGAGCTCGGAGTCTGGTGACTGCTCCCTGACATCCTCAGCATGCTTAATGGTGGCAAAGTCCTCCTTGTCATCGCTGTGGTAGGTAGCCATGACGATGTCTATGTTGATGAGAGTGCTTGGAGCAGGTCAAGTAGGTACAACAAAGGAGATCTAGCATTCCCATGGCCTCGGGCTTCTTCTTGTACATCCTGGTCTGTCGTTTGGGAAACGAACCCGCTTGGCGAGTTCGCCTCCAGACCATCTTGGCCATTTCTACTGGGGTTGGCATCCTTGCTGGGCTTACACAAGTACGGACTCGCGATTCGTTCCCCTTCATCTCTTTGGCGCTTGACCGCGGGGAAATGTGGAAAAGCGTGTTCGCCAAGATGACAAGACACTGGGCATTGACTGGGGTTCCCCGCCGTCTCACGTGGGCGACACATGCGCTCGACTACGCCGATCGCACCGCGGCCTGATTGGGGACGAGTCCGAATTTGCGGAGGTGTTTTTGCGGAGAGCTTTTTCTGGGGATCGGACCTGCTTCCCAGGAAGGCAGTTGTGTTCCGCACTCCATGTTCTCAGCAGCGTGTGATATTTCGATGGCTTTCCTTCGTCTTAATAACGGAAGTCCTGTCCGGGTATGTGTGGCTCCGATCTGGAACTTTGTGCAGTTACATCTATCGGCGACGCTCCACTTAAGGTATAAGAGGCTTCAGCCAAAGCCTTTCTTCAGCCAATTCGCAGTTCGCTGCATTCTTCGGCCGAGTATCCGCCGGGTGGCAATATTTAGTGCTCACCAAAACACGGGGAAATTGTCACCATGGACAGTTGTCGGTCAGAGATGCTCTCAAGGATAGCAACGATGCGATACCGTTCGGAGGCACACCCAACTCTCCACAGAACAATTTTATCGTTGTGGTGACAGCAAGTCAGTCGAGAGCAACGGTGATTGACCTGTTGAGTGGCAATGCGGCAGATTTAATTATTGTTATCCCCGTCTGGGCCGTCTCCTACCAACAAGTGGAAGCAAGGGTGGGCTTCGAATTGTCCGACGGCTTTGGGTGATCACGCAGTACCCCGATCGCTAGCAAAATGTGTCAGACGGGCTTGTTAACGCAGAACAAGCCGATAGCGCTGGGAAGTCTGTGTCTAGTATTGGAGGACGGGCAGGGACTGTTTCCGTGATCCATCTTCAGTACCCATTGCTGTTGCTGGGAAACCTCACTGTCAGTATGTATATGATTGAAGTTGCAGTTACGCACGTTGAAAAGCTCATTATCCCGGTCAGACCACCAACAGTAGATTGTTCCGAGCGGTGGATTCATTCTGGCCGTGTGCAGGTTCGACGTAATGGTTGATTATTGGAGCTTCCTGCAGCATGAATCCAGCCCTGAAGGATATCACAAAATCTCCCAGTCATCATTGCCTCTCAGTTTGCTTGCTTTGCAGTACCTCCATTTCCATCATGTCTCAGCAGAAGGTTCGGATAGCAATAATTGGCGGAGGCATTGCTGGAGCGACACTCCTTCACGCCCTCTTGCCACAAGCACATCTAGAGCCGCACATTTTCGAGTCGGCAGCACAGTTCAGAGAAACAGGAATGGCAATTGGGATCGCGCGCAACGCCTTTGAGGCTCTAGACCTGATCGGTCCCTCAGCACGAGCAGCGTTGGAGGAGGCAGGAGCCCATGCTCACAACGGAATGAAGATCATGCTGGCCCAAGGGCCCGATGCGGGCCAAATGGTGGACGAGATTGATCCTCATAAAGATGGAAAGAGAATGACTRGCTTTGTGCATCGGGCGGCGTTCTTGGAGAATCTCTTGGCGAACGTTTCGCCGTCAAGACTGCACGCTTCCAAGAAGTTGACCCATGTCGAAAAGCAAGCGGATGGGTCACTCGTTTTGGAGTTTGCGGACGGATCGACGCACGCATGCGATATGTTGATTGGGGCTGATGGCATTCACAGCACCGTGAGGAGGATCATTCTTGGCAGCGAGAATGAGGCCACCAGTCCAGTGTCGGCGGGCTGGTTCCATCTGATATCCCTGCAGCCGTATGACAAGATGGCAAAGATTCTCGGTGCCAAGTTTGTAGATCTAGAAGATACTCGTCAGTGGAGCTGGATTGGGGACGGATGTTTCATGATGCAAGTGATTCCCAGAGCGCAATACGACGAGGTTCCGTGTTACTGATGATGCTTCCAGGCACAACGTTCTCAATGACGGCAAGCTCGTGCAGCTCGTTGCCACGGTGAGGGACGAACATCCGGACGGAAACTGGAAGAAGACGGTCAAGGCGGAGGAGATGAAGCACACTTTCCGTGACTTCCCTGTACACCTGCAACAGGCGTTGGCGGCTGTGATCGGAGACGAGGAGGAGCGAGACTACATGTGCACCTTCCAACATCTCCCCGCTCGAACTTACATTGACGGAGCCATGTGTGTGATGGGAGATGCCGCCCACGCGACCACGCCTTGGCAAGGCAGCGGCGGCGGCATGTCCATTGAAGATGCGCTGGTGCTTTCTTCCCTGCTCGCGCGCATCCAATCGTCCGACGAGGTGCCCGTGGCATTGCACGTGTACGACCAAGTTCGACGGCCGCGCACTCAGCGCGTGGTGGAGTCGAGCAAAGCAACGGGACTCATCTTCACCGGGAGGAATCCCGAGTATCCGATGAGCATTGCTGGCATGCTGGGTCGCCTGCCTCCTCGATGGGACTTTATCTTGAGCTTTGATAACGGCAAAGCAAGAGACGAAGCGGTGCGCATGTTGCAATCGAGGCGGGAAAAGACGGGGCAAAGGCTGCCTCGCGTCACTGCCGATGGCATCCCATCTCCTACCATCCTTGCGGTGTCGGGCTAGTTATTAGTGTAGGAAGATCAAAATTCCACGGGGTCGAAGAGTGAAGACTGAAGGCACGGGAGCGAAGAGGTGCTGTACTGTAGTTGCCTTACAGTAGTGTAGATGGCTTCGTTCAAACAACTACCGGGACTCACGGCCATGATATTTGTCGCGATTTGCATCGCACCTACTGCATCTATCTGTAGCGTCCCTTCCACATTATTGTGTCAGGGGCACGGTCCCAAAAACCATCACTACCACAGTCACTTCCGCATCGTTGTACAGTTCTCCACCCCCTCTTGGTAATCATCTAATCGCGGCATCGTCGGGACCTCATCGTAGAAGATGGACAAGTCCGATGAGTCCGATATTGACGATTTAGACCTCGACGACCTGGAAGCGGAATCCCTACCTCTCCACACGCTCCCAGGAGACGCCTCATCTGCCAACGCGTTTTCCGAGACTCCGCGAGTAGCGCCACTGGACACCCCAACAAGACGACCGACAGCGTTCCTGGACGGACTTCGTGGCTTGGCTTCTTTCTTCGTCTACTTTGTATGTCGGCACCCCAGTCCCACATCGCGTCCATACTTATTACTGACTGAACTCCAAGTATCACCATCTTTCATGGTTCTACGGACCCATAGCACCCTTCGTCTGGGGTCTTGGCCATGAAGGCGAAAGCTACATTGTACAACTACCGTTCATCCGCGTTCTCTTCTCGGGCGGAAATGCCGCCGTGGCCATCTTCTTCGTGCTGTCTGGCTATGTCCTCTCCATTTCTCCGCTGCAGAAGCTCCACGGTGGCCATGTCCGGAAATGCTATACCGGACTTGCATCAGCGGTCATACGTCGTCCCTTTCGTCTATACATCCCCGTGATTGGCGTCAGTCTGGTCTTTGCCGTGAGCATGCATCTTCCCTTTGGACTTGCACCGATCGTGGGATGGCCTGAGCCCGAATCAGATATCTTTGCCGAACTCAAGCGCTGGGCACCCGAAACGTTGRGAGTCCTGAACCCTTTCCAGCTTTTGGGCATCACAAAGCCTTGGTATGGTAAGGCTGCCTGCTTTCTTCATCCGTAGGAGGACGATGCTGACAGTTGGACAGTGTATGATCCTCCAGCCTACACAATGGCCATTGAATACGCCGGATCCATGCTTGTCTTTGGTCTGCTCGTAGCACTCAGCAAAGTGTCAAGCAGAATCAAGCTCGCTACATTCGTTGTCCTTGGTCTGTTGTTCCTGGCTTTCTATCAATGGGCTTTCGCCATGTTCCTGGTTGGCATGAGTCTTGCTCTCAACGATATAGAGGGATACGATCATTGGTTGATGTCAAGATTTTCTGGACGTGCCATTTCCGCCATTCAGCATGTGATATTCTTCGTCGGCTGGTATCTGCTTTCGCAACCTTCCGGCCCCATGGACCCCAAAACTTCATACGAGACACCAGGATGGTGGACTTTGAGCCAACTAATCCCTGGAAATTACTGGGACAAAGAATACTGGCGCTGGTGGAATACATGGGGAGCATTGTGTGTAGTATACGGCGTCCTTCGAATCAACTGGCTACAGCGCTTCTTCAGCTCCCGTCCTCTGGCCTACCTGGGGCGACTGAGTTTCATGCTGTACCTCACTCAGGCTCCCATCCTGTGGACATTTGCAGATCGCATCTTCCGGCTATTCGGCCAGATACAACAAGAAGATTTACATACGTGGTGGGACAACCGACTGCCTGTTCCCGATTGGGGAATTCATGGATTGACTACACGATTTGTACTTTCGCAAATCATTGTGATCCCGGTGCAGTTCTTGCTCGCTGAGCTGGCAACGCGCTTGATTGATGGGCCTAGCATAAGCATTGGAAGGTGGATTGTCACGAAACTAGGAATAGAGAAGAAGTAGAGCGCTTTACGAAGTGAAATCTCCGAACTGAAACCCCACTTTCCCTAGTCCTTGCTTTTGATTGCATTGGTGATGCAAGTCATGTCAGTTGATCGTCTGATGCTGGGAGATCTGGTGCGAAGCATCCGTAAAGCCAACAACAATGCAAAGCTGAGCAAAGAGGTCACATATGCGCAGCCAGAAGACAAGCTCACAGCATCGCCTTTGGACGAGATAGACGCAGCAGATCTATTACTCGTCGAAGTTCCGTTGGCAGACACACAAGTTAGACTCTCTGGAAAGCTGCCAAAGGACTCATTTGCATTCCCAGAAGGCGTTTATGGGCCAAGTGCTCCTGGAAGTGAAGAAGGATGTCCGGTAGACCCCTTAACGCAAGCAGCGCCATTCCGAATCGCTTCATACGCAGCCTTCCAGACCAGACTCTGTTTCGCACACATGTCCGCCGTGGGGAAATGTCTAGATTTGGGATAAACTCGCAACGATAGTGACCAGAGAATAGACCTGTGCTCTCTCGACTGCTTCCTGCAGCCGGATACGACTGGTCTGACTTTCCCTCGAGTCTTCATGAACGCGATGAAGACGGCACATCTCGAGCCGCAAAGGCCGTTTTGGTTTAAAATCACGTCTTCAGGCTTGGAGAGAGGGGATGACCACTCTGCAATTGACAAGTGTCAATGACTAGCCCAGGATAATACAATATGTGCAAGATCCAATATGTGCAACTTCAAGCACTTTGGAAGAAAGACTTGATTGGAGTCAACTTCCGAGGTAGGCGTAGTGTCGAGCGGGATCGATCAAAGGCACAGCGACCACGACACATATCGAGGGTGGAACACGGCTCCTGGACGCGCTTGAAGATACGCTTGGTTCATGTGCGACTGGCTCTTGCATAGACAGCGGTCTTCATCCTGCGTGGTAGGGAAGGAGGGCTCAAAGAAGCGATTTCAACGGAAGATGATGGTGAGTGTAGGTCCTGGAACGCCCAAAGCTCGAAGAGAACTCCGCGAAGAGTTTGATGGTGATGATGATGATGATGAATGGTGAAAAAAGAGTTGATACACCGAGGCACCTAGAGTGATAGTGATCGGAGTAAGTTTTATCCGCCCTGCTTACTGTACAAAAACTTCCAAGGTTCGTCTTGGTTCCAACTACTCCGTAGTTCCACGACAGACAACCCTACATCATCATCATTGTGACTTTGTTCACTCAAGGTCCAAGATGCAGAAACAGAAGCATTCACCGCCAAAGGAATGCTTGTTCCGTCGGACTCTGGCAGACTGACAGGGCAGATGGCAAACAGGCCGGGCTCTCAACACTCCGACGGCCTCATTCAACGCAAGCAGAGACACGCGAGCTGCTGCCAGAAAGGCGATTGCGCGACCTGAAAAGCACTTGTCCCCCATTTCCCATGTGAATCCCAGGGCACGAAGATGCCTGGATGATACCGGAGAGAGCTTTCGGGTAGCTCAAACTTTGACGAGACTTCTTGTCAATAAGGAAACAAAGCCGGGTTTTCTTGTTGCGGTCTGCTCGTGTATTCACGGCCCGCCCTTACACCACCCGACTTTCTCTTATTCGTCGCGGCGTTGATGAATCAGGTCGCCAGTCGGCAAAGCTTGGAACAATGCAGCCACGCCGGAATGGCGAGGAAGATTCCAGAGAGGACTCACACCGCTCGGTATAGAGGTAAGCATGCATGGACTGTTGTTCCTTTGTTCAATTCTTCGAGTCCACGGACTATTGTTGGCTTGGCGTTTGGGTTCTCTTCCTTCCTCCAGTTCTGGGCTGTGAGATCACAGTCCGGGCAGCCAGCGACAACTGACGCCTTTTCGGCATCTTTCCCAAGTACCTGTAACACCTATACCGTCCAGCACGGGCTCCAGGCTCTACTTCTCCACATTCCCGCCGGGGGACTGCACGTTCCGATTCCTGCCGGAAAATCGGTGTTGGCCAAGGCTATTGCCAAGCACCTTCCGCGGCTTCGATCTCGGACGTGAACCAGGCTACCCGCTCCATTTCTTTCCAAAGCGACGCCTTGCTATTGCAGTCAGACCTTCTCATCTCTACGGCTTGCGAGAGTATCGAGGAATACCAGATTCCAAGCTACTCGTTCAACCGGAGGCACTCACGTTCATGGATAGCCTACTCGCCAAGCCGGAACATCTTTTGACGTTGGTCATACCAACCTGATCACAACCCAACGGCAGTTGTTGAATTACAAACGGTCTTTGTTGATATTTATCGCCTGTCGGAGACCTTGCAACACATCAATCATCCTCCACCATGGCTGATACACGGCCCTCATGCGCTTCCGGTGGTCCCAAGGAGGATTACAACTTGCCACTGCACGTCGGAGCGCTATTCATCATCTTGGGAGTATCAGCAGGTGCTTGTGCATTACCTATCATCGCTCTCCGTGTGCCTCGGTTGCGAATTCCTGCTGGAGCGTTGTTCGTGTTTCGACACTTTGGAACTGGTGTACTCATTGCGACGGCATTTGTCCACTTATTTCCCACGGCGTTCATATCTTTGACGAACGCTTGCCTCCCACCCTTCTTCAATGAGCAGTACCCAGCTTTCGCGGGAGCAATTGCTCTTGCTGCGGTCTTCATCATATCCATCGTGGAGATGATCTTCAGTCCAGGAAGATCTCTCTGCTCTGGTGGTGCGGATGCTACTGTGGAAGAATCGCAGACACCGGCAGACCGGAACCGCCCATCAGTCAATGACGAGATTGTGCCTGAATCTGCGCAGGTCCTTACCATTCCTCAATTCGGCAGGACACGATCTGGAAAGGGCGATCGCAATCGGAAGAGCATGATAGACTCTACCCGAAATCGCTCGCACGTGGATGGCGTGGAAATAACTGGATCCCGTCCACATTGCGAAATTGAGTCCAAAACCGCAGATCATCGGTGGTCACTCAGTCAGGACAGCATCGGAGTAAAGGAGGCGGAAGCCGAGCGCAAAAAGCTGATACTTCAGTGCATGCTCCTGGAATGTGGTATTCTATTCCACAGCGTTTTCATTGGTAAGTCGTCAATCAAATCCCCTGTTGACATTAGAGGCATCAAAACCGCATCTTTGTAGACACCGCTGACAGAGTTTCACAGGAATGTCTCTCGCCGTGGCGGTCGGACACGACCAGATTGTTCTTTTGATTGCGATTGCCTTTCATCAAACATTCGAGGGCCTGGCATTGGGCTCCAGGATTGCAGCAGTGGGTTGGAAGTCCAAAGCTTTGCAGCCCTGGTTCATGGCTCTAGCCTATGGCTGCACGTAAGTTCTTCTTTAATTGACCTACGACCAATCTTTGCTAAAGGATACATAGCACTCCCCTCGGACAAGCGATCGGAATCGCAACCAGAAACCTCTACGATCCAGACTCAACAACAGGCTTGGTCGTAGTCGGCACCATGAATGCCATCTCATCTGGATTGTTGACTTATACCAGTCTAGTCGACCTTTTGTCGGAGGACTTCCTTAGCGATCATAGCTGGAAGACATTGCGCGGCAATCGCCGAGTCGTAGCGATGTCCTTGGTATTCTTTGGGGCGTTCTGCATGAGCTTAATCGGCGCATGGGCCTGATGAGCTTCGAAAAGGGCTGCACTTTCGTGAGGACTTCACAAGCATTGAAATAGTAACGGCGAACGACAAACAGAGTCATCCTAAGTAATGATCAACGCAGCGGGCATTCACTAGTGTACTCAACCCGCGTGGTAAACCCTGCGGGCTGACGACACTATCAAAACGTCATTTCAATCCTACCAACGACACCTCCAAGACTTCATCGACATCTTAACATTCATTCCAATCGTGACATAATGCTCAAAACACTTCGCCTCCTCCTCATCACAATAACCACCCTCTTCCTCCCCTCAGTTCACTCCCAGAACCCCAGCCCACCCGCCCTAAACATCACAGCCATAACCGCAACCAATGGTGCCTCAATTCTAGAATGCTGGCGCCTCGACAACTTCACAGTCAGCACTGTCCCGGGAACCGTAGGGGCGCTTTCCGTATTCTTTGGACAAGCTAGTAATGTTTCGTATACTGTGATTCCGCCTCGGACAAATGCGGGATTACATCGTGCTCCTACTGCTCAGTATGTCTATTTCAAATTTCGGCAAGTAACGACTCAGGAGGATGTTGATGATGAATATGGTACCTAGATTCGTGACGTTTCTGTCTGGGTTGATACACGTTACCCTGCCGAATTCTACGGATGATGCGTGGATTATCGGGGGGAAATATGGGTTGATCTTCGCTGAGGTGAGTCGATGATAGCAGGAGAGAGTCTATGCGAGTGGTGGGAGGCTAGCCATCGCTTTGGACACTCTATGGCTACCTATGACTAGGCGCATGCTGATATGTGGAACAGGACACTGCAGATGTCAGCGAGTATGGGCATGGCACGGAATATCCTGCCAAAGGGGATACGATTGCGCTAGAAGTGCCTCTAGCTCCTGGGACGAAGCTCAATCATACGGTGTTGCACGCAGGAGGGTGCATGTGGGAGGACCAAACAGGGTTGTGATGACCTAGCATGATCTGCTCTATGCATTGCGACCATATCATATCTTGTTCATATGAGCGCACGGCTCCTCGGAGCGGCCTCTTTTCGCCACAGCCAAAATCTTCACAGTATTTGAATCGCAAAAAGGCGACTGCAAACATCGCCCAAAAACACCTACCTCGCTAAATCAGACCCATTCCACCCACCGCTTTCCTCAATGTCCCATTTGACCCGAAAACTGAATCAACGGCCATACTTGAGCATGCTGCTCGTACTCCCTGGGTACGTGCATCAAACTTCCCACCGTAGCGGCAATGTTCTCCATACCGGTGCCACTCATCTCGTCCACTCGACTGCTACCGCCGAGCGCCATCAATCCTCCAGAATAGTCATGTGGCTGCTCATGATGCATTTTCATCATCATGTTGTCGGCAAAATATCTCCAAGCGGCCGGACCTGCATTCTGAAACTCGCTCGTGCTGCCGGACATGCCTGCCGTGACGGAAGGGGTAGAGTATGAAGTGCCGATTGCTGGTGCAAAGGCAGCCATGTAGTCCGCCGGTCCCATCTGCGCGCTATGCGACGTGAGTTGAGCTTCCATGTTTGGTTTATTGTCTCCATGATCGGACGCATAGGTAGCAGTATCGAAGTGATTACCGCCTGAGTATGCGATATTGTTGGTTTGCGGCTCAGAATACGGATAGCTGGTGTTGTTGGCATATGTGTTGGACTGTTGTGTGTAGCTCTGTTCGTGAGGTTCTGAGCCTCGCCCATTTTCGTAGCCGTTGTAGCCGTTTCCGTACGACTGCTGCTGCGGTTGCTGCTCTACTGGCGACGACGAAGATGCGTTCACGGCCGCCGACGCTGTCTTTGCAGCAAGGTGACGTGTGATGTTACCTAACGAGAAGTCGATGATTTGACGAACAGCGACTTGAAGCTGTGGTAAGGTGCCTAGAGCAGTCGGTGTCAGTTGATGCTTGTTGACTCTGAAACTGTCGGCCGTACCTAGAAGAATCGACACCTCCTTAATGACCTCCATCCACGCATCCATGTCGTCTTTCAGCTTTTGCAACTCGGCCGACGTGATCTGGTCTCGCCGTTCAGTGAAGGCGAAGAGCGTCGTAAAGATGGCTGCCAGAAAGTTGGTGGTGGAGTACCAAGTTGTGTCCAGGCTCTTCAATTCTTTTAAATGCGTCGCTGCCACGAGGAGCCGGCCACTCCAGTTCAAACAAATGTCCAAATTGCTTTGCATGATTTGCGGTGCCGCAGATCGGCATAGCGAAGGATGATGGATCAGTAGATGGCACTCTGCGATCGCCATTTCAATGTACAGATAATTGACTCGATCCTCATCCCTCATCTGCGGGCCGCCTCGGAATTTTGCTGGTAATTGAGCCTGGAAGTCTTCCAATTCCTTGTCCAGCTTGTGCACACTCGCTTCGTACTGACCATTCGACCTGACGGAGTATATGGTAGAGTAAATCATCATCACGATCCGGCAGATTTTGTAGCCTTCGATCGCAGCACTGAAGGAGCACTCTTTGACCTGAGTCGACGATCCATCCCGTGGCACTGTATCAGCGACTGGCTCCGGCATCTCAATGTCAAAGTCCTCCCATCGAAGAGGCATCGGCCTTCCTAGCTTGCCGCTAAGAGCGACGTGGAAAAGGATTATGGTCCAGAAGGTACGTTTTCGCATTTCAACGTGATGGGCATCGGGAGCTGGACTTGATCCTTGCCATGCCTTTGCTGATCGATGCAGGCCTGATTCGATGGCGAGACCCAGGACAAAGTTGGTGAACATCCAGGCGGCTGCAGGCCGAGGCTGGTTGCGAAGCTGCGAGCATATCAGACTGAGAGCTTGGATGTCTTCCAGTTTGTGGCCGGTGATGAGGTCGGGGATGAAACTCAGAGCGTATTGGTAATGGCTCAACGAGTCCTGTCGAGCCTGTTCGTTATGGTTGCGGGCGGAGAACTGAAAGGTGATGATGGCGAGCACCATGTGCACCATGACTGCTTCCGCCGAGTTTGGTTGGTAATTTTGATGGTGGATCCGATCAAGCAGTTCCATAAAGTGCGGCTTGTGGAGGATGGGACAGAAGGCCTGCACGGTGCGGAAGTACCACTCGGCGTATACAACACACTGCTCGTACGGAGGCATTGTGGGAGTGAACGGCTGAGTCCTGCCAAAGGCATGGCTGATGAAGGTACGGTATGACATCGCAGAGGTCGTCGAGTCGGTCTCGGCCGGCATGTATTCCGAAAGGTCAATCTTGGTTCCGAACAGTGCGAGTGAGGTTCCTTCTATAGGGCTTAGCCAGTTATTCTCAGATGACACGCCGAGATAGTTGTCTCCAATGCAGCCCGAGCGGAATTCGGGCAGGATGCCCTGTGAGATCTGCCGCTCTATTCCAGGTCGAGTGGGAGGTGACAAAAAGGCCGTTGCTTGTTGCGGCGGCGTCTCCCAGCTCTGTGTGGGCTGCTGCTGCTGCTGCTGTTGTTGTCCCCAATATGAAGCCACATTGGCTGGTGTGTAACCTTGGGGTGCCTTTGGTTCGAGGCCATTGTCTTTGAGCTGCTGTTGCAGTTCCAGGAGGTACATCTTCAGCGAAGTGTTTTCGCTCTCCACCACCTCCGTGTGGCCCCGCGAAGTGGCTCGTCCTGTGATGCGGTCGGTCGTCTTGCACTCGCTGTTGTTCTGTAGACACGGTGAGCAGCCTCCGGGCCGCGCATCGCAGCGAATCTTGCGAATCTACCTGCTGTCAGTCTCACAATCGCACTCTTTGACGCCATTCCCTAGGTAGCATGACATGCTACGTGGTGTGGTGTAGTCTCGCCGTCCTCACCTTGCATCGGTCGCAGGCCTGGCCCGTCCTCGTCGAGGCGCCGCCGCTGCCACCCCGCTTCTTGCTACTGTGGCCATTGCTGCCGTAGTCGGCGTGTCCATAGTCGGACGCGGCCTGCTGCTGGTGCAGATGGAGGTGGTGTTCTTGACCGTGCTGCGAGCCTGTGTCGGTCCTCGCGATCTTGTTCGGCGACTCGCTGCCACCGTCAGCCTCCCCCGGCCGTTTCGTGGGTGGCATCTTCCGCGGAGATCTCCCCGTCCGTCGGCTGTATATGCTCTGATATTGCGCGCTGCACAGACTGAACGCGGTCGAAATGTATGATGAGGCTCCCAGACGCCTTATCCTCCAGGGATTGCAGTGCGCAAGCGCTGGTCCATGGGGCAATGGAACTACCTTATTACCACGCCGCGCAAAGCTACGCCCAGGTCGACTAAACGTTGGAGTCGAACAAGGCGGATCGAAAGTTCCGAGGGATTCTTCCTCGCGTCTGAAGCCACGGTGGGTTCGAGACTGATCTGCATGAATATCCACCTCAATCCCGCGCATCAGACACACGACCATGGATTTCCCACACTCGTGTGCCTCGTTCCCCTCTACATCCACGGTCTGTTCTTCTAAATCCACGGACCGCACAACTGGGAACGATCTACTGGGCCGTTCGAGACGCATAAGGTAGCCCTACAGCCAGGGCTTCGGTACCTCCTAGTAGGCATCTGATTCGCCGCACAAGTGAGCAAGCTGTCAAATCTTTGCATAGTCACCCACGGAATCGAAGCACCAACACTTGCACGTGGGGAAGATACCACGGTCCTCACACAGTCTCGCCACATCGCGTGCTCCGTGCCCTGCTTGCAACATTTTGCCCACGACATCACTTTGATGATCAGCACCACGAGAATGGAGACCATCCAACTGCCGCATCTCCCGCCGACACACTGCTTGCACGCCGTTCTGTTCCAGGATGTTGGGAAGGCTGCATACCTGAGACAGCAGCTCTTGGAGGGAAATCCGGACTTCGAATATGCTTTCCTCGATGCCTCCGTTTTGCTTTCTCGCAAGCACGTGCTCGCCGCATGCTGGAAAGCCATAAATGATGATCTACAGACCAGACTCAAGACGAGGAACGTCCACTCCGAGATCGTATTCGCACTCTCCACCAACAACAATGTAAGCAATGTAAGAAGTTCCTGAGTCTTGGAATTGTCTCATGAAATCCCAGATAGCAGAATCATTTCGCCGCTTCGGCATTTCGGAAGACAGCAAAAACGTCTTGGCTATCAAAGTTGGCTCCTCGGACGCCCAAGGTGCGATACAGCATCACCTGTTGGAGCATGTAAAAGGCACTCCCGCACCTTTCAYAGACGAAGAACTAGCTGCAGTGCATGATCCTGCAAGAATCAGGAAGATCTACCGTGTAGAAGCTCCTCAAAAGGGCGAGGCGCTGGTATTGGGAAAAGAAGCAGAAGCTTTCATTATTGGTAGCATGGCTCTGAAAAGCAGCTGAGGTTTCGTGGTTTCCGTGTATCGAAACCACCCTTCCATGGTTCGGGACGAGGAACTGACACCCTGACCGGCTCTGTCTCTGTCTCAAGTGCATAGGCCTCTTTGAGCACTCATCTGGGGACAAGCTTGAAGAGACTCTCGCGAGGTTAGGGTGACTTCTTCCTCAGACACCTACGGTCGACATGTTCGCTGAGCGGAAAACAACGTGTTCATCTATAAAGCTTCACGCTTTGTCAATATTACGCCAACGAAAAGGTCCCACATGAAGTTTGTGCTCACTCCAGCGCGAGCAGAACAAGACTAAAACCTTCATGCAGACAGTGCACTGTTATTCCCCCGATACATGGCGTAAATTGCACCGAAGACAATTGTGCTCATCTCAACACATACCATAGCGCATATCACTCTAGTCTATATTATCGTGACGAGTAGAGAGTCACCCATGTTTGCCATCTCAACATCTAATCCATTGTTTTCATAGTCCTGCGTCATCTGCATTTGCACCAAACGCAGCCAGATGTGGCGCCCCAGAGTATTGTGCTTCTAGGTAGCGACTTAGTCTCCGAGTGGTAGGGTATCAATCGTCACGTCCTCATTGTGCGTCTGGTTGGCCTCAAAGTTTGGCCTCGCACTATTGACTCAAGGACCTTATGAAAGGTTACCTTGGCTATTGCTGCAAAAGGCCTGGTTCGGCGGAAGACCAATCTCGCTTTCTCGCCGTCTCGTTTTCAAAACCACTGCATGTCCTCCGCCTTCATCTCGTCAATGTCTTTGATTATCGACTCCCAGTCCAGCCAGCTCGTATCATTCGGCAGGGTTGTCAGCATGTCTTCTGAAAGGTCAAATGTTCGGTCCGAGGCGTTCATCATGAGGTTGCCTGCGGGTATCTGAGGGAGCGGAGGTTGCACCACGGCATGCTGGTCCGGAGGATACGCTATCTTTTCATGCACCGCAGGGACAGTAATCTGAGCCCGCAGAGTTTGCCGCATCTCGATACCATCTCGAAACGCGGCGGCCTTCTTGTGAAGCTTCTCGATGGGTCTCCAGAGCATTCCATTGACACCATCCGCAACATCCGGAGCGAATCGAATCATAGCCTTGTCAACGAGCGTCCACGCCTCGTTGGCAAGGTCTGTGCCACGGATAGAGCAGAGAGCAGCGAGCGCCACAGCGATGGCGTGCCAAGGCACCCAAGGCATGCGTCTCCATTCTTCCTTGATCTGCCTCCAGAGATCTTCGGAGTGGCGCAAAATATTCAACGCGAGACCCATCACCCAAGGACTATCCACGCGCGGCGGGGTAGTACCGCTGTCGATTTGCATGGGACGAACGGCTCGAAGAATGATGGAGTTTACCGCCGAGGTACCTGCATACTTGATCATCAAGTGTTGCGGATTTGACAGATCGCAGTGGCGGAAGTAGGTGTTCTCCATATACGTTTGCAAGTTGTAGGCGGTTTGTAAATTCTGCTGCCAGGTCTGGCCCTTTGCATTGCCGAGTGTCGACGTGCCGCGCAATGATATTGCAACAGCATCGTGTGACATTAATGCTAGAGACATTTCTGTCATTTCATTCACACGACTGACTAGCGAGGTGGAGTACTCGTCGAAATCGCTGTCGTTGACGTTGCTTGGAAGTGGTCGGTTGTGTGTATCCGGCATTATTGTCGGATCACTTCCTCGGTCGTAAGACGAGTAGCAGTCGAGGAGAATTACACCATACCAGAGTCGACGCCGCAATTCGCGGAGATAGATGGGCTCGCCGGGAAGTTCGTTGTGGATACCCAAAGCGCGTCCTATGCGATCTAGTAAAGCGACCATCGACCATGATCGTCGACTTGAATCCTGCACGCGAATGGACGCTACATAGAGGGCCAGTGATTGGAGAGTAGCAAGTTCCATTGATCTTAGCGGGTCCGCCTGGTAGAGGGCAATGTCGACCATGCGTCTATAGTCGTTGATCATCTCACGTCGCGGCTTGCCGAGAGCGACGCAATCCACTTCTGAGAAGGCATTCATGCCAGCAAAGAAGATCGCTGCCTTTAATGCTCTATTGCATGGGGCGTTGGATGGCTGACCAAGATATGGCCGATCGTAGAGCACGAAAGCTTTCAGAGATGGAACATGAAAGAACCTGACTAGGGTGTGGAGTCAGCACTGCCCTTTTATGAGATCAAGCAATGGCGCTGTGTTTGCAAAACAAGCGAGCATGGTCTCGCGTAGGACGGGTTTAGAGGGAAATGCACGTACACATCGGCTCGACATAATCTAGGTATGCCGTGAGAAGCTGGGACGCCAGCGCAGGGTCTGGCTCAAGAGTTGCGCCAGGCATTACATAGAGTACTCCTGGGGGGCAAAAGATCAACTCCAAGTCCACGGTGACTGCTTGGGATGCATCTGGAGAGGTATGTGCTGCATCGGGGGAGTCCTCTGGTGTGTATTCATCACCACTGCCACTCTCGGCAAAAGCATCGGCCAGTGCTTTGACTTCGGCAGTCAAGGATGACCAAAAAGCACCAGCGACGTACTTGCTCGTCTCGAGTGCAGTGGCATCGGTCGAACTGGCTGGGGAGGCTGTGGTGTTATTGTCCAGTCGGAGTGAAGTGCTGCTTTCTTCCATGTGTGGTGTAGAGATTGAGCCGCTGCGAGAGGTATCTCTGCCATCTTCGCCTGAAAATGTCTCTACCAACTTCTCCAGCTTGAATATACGCTCACGTAGTTCCGCATCTCCGGACTTGCCAGACTTTGCGCGCGGCTTTCGCGTACTGATCTTGCACGAGATGCCGGACCTGGTGCATTGGACGCATGGGAACGTTCTGGAAATTGCAGGATACCAAAATCAGCTGTGTACTGGACAATGGCCGTGGCTGAAGAGGCGGTCCCTTTCCGTACTGCATCTCTTTTGGCCTTCAATCTACTCACCGAGAGCATTTTACCTTCTTCCTCTGACACTCCCGACAGGCCAAGTGAATGCCCTGTTGCTTAGCAGCCATCCGGGCGWCCCAAGATCCGATCTGCTCCTCGGTAAGGGTGCCGATTGATTCAGCAGTGATTTAAACGAAAGACTTTGCACATTTTCTTCACGATGAGTTGGCCCGTCGGAAATGATCAGTCTCAAGGAAGGCGTGGAGAGCAGAACAAGGCTTTGCACATTTCCTCTGATGATGCGGTGATTATTCTTGATGATGGATCGATCGCAGGGGTGACCGGCAATCGCTGGCAAGTCCCGAGCTGMTGCCTCCCTGCTAGCGCCGTTTGCTCTTCATAGGGCTCTGGCTCTTTCCACTCGAATCTGGAGACATTGCAAGATAAATCTCACTGTCATTCGATTTATGATCATCAACCTCACGAATTCGATTTCGCACCAGTGTTGACTCGCAATGTCATACTGGCCCATCGCTGAATCGCAGCATTCATCACCAAAACTCTCGTCCGAATTCCATGGAGTGATACTTCTGGCATCCTGGTAGCGCTGCGAGTGGAGGGACGCCATGCCTCTGCCTCTGCACCGGCGAGTCGTTGTCATATCCCACTCATTACAGGCCAGCGCTGCTCCAGCCGATAGCATTCTCGCCTCCTCACAGGCTGTTCCGCGCTCGCGAGCGTGGCTCACTRATGGGTGTGACGTGTGGCGTCCGAAACAGCGGTAGTGTCGAAGCCGGCTTGAGCGGGACAAGAGACATCGTCTACGGGATACTTTCTCGATCAAATCTCGCCCAAGGTTCGAATGTTTCTGCTCATTTGCCCTGCACTGGCCTCTTCCGGCCGAGGCGTCCACAGCGCGATGCGAGAATGGTGTGAGAATGGTGTGCTTCTCGCCGRTACCAGCCGATGTCCTCGTCCTTCTGCAAGCACGGTGACAGACCAGCATCGGCTTGGAACGTTTCTGCGTTTCATAGGCTGGCCTTGTTACAGTTACAGCGCATCGAAATCTACGCTTCGCACGTCCAACKGCCTTTCCTGCACGTCATCCTCACCACACGACAACCGCACTTGGCTGCTGTGTGCGGTGCAAATCATGGCAACTAAAACTAATGAGAAATGTCCGAACCGGCGCAACGTCTGCTCCGAAACCGTCCAACGACGATCCACCCTACTTGCTCGAACACGGCGGACACCAAGGGCTGCCTGCATGTTCTGCAAGACCGGTAGCAAATGACCTCTGTCATGTCTATGCTGCATATCGGCTTCAACTTGACGCGTAGAGTATGCATGGCCTCGTAACATGCATAAACCAGTCACAATCTGTCGTTGGTCATGCATTTGATCAGCAGCATGGCATGGACGACCTTTTTGTGCCAGAATGGCTACAAACCTTTTCGTGAAGCGACGTACAAATGTCAGCTACTGTACTGCGCCACTGACCACCAACTGATCAGAGTGTGTCCCCAGTGCCGATACCTGCGTTGAGTCCGAGCGGGAAACTGGTCGTCCATGGACAACAGACGCAGCGGTTGTCGAGCCGACTGGCGCAAGTCAAATGCCACACCTCGATTCCAGTCGAAGTCGAAGTCCCCTAAATTTTGTGACGGATTTCTACTCGCTCATCGCCTGGAAGACGCTGCGGGCTCTAATGGATGTCAAGAAGTATCCTCACAATGCGGTAGCGAAACTTGACGGCGTAGACAACCCGACTCCACACTTTTATTGAGATCTCCCTTCTCAAAGGTCGTTGCCGGTAGACGGGTACCTTGGGAAACGTGGCAGCCGAAATGCAGAAGCTAGCGTCAAACCAAGGTTCCTGGTCCGTCGGTTTTGCTCAACATCTCCTCGATATCGGAGGCTGCAGACTTGCGGGCATCAGTGGGTGTCAGCCGTTGGGCAATATGGATGGTAGCGATTTCCACCAGCACCGCAACCTTCACTGCGCCGTTGATCCTAGACTAAATCTGCAAATGAGTTGCCGCCCAGCTATTCGCCGACATCAATGGCTCTGKAGCGGGAGTTACTGGAAGGCTGCAGCAATGTAACGTCTGTGGTAGCGACGACTGACGGCGCCGAGACGTAGAGCATGCGGACACTGTTTTGCCGGCGCAAATCCCTGCCTACCTAACTTATGCACTGTCGGGCAGAAAAKAGGCAAGCTTCGACATCAGAGCGCGAATCACGATGCGGTGCATGACCACAGCGACTCCGGGTGTGTACCTAGGGATGTCGTGATTCTGTTGCAACTTTTCACACAATGAGTGCACAGGCAAATCCAACGTCGAACAATCGTCAACCTGTCGAGTAAGAAATCCTGCCTTGGGACGAGCTGGTAGACAATGGACACACAGCCGACGATGCACGAAAAGCGGCAACAATGATCGACTTTTTGCATGTGGTCTAGGTTGTGGCGTTCATGCACTCCGACACTGTGACAAGGYATTGAATGCATGAAGTCGAGCTCCACAGTCATGCTTACGCAAGGAGGTTGATGAACCAAGAGTAACGTCAACTTTACTTCAGAGCATCCGCTCTCATACGTCGTTGCGAGCGGGCATCAGTGGGATGTCGCATCAGTGGAACAATCATGGTAGCGAAAAGCAACAGTGCCAACTCTACGACCCCGAGGGCGTCTACCATTGATGGGAATCCTGCACAGTGCTCCCCTGCGTCCAATATGCAACTCTCCGACTCGCTAGGATCCTTGGTATACCATCGGCGGACCGCATGGCAACGGCAGCTCAACACATCAACACCGACGTGACCTGCACCGTTCCCTGCGACTCCAACGGCGGTTACCAGCGAATATCAGGACATGCCACATTCCCCCGTGGCCCAAAATGGGCAAGTAGCGCTGTGCCTGACTCGTCGCAGCAACTGGTTTGCAACTGCACCCTGTCTTCTGCCGGGCGCGAGTGGGAAACCGCATACCTGACAGGGCTGGGACCGAATTACATTCCTTTCCGTGCAACAAACGCAAGCCACGAACGGCACCTATGCACGATCGATCGGAAAATTTGCGAGGATGGGAGCGCGTCGGCTCGTGCACCTTCTTCATGCGGGAGTAAAGCTTAGATGGGCTCGGCATTGCGTTTACTCGCAAGAACTGCCTTTTTCTGCATGAGTGCACTGAGAAAATGTTGCGAGATTGCGAGGTAGTGTGGAATTATACACGTGCTGCGAGTTGGAGAAATGTGGGAGGCTCGCATCGGGGCCCTGTCATTCTGTTTCGAACGGAGCCATGGTACGCAAAGCGTCAGAGCCAGAAGATCGAAGGGTGTTCTCCCTTTTCGAGCAGATGGATGTGGTTCCAACACCCATGTCAAACTAATGCAGTTGCTGCTGGCTCGGGCGGGCTAGACAACAAGCCGAGAGACCAAATAGAGACTCGCCAAAAGGGTCCKGGAGGTAAAGTGGTACGCGTGATGAAACGGGGCGCGCGCGAAGCGCGATCAGCATGTCACACGAACCTCTTCTATGGCGGCTACCAAGATCCTGTTTTACCTCGGCACATGTCTGGTGGTGGCGATTTTGACATCCGCTTCAGATCGGAAGGTCTCACATCCAAGGATCCACATCTAACGTCGCACACAACAGGAGTTCAGGGCGCGAGAAGCGAACGGAACCTGAACCGCGAAATGAAGCGGAGCCGGATATCTGTGCCGACCCAAAAGGCAAAGATGCCACACGCCAAGCCTGCACTCTCTGACCGCGGTTTTGCCGGTGAATCTTCACGTGCGGTAAGTGAATGTAGGACCCAGGCAGGTGAGATTGAAGGTTGCCACCCTTCGTGAGCAGGTATAGATCTCATAATACCCAATTCAGAAGACCCTATTTAATGGGATCATCGATACTCCATAATTGCTTCTCTCTGTGCTTGTAGCTACCTGTTCGTGAGCGTTGTCGTCGATTCTACACAAGGAGAGGCGGCAATCTCCAACTTCACCGGCCCTTGGACGTAATCGGATCATTTATGTTGAAAGCATTCACCTACATTTTGATTTGCTAAGCAACGCCTTCAAAACACACTTTAGTGCTTGAGACTTGATCATCAAGTCAATCATCTCAAGTCACACCACCATCCCCCAACATCTTTGGCCCATGACCATCGAGAAACATCTCGCGCGAGACACGGCGCAAAGATCTCGCGCAACTCAATCATACAACTCGCGCGCAGAGTCTTCTGCCAAAGACGTTTGCATCTCTTGCTCCAGAACGCTCTACAGATACATTCTGCTGTTCTCTCATTGTTTGCATCATGTTCTCCAAACTTCGAACAAGCAAGCAATTCGCATCTCTCCCACAAAGCAGTAGGACATCTTTCTCTTACCGCTCTTCTTATACCTCTGCTTCTCCATTCCGCAACCCGCAACACAAGATGTCTTTCCTAGCACGAGCTCTTGGAGAGCCTCAGCATCCAACAATAGCACAAAGAACCCGCGCGCTCAACATCATCTTTGTAAGTCCCATCCTTCCAGTCTCCTTCAATCCGAGAGTCAGAACACTTCTGATGCAAGACAAAAGGTCCTTGGAGCCCCAGCCTCAGGAAAAGGCACCCTCTGCCACATCCTCAGCGAACAACACAACATCTTCCACCTCTCCGTAGGCGACCACCTTCGAGAARTCGCCCAGAACCCCACCTCGGATCAAGTTCCAACAGCAACATCCATCAAGCATTACCTCGACAACAACGACCTCGTCCCTCCAGCCACGATAGTCGACATCCTCAGTGTAAAACTCAACGAGGAATGCCAGAAAGGCGCAAAGACTTTCCTAATCGATGGATTCCCCAGAGATGAAGCTTCTGCAATTCTCTTTGAGAAAAATGTCAGTCTCTACCTCTGTCCTCCGCGCGCGAAACCTAACAGACTAATCTTTCCATATCAGATATCATTCCCCTCCAAAGTTCTCCTCGTAACTTGTCCTCGCAACATTGCTCTCGCAAGATTCCTCCTCCGGAAACGCGGCGGGGAGAAGGATACCACGCAGGTCTTTTCCAAACGTTACGCGGAATTCGAGAGGAATAATGCTATCCTTGTGGATCGACATTCTGCTGCGGGGATTTTGGGTGAAGTGGATAGTAGTGGGCCAACAGAGGAGACTTTGGAGGAGGTTTTGGAGGTGATGGGATTTGAGGCAGTGGAACTCGAGGGAGAGTGAATGGTGTTTCTGTTCGGATGAAGTTGTGCAGAGAACAGGGGTAGGGTAATGATGATGATGATGACAATAGCAACGACAGACTGAATGATCTTCGAGATTGCAGACAGACTGAGTGATCTCCGCAAACCTCCTTCATTCACGGACGACATAACATCAGCAAAATCGAGCGGAAAAAGTACATTTCAGAGGTCGTGAGAATTCGCAGTATAGTTCCAATGCAGAGGATATACAAACCAACAATCATATACTCCATCTCGTCAGAAACGCCTATGCCCATCATCAACTCCAACGCTGTGCAAAGAGTCACTCTTTCTTCGTCATCGCCTTCCGCTTAATCAACCTAATCATCCCGATAAAACTTCTTGAAAACCAAATGCAAAAGCAAATTAACCCCTAATCTCGCCCCTCCTCCCCTCCCGTCGTCAAAAATCCCCACGGTCCCCGCGTTGTCATATTGCGCCTGCAAAAGCTCATCCAACACCAACCTCCCCTGAGCACCTTGCATCATAAGACTCCCACAGCTAGCCTCCAACATGAAAACTCCCACAACATCACTAGATATGACAATATCAATTTGTCCCCATTGTTCTGGAGGGACTCCAGTCCAGCTGACCAGCACTCCTTTATCAGCTAGTTGTCGTGCCGAATATTTGAAGCTTCCAAATTGGGGTCTACGACCACTTTTCTCGAGTTCGCGTTCGTGAGTCCATTGTTTGGTAAAAGGGAGCATGAATTTATGTTTGGTGCCTTTCTTTGACGCGAGAGTGTGGAGGCATTGTTCAATGTAGTCGTTGTAACTCCGTAGTTGGTCTTCCAAGAACGAGGCCTTTTCATCTAGTTGGTCAAGAGTTTGTCTCGTGCTCTCCACATTCCGTTGGCGGTCTAATCGCTTGCGATGCTTTTGCCGGATGTCGCCTGCGAGAGCATTCAGCAGTTCCTGGTAGTTGTTGTGTCTGGAGACGCGGAACTGAGGAGCAATGGAAGGATTTTCGAGTTGGAGAATGTTTTCCAAAGCCGTGGACTTCAACTCCGCGTAGGTCATGGATTGGAGATCGAGGAGATCGCGATGTTGGTCGGAGGAGGAAGGCGCTTCAGAGTAGACGGATTGAGTGCGAGCGCCGCGGAGGGAGGCGGTGCGGGCGTCAAAGGTTGAAGCGGTGCGCTTGTGAGATGTGGTAGGCCGGTGTGGCTTTTCCGCCAACTCTTCTGCTACTAGAGAGATCCATCTATCGGCATCATCGTGGGTGATGGGTCGAAGGAGGATTTCCATCAAGTTTGAGCCGGACTGGACACGAATGATGTAGAGAACCAGACGTTTAGTGTTGGTGAAGAGTGCGCGGGCTTCGGCGTTGGGGTCTTCTTGGACCGTGAAGCGGGATTTGAGCGTGAGTGTGATTTCGCCGCCATTTGTGGCGCCGGTGAGATCGGTCTCATTCCCTTTGGCAGAGCCTAGATCTGTCAAAAGCTCTTTGATGGGGTCGTCTCGTTGAGGTACGACTGCGGCCATGTTATCTGTGATGAGCGAGTGCAGCGCGAAGATGTCCGCCAATTTAATGTACAGGGTTGGCTTTGTCTTGGAGTAGAGGTCGCTGAATTGGTCTGCATCATAGTGCTCTTCAGGGCTGGGAATGTCGAACATATGTCCGAGGCAGTCCTGCCATCGGTCCAGGCTCTCCGTGATCCAGTTGTTGAGGGGCTGGAGGTAGATATTCTCCGGCCCAAACAGCCTTCCAGCAGAGGCGACTTGTGAGAGAACTGTAATCACTTGACCCAGATTTCTCTTATGAACGGGACTCAGGCCACGATCCACTACACCCCACATCTCCGGCTCTTTCAGCGCAGGCAGGAGATATGCTTTCCACAACCATGTTCCAACAATCATAGCAAGATGGCCAGGGTCTTCGCGTGGGAATTGAGCACATAGTGCACGATGTTGTTCAGCCGCAATGTAGCGCAATCCAAATGGCATCCGGTGGAGTGTCTCCTCGAGATTGTGGAAGAAACCATCACCCAGATCGCGAAGGTCTTCCAGGTGCTCAACATATCGCGGTCGCACGTCTTCCTGTCGGATCACTACTTCTCGAGGAAGATCGCGAGGCCGCTGCGATGGCATGCCGGTAGAGAGTTCCTCATTGTTCAATATCGCACGATAAATCTGCAGTGGATCGCTTTCCAAATCTAAATGATCCTGCGCACAAATGCCGTTCTTGATCATACCACCGAAGAGGGTCTTGAGGTATGCCCGCTCCTTGGGTGATCGAATGTGATTGACAAGAATTCGTTGCTGGAATGTCCCGTTCTGCTGACGCATGTAGTCTTCCACGCTTTGACAATGTGAGATGACCTGTTGTGAGCTTGTTGCGAGAACCTTCAAAAGCATGTACTCTTCTCGGCTCTTCTGAGCGTATCCGAACAAAGTCATGATGAGCCGCTCGGTGTTCTTGCCTTCCTTCTCAGACACACCGCGACTGGTCAGAACACCGAACAATCGTGCGAGATATTGCGGTTGTGTCTGGATCATGAAGAAGAGCTCCTCGTATCCGGTGAGCTTCTTGCGAGAGTTTTTGTTGAGCGCCTTGAGGTCAAGTCCAGAGGAGTTGGTCATGGTGCTGCCACGTAGGAGTTGGGAGGCAGATCCGCCGAAATGCTTCTGATGCTTGACAACTTCGTCCAGGGTGATCTTGTTCTTGACGAGAAGGGCAATCTTGACGTCCAAGCCTTCGACATAGCTCTCAACAAGTTCATTTCTTCRGACGCTCTCCACGACTTGTCGACGCMGCCGTTCAGCTTCTAGCTCGCCCTCAAACTCGAGGTTCGAATCTGTGAGGAGATGCAAGTGGCGTCGCACGACTGGGAGAGGAGGATTTTTGCCATTGACCAGGCTCTTGTAGCTTTCACCCTGCTGCTTGGCGCGGACGAAGGATTGCAACTTGATGACCTTTTGCATGTTCTCGCGAAAGTGCTTCTGCTTTTCGGCGAAGCGCTTTCTCACGACGAAGCCGCGAAGGTGTGACTGCAGCTCGACGAGTGCGTCTTCATGCTCTTCCAGTTCTGCCAGCTCCTGACCAATTTGGCTTCGGAGGAGCATCGCTCGTGTTAATGACTGGAGCTCGATGATGCTTTGCTCCTCTTTCTCCATCTCCACGAGCTGCTCGAAGATTCGTTGCCGCTCGATGTAGGCCCTCGACATTGACTGGAGCGCGACGAGCTGCTCCTCTTCCTCTTCCAGCGCGACCAGGTTCTCGCCGATGCTCCTCCTGTGGAGCATTGCCCGTGCAAGCGACTGGAGTGAACATACTTGAGTGTCGTGCTCCTTGAGTGCATTTCTTGTATCGGCAACAAGACCACGAGCTGCCTTCCCTCTGATAAGAGCCTGAAAGGTATCAAGAGTCTCGGAATGCCTGCTGAGAGATTCCCTCGTATCGAGATGCACCGATTTGGCAGCCTGGGCACGTATTAGAGCTTGGAACTTGACAATCGCAGACTCCCGCCCATGGAGCGCTCCCTGAGTCTTAGCCTGGCGAAGTCGCTCGATAAGCCCTCTTGCCACGCCCTGAACCTGGACAATACTGGGCTCATGAATCTTGTGTTCGCCGTGCTGTGTCTTTTGTTGGATTCTCTGAATGAGACCTCGCGCTGCTGCTTGGAGCTTCACAACCTCAACAGCTGCTGATCGTGTGTCGGMGTGCTGTTGGACGGCTCTCTTTCGTATTTGGCGCCCACGTGCATGTGATTGGAGATCGCAGATGGTATCCTCAACATCCCAGAGTCGGTTCATGATAGCTCCCACGCGCATCCGTTCTATCGCACCACGAGCCGCCGCCTGGAATGCCTGCACACCAGCCTCCGTCTTTTCATCTCTCGCCTCATGCCACAGATCACCGGCTCGCCATCGACCGAGAGCACCTCGGATTGCTGATTGAAGCTCACTGAGACCATGCCGTTGAGCACGTAGCTGAGTCTTGATTTTCTTCGTCTCCACTCGCTGCTTCCTCCCTCGCCATAGACTCTGCACCTTGACCACATCCGCTTTGTTCTCCTTCCATGCGCTCTTCTTTTGATGGAGCTGTTTTCGTACGAGGTAGGCCTTCGATGCGGCCTGGAAATGGCGGGTAGAGTTGTCCATGGCAAAGCGAAAGTCAAAGATTTCTCTTGCGAAGCCTCCTCGAGCAATAGCCTGGAAATGCGCAATCTGCTCCTCTGCCGCCCAAAGTTCTTGCATGGTCTCCCCAAGTCTCAGCCGAACCAGAGCACCGCGCATTTGAGTCTGCAGCTCGACAAGCGTATGCTCCTGTTCAGCCAGGAGTTCTTCGGGAGTGGGTTCTGGTGGCGGAGGCTCCTCTTCCACTTGCATAGCAGCTCGCATACCGCCGAAGTTGGGCATTTGGATCCCACTTCGATCGATACCCTTTTGCGTCTCTTCCAATTCGTGATCTGCAAACTCCAGCTGTCCTACCAGATTTCCAATCCGGAAGTCCACAACACCTTTCCGGAACAGAAGCCATGACACAGCGTGTATGCAGTAGATGACTTTGGGGATGTTCTTCTTCTCGTAGAGATCGATCAGTTCGAATCGGAAGAGCTCGGGAAGTTCAATCTCGGCGAGGAAGCGAAAGAAGAGGGCGATGTTGTCGGAGTGTCGAAAGGAGAGGGGCGCAGAGCGGAGAATCCGTTGACTCCCAAGCGCTCTCTGTTGATCGGAGGGAAGTTTGTGTGCAAGCCGTACAACCACTTCTGCCAATGTGACACCATCTCTCAGCGCCTCCTCCAGTTGGACAATTGGAGGCAGTTTTGTAGGATCTAGAACATCCTCTATCCATGCTCTTGCCTCCCCAATGTGACAGAGATACTCGTATGCAGCCAAATGCTTCCTTTGCGTATCCATCCATTTCGTGCTTTGGAATTGTGAGGCAAAGTTGGACTTTTTCTCGCTCGGCTTGACAGTTCCCGATCGTTGTAGCCTCCTTCTCCCCACCAGACCCGTTACCTGCTCCTCTGCGGAGTGAACGTTCAGCTCCTCGGTTGACTCCTTGTCTGCAGCAAACTTGCTAAGCTCGCGCAAATGAGGAGTGCTCGATTTCTTGAGCTGATCAATCTCGCCGTCTAGTTGGGGCATGCTCGCGGAAGTGTCTGTGGATGTGAACCGGACGTGACCTTTGGATCGCGGTCTTGTACTAGCTCGCATGGAATCTGAACGAGAGAATGTTGCCAGGCTGTTCTTGCTGGCCGTACCCGGAGGACTGGCAGAAGAGAGTGGATCGGGGGATGATGGACGCAGTCCTGTATCGACGCTCAATCCTCGCGAATGTGTGAGTTTCTTTGTCGGCGATCTGCTCTCATCCTGACTTGAAGGTCGCTCTCGAAATGCCAGGCTTTCCTGGCTGGGAGGACGATATGCAATGTTCTCTTTCGATTCGGATCGCTTATGCAGGCTGTCGGTTCCATTTACTGTAAGCGGTCTGTCCACGATGGGCGAGGCATTCTGGGTGACGGGCTTCAAGACACTCCGACTCTCACTCCTGCCAATCGCATTGCGCCAGTCGTCGTCGCGAATTTTGCGGGGTGAAGTGTCCATTCTGTTTTTGGAGGGAGACGTCGTCGTATTCTGCCGTATCGGTGAGGACTTTGTCGGGGAAGTCTTCAGCTCGTCCTGTTCGCGCTGTTCCCACTTTGCGAATGCAGCCAACTTGGTCTTGACCGGCGATGTGGACTGACTTCGCTCGACTTCTCGAATTACGGAGGGTCGAGTAATGAACGGATCATCATGATCTGCCGCTTCGCTGTTGTTTGATCTGGTGGAAATGGTATGCCGTAGGGGAGAACTCTTGGTCGGGCTGTGATCGCGCGCCAGGCGATTCTGCGGCGGTGACGAAGTGAAGGTGGGTGCCAYCTTGCTCCTGCGCCGACTCTTCCTCTTGCCTGTCAATCTATTCCTTCCTGTTCCTCACTACGCCTGCCGTCAGACTGCTCTGTCCAGCCCAAGTCGTTGTTGTTGGGGAAGCTATGGGTCCCGTTCTATCGCGACCGTTGTTTCTGCCGTCTCTTCTACGCTGCTTATTGATTCTGTGCAGTGTTCTTCGTCCATCAATCGCGTGTCATAAGTCGTCTCGGATCGTCAATTCAAGCATCCTGCATACACTGAGCGTCGTGGTTGAGGAATGACGGCGAGTCGGGCCAGGAAAGATCGCGGCCGCCGCACATGGCCCACGGAGCAAGGTTCGTCACAACAGACCAGGTAAACAAAGTTAAGCCTCTTTGGGCTGGCGGTGCACAGGTGGGCGAGATGACGGAGTGAGAATTAAGTAAAGTAATTGATGATATTCATGTCATCATTCATCAGCTTCCATATGTTTGGTGTGGTCTAGGTTGAAAATATACCTTGTACCTAGCTGCGCGTTTGCATGGCCGTAGGTGGTATATCAGTGTGTTGTGACCATGACCATCACGGGCAGTATTCCTTGATGAAATCAGACTTGGCCTCGACCTGGCTGGAAGATGAGCTGATCTCCGTTCAATCAGCTCTTCTCCACTCCCACCTGAGCGAGTGCGAAGATCCGGACGTACAGCAGCGCCCGTTTCGTCCATCGGTCTGGCTCGCGAAAGAGCGACGTGATGCGCACATGGACATGTAAGGTCTGTCGGGTACTTTAGGCCACCGTTACGAACCCTGCAGCTTTGGGTGATCCGTGCGCGAGAAATCTCGTCCCTCCTTCAAGAATTTCGCGCGTGCCGACCACCTTCCTCTCTTCGAGGTACGTACAACATTCTGATTGAGATAGTGCTTGCCTCTCATCATCTAACAACTCCCATCCAGAACATGAGCGAGAGCAACGGACACAGTCAATCCACCAAAATGTCCAACGGGCACGCGACCGCAAAAGTGGAGGATGCTTCCAAGGCACTCGAGCTGCTGGCATCCTACAAGGCCAAGGATGGCATCTCAGTCCAAGAGTTGATGGATGAGAACAAGACGGGCGGCCTGACATACAATGATTTCCTCCTCCTTCCGGGCTACATTGGCTTCTCCGCTGCCACCGTCGACCTCACCTCGAAACTCACGCGCAACATTACCCTCAAGACGCCCTTTACCTCCTCCCCCATGGACACCGTCACCGAGCACAACATGGCCATCCACATGGCTCTCCTGGGCGGTGTCGGGGTCATTCACCACAACTGTTCAATCGAAGAGCAGGCTGAAATGGTGCGCAAGGTCAAGCGATTCGAGAACGGCTTCATTACCGATCCCGTGGTCATATCCCCCAGCACCACCGTCGCCGATGCCATTGCTTTGAAGGAGAAGTGGGGCTTTGGTGGATTTCCCGTCACCGGTATGTTCAAGCCCTCTCTTCTATCCAATCTCACATGATGAACAACCAATCATATAACTTTCGTTCAACCTATCCTTCTCGCCAACGTGCTTGGAGGGATGAGGAGTCTGTTTCCTCTGATTTTCTGCGTTCTCTACAATCCACCCATTGCGAGTCGATACTTGTACAGTTCACTGACAGTATGACTTTCCAGAGGACGGCTCTCTCCGCAGCAAGTTGATCGGAATTGTCACTCCCCGTGACACGCAATTTCACTCCAACCTCGACTCGCCCGTCACCGAAATCATGTCCCGCGATCTCGTTACCGCCAAGGAGGGTGTCTCTCTCGCCGAAGCCAATTCAATCCTCTCGAAGTCGAAGAAGGGCAAGCTCCCCATTGTTGACGGTCAAGGCAACCTCATCTCTCTCCTCTCCCGCAGTGATTTGATGAAGAACCTCAACTACCCGCTCGCGACAAAAGTCCCCGGCACCAAGCAGCTCCTATCTGCCGCCGCCATTGGAACAAGGGAGAATGACAAGGAGCGTTTGGCTGCTCTCGTTGAGGCCGGTCTGGACGTTGTCATCCTCGACTCGTCTCAGGGGAACAGCATGTACCAGCTCGGCATGATCAAGTGGATCAAGGAAAACTACCCAAAGGTCGACGTCATCGGCGGCAACGTCGTCACTCGCGATCAGGCTGCCTCCCTCATTGCCGCCGGTGTCGATGGTCTTCGTATTGGAATGGGTGCTGGATCAGCTTGCATCACCCAAGAAGTCATGGCTGTAGGCCGTCCTCAAGCCACATCCGTTTTCCGCGTCACTGAATTCGCCGCACGTTTTGGAATCCCTTGTATCGCTGACGGCGGTATCCAAAATATTGGCCACATTGTCAAGAGTTTGGCATTGGGAGCCAGCACTGTCATGATGGGTGGTCTCCTCGCCGCCACGACCGAGTCTCCGGGAGCATATGTCGTCGGCCCAGACGGTCAGCTCCGCAAGACATACCGCGGAATGGGCTCCATTGACGCCATGGAGGACAAGAAGGCTGGCGGAGCAGGCGACAAGACCAACAACACTGCCAAGAACGCTGGAACTGCACGATACTTTTCAGAGGGTGATAAGCTATTGGTCGCGCAGGGTGTTAGTGGAAGTGTATTGGACAGGGGTAGCTTGACCAAGTTCCTGCCATACCTGATGACGGGTGTGCAGCATTCTTTGCAGGACATTGGTGTGGAGAGTCTGGTGGAGTTGCAGACAGCGGTTAAGCAGGGCGATGTGAGGTTCGAGTTCCGCACGGCGAGTGCCCAGGCCGAGGGTAACGTCCATGGTATGGTTGGTGTAGAGAAGAAGTTGTACAGTTAGATGTTTCGGTGGGGGAACAAGAATAGGAAGGGGGGATGCGAGCGTGCTTTTGTCTGTCTTGCTTGTATGGCGTTCTTGGGCGGAAAATACTTAGCATTGAGGGAGAGTTTCGAATGAATGAAATACGAAGTGAATGGTTCTATGGATGAATGCAGCCTTTTATGCGCGTTGATCTGTCTGGCAACGGATGATCTTTAAATGAATACTGCTTGTGTCTCTTACTGCTGCTGCTGCTGCTGCTAGCATGCCTTCGTCCTCGACAAGATAGAAACGAAGATGCAGCGAGAGAGCATCCTTCCGCTGTCGAGTCAACGCGGCAATGCGTGAATGGCAGACAGCTGGGCAGGATCGTATCGACGAGCTCTTTCTCGTGCAAGTTACGACGTATGGAAACCAAATTGGTCAAACGAGGCGATTCGATTCGATTCGATTCAGTCGATCGTTTGGTATTGAGTTTGACGTGCATAGTTAACTTTGAGACTGCACGAGTACGACGTGCCATTTCCCGATTCGTGATGGCACATCCACGTGGGTGACAATGTGTCAAGAGAGTTGCGGTTCTGCTGTCCTCTAAGCATATCGAGTATAGCGTGTGAGAGATGAACGTCTCGACTGTCGAGGCCTCGAGAAGTAGGACAGCTTATCGCGTGGTGGCTTGCATATTCCCGACCAATTCCCAGATCCTTTGTCACTGTCACTGCCACACTTTGCAGATTCTGGTGTGTTGCTGCGAGGATCAGGGTAGTTTGCACGAGGGAGTTCTGTTCGCAGTGGGTTGCTTTGTTGCGTGATGGTTGCTGCTTTCGACTTTCTCATACGACCCAACTTGAGATATCTGCTGCGTTAGGAGGATTGTTCGGTCAAATGCCACACCGGAGCCATGGCTTGACAGTGTGGCTGCAACATGGCGTTCGAGGCGCTGGATGATCTTCCGTCCACTGGCGAGAATCCCGCTGCCACAATCCTGTTTCCTTCAGGTAATAGCATCTTCGGCTCATCGCTCTCTCAAAGGCAGCAAGCACTCCCTCGGTCGATGTCGCGTCCATTGTGATCAATGCAGCAAGATCGGCGCATCCTGAACGAGCAACGCAATCCTTCGTGATGCACAATGGCATCAAGCGAGGAGGCACGTGGAGACAACGTGATAAGCCAGACTACCGGGACACACGGCTGAGCTTAAACAACCCTGGTCTGCCTTGTCGTCTGAGTCAGCTGCCAGGGCGAATCCTCCCCGTCGAAGGATTCCAAGGCTAAAGGTGAAGCCCTAGGACCTTGTTGTTGCATGCTTCGCGTTTTGGTTCCCTGGTCAATGATGCAAGGCACACCCGATGAGTTTAGCGACCTCATGTCGTTCTGCGCGGCCCACTTTGATGTGGTATCAGCTGCGCTGGTTGAGAAATAGTGTGTATAGTGTTGATCGAGGACGAAGGTTGTTGACGTTCAATAGATGGAGTGGGCGATCTCGGCAGCGAATTAGCTGGGATTAAAGCAATGATAAAGTGCATAATTCCAGCTGCAAAGTCTGCTAATTCACAGACCAGGCAACAGCCGGACAGCACTTCATCGTCTTCAAAACAAGACAACGATTAACTATGCCAGGAGCTTCAGCGCTACCAGAGGAGTTACTCGCACTCATATTCTCACATTTGAGTGTATCTAAAACCCTTTGCGACGACGCCATTGACCGGAATCATGGAGACAAACCTCAGGATTACGCTGGAACTCTGAGTACACTCGCCTCATTGTGTCTGGCGAGCAAGCAATGCTGTCGCCTAGCTCGTCCGCTATTGTACTCCACGATTTACCTGGATGGAGGTGTCGACCCTGCTCAAGGACAACACAGACTTCAGAAGCTGGTCCGCACATTGGTGTACCAACCCATGTTTTCCAGCTACGTCGCTAAGCTCTGGATGGGTGCCATGTTCTCGTCATGCGAACAATGGAACGAAGAGGACTCCGCGGATTCATCTCACGAGTCGTGGGATCTACCCTACGAAGATGTAGTGGATTCTTCTCGCGCGTTCGATCAAGATGATCTATCTCGCCGGGACCTGCTCGACAGCCTGCGGGACGGCAACCAAGATGCACACGTTGCACTCTTGCTTGCTTTATGTCAAGAATTGAGAAACTTAAGCATTACGTTGCATCGGGGCTTCTACGACACGAGGTGTTTTACCAATCAAGTTCTCTCAAACTCAGGGCGTGGCTTGGACCCATCTATCGAGAGTACTAGCTTGGCGCTATCTTCGCTCAGAGTACTCTCGATGCATAAATCCCCAGATGCAAACGATATGTTCTTCTCCAATATAACAAACGAACTCCAGCTTGTTAGCCTGGAAGTTTTTCACGGGTCTGGACTCGACTGCACCGCGGAGAACATGGAATACGACAACTTTGTATCAAACCTCAGACGCATCGACTTGGATGAATGTATCGTCGATGCCGACGGCCTCAAATTGATTATGCAAGGATGCTCCAAACTGGAGGACCTTGCCGTAGTCTGGGCTGACAATTGTGAAGTGAATTTTGCTGACATCGGCACGCATCTCGGGCGATATGGAAAGTGTCTGAAGAAGCTCGCCTTGGAGCAGTTCGACTTCAACGGTGAGGGCGGAGGGCTTGGTGACCTGTCGCAAATGACATCATTGAAGACCTTGGTSGTTGTCGCCGACCTCCTCGTCGGTACCACTGATCGGACTGACATAACACTGCCAAAGTCTCTTGAATCTCTGGACGTGGATCTTGCCGGGTTTCTGCTCGACGAGGACTTTTGGCAGCAGCTGCGCGCGGTCGCAGAACGTGGGAAATCGCACAATCTTCAGGTAATCAATTGTGGTATGGGTGGGGGCAGGAGAAAGGAGAATTTCTGGAACAAGACAGCCGGATATCAGGTCGAATTCCCAATCGATGCATGACACTACGAACATACTGAAATATTAGAGACAAAGACAATGCCAGTACAAGGCCCGGTGAAATCGAAGGTTGCCGCCCTACCTGTAGCAGGCAAAAAAGGGTTGTATTTCCTGCAACAACGACAGGATGATTAAGAAGACATTGTTGATAAGACACTCGATCCTTTGCAATTCACTATCCACAGCGCAAATCTGCTGAGACAAAGTCAACCTTATGGCCGAATGCAACCATGACTATATCAGAGTATTTAAAACCATGACACAGTAGATAAGGCGTCTCTCTGCAGTTCGAGGCMTGCGCGGCCTTGACGAGGAAGTTCAAGCTCGTCCTAGATGTGTAATGCCCGCGAAGACCTGCCTTTGGTTCTGCATGATCCTGTCCTCGTCGACCGATCAGTTGGCACCGAGGTTTCTGATTTGCCACGCTCAAAACATCAAGTAAGACAGTTCATCGGCCCGGTCTCGAAGCTGTAATCCTTAACTTTGGACCCTGGCAACTGTATGCGTACTGATACCTAAGGTAATCTGATCGCGGTAATCTGGACTTGAAATCAAGATAAAGTAGTCTGATTCTGGATGTCTGATTCTGGATCGTGGCGCTCAAAGTGGCACGGAGCGGTGGCTAGAGCCGGCCTGACACATACTGTAGGAACGGGTGGCTTGGACAAGTTCACGCTAGGTTCTACCATGTGCCTTGGATCCGGAGGATTTTGTTCGCGGAGTGTGTTTCTCCGGAGAGGCATTTCATCCATGCTCCGTCGCCGATACATGAGATTGAACTCGCAGTGGTCCCAATCGAAGCGGCCGCGGAGGAGTGACGATAATTGAGATCCCGCAGACTGACACCCATGCTGCCCTACGGGATTACTTAATGTCCTCTTCTCGCCGGGGCTAGGTCCACGTGAACTGCAGGGGAGGGTGTTGAAACGGCATCTGAATGGCCGGTCGCCTACAAGGCTCCTGCCATCGATTGCAATCTGGGCAGAACTGAAMGTGCGAAGGATCTCAAGTCGATCCTTCATCAAACTCGAGCCCTGAACGTGTCCTCCACGCTACCCGACGGGAAAGATCGACACAGCCGGAATCATCTGACTTAGTAGCATATCTGCTCTTGATTGAGCTATTTACGTGACATTCACAAGATGTGAGACGTAGCCAAGCGCCGACCATGGCGATGAACCTCCATAATTAGCAGAATCAGCATCACAATCCTTCCGCTGCGGCACAGTCGTGAACTCGCTACATTCGACAGCGACAACCAGTCGATTTCGCGGTCTACATCCTTCGCAGGATTTCGCTCTTCATTATTCTCCCCACGAGGCAGTGCAAGCTGAGCTCACCAGCAAGGAATTAACGACCACTCGAGGCAGCGCCCCTTCAGATCATGTTGCTACACAAAAGCTGCGCCCGCTTCGAAGCGCTGGAGCAGGGCCACAGCCATGAATGGCGTACGGTCGGACAGACCCCTCATCGCCGTCGCTGTTACTTTTGACATCTACAGTACACGGTCAGATGTCAGCCCGCAAGACACCATCATCCTCACGCAGACGTGTGATAGCAGTGCACAGAAGCGCCCCGGGGAGCTCTCCTGCAGTGAAGAGTAATGTCTACTAAATTCGTCCAGAATCCATCACAATTGCCCGAATGCAGCTGGGCGGCTATTTCATGGAGTACAGCAAGCGAGCCACACAGCACGCGCCGTTTGAGCCCCATCGACCAATCCCGCTTATGGACAGTGCGGGACGCCAGTACCTACGCTCCACGCTCACGCACACGCACAAAGCCAATGCTTATTCTGCCATGCGGCGGGCGGGTCTTGCCAAAGCGGTTGCTGGAGTGGAGGTCCGTTCGCTCGTCTCAAAATAAGCCTACTCCTGTGCCTAAGCCCTGGCGCCCGTACTTGCATGCCTACTAACGTTGATCGTTGCGGATCCCAGGCCAGGAGCCAGCGATGAAGCGCATCCTACTTATCCATCATCATGTCCTGCTCATGTCACTGTTGTTTGCCTCGTTCCAACGTAGGCTTCCCGCAAGCCACCGTTGTTCTWCCTCAAGCACGATCTACAATCCTCCCGTTCCACAAGTAGCTGTTTCCAACATCTGACTTGCCGAATATGTCCTCAAGCCAGACATATCCAACACTGGCCGGCTCAATCGATCAGGCACAGATGGGCGTCGACGCTAATTCTGGTGCGGTCTGTCCAGAATGGTACAATCCACCTTCAGTATGTCATCTCAAACATATCAGATCTGTTGGTTTCACCATCGAACATGACGCTAATGTACACACAGTACAACTACGATGAACCATACATGACTTCATATCCAACTTCGTCAGTGGAGAATCAGCCATGGCCTCAATTCGTACGGACGTCCTTACCAGACATCAACATGAACGCCTATGGGCTGCAACACTCCGAATCCCAACAATACCCACCACAAATGAACGATTCGCATAGACCTCGAACAAGTCCTTCTCATCTTGGTCTGTCTTCCAATGGCCTTTCGTGGCCCGCAAATGGACTTGGAATCCAATACCCTCCACCAAGCTCAAACGTCCCAACTCCGCCGGTCAGTTCGACCTTTCCTCCAATGTCCTACTCGGCATCTGCTGGTATTCCAACGCCACCCGTCTCATCTACCTTTCCATCCATGTCCTTTTCAGCGTCTACCGGCGTTCCTACGCCTCCCATCTCTTCAACATTTCCACCAATGGCATATTCAGCGGCGGCTGATCTATCGACTCCACCGGTAACCTCGACTTTCCCTCCAACCTCCTTCCAGGCGTATTCCGCGGATGAATTCTACAACATTCCAAGCCCAGAGCTCAGACAAGTGCGATCTAGAAAGTCGTATACCAGCATCGCTCCCAATCCAAGTCCAGTTCCCGAGAAACGCAAATTGGAAAAGGACGAAGAAGATGAAGCCGTTCCGGATCTCCCAACATTGAAGCGCCGCAWACGCTGTTCATCTGCTACTTCCGCGACACTGAATGACGAAGACAGACTTCTCCTTCAGCTCAAGGAGGAAGAAGAACTTCCCTGGAAGGAGCTAATCGTCCGCTTCAAAGCCGAGACAAACAAGACCCATACCGTCGCCTCACTTCAAATGCGATACAAGCGTCTTCGTGATAAGCACCGTATCTGGGAGGATGCTGATGTCGATGCTTTGAGGAAAGCACATGAATATTGGGAGAATTCAAAGTGGGACATTATCAGTGCTAAAGTGAGTCATTTCAATCATTCTTACTCTGGAATCATGACACTAACTTCGGAAACAGATGACAGATTTTGGCATCGGAGAAAAATGGCCCTCTCGTCACTGTGGACGCAAATGGCAGGAACTGGAACATGCAACAATGGGATTTCCTCCAACAAACTCCCACTTCAACACTCCCACTTCAGTTTCTCAACTGTCCAGTCCGATCGAAGGTCCTGTGCAATTCAGCTGGGTTGCCATGTCATCTTGATAAACGGACCGCATGTCACAGATTGAGGAGCGTGTGATCCAGCGACACGATCGATAGATGGGGATTTGGGATCATTTCTACACACTTGAGCATTTCACGATTTCACGGGCGTCGGCTTCTTTGGTTTCTGATTACGACGATACCCCTTCCGCTCGCTTTCTTCGCATTACATGGGCTCTGGCTCCTTTTATTGGATGATACCCACGCCATTCGCTTTTACTGGATTCTTTTGCATTGGAGAGGAGTACAATATACATGGTATCGGGGCATGACGCTTGCATTGGAGATACTGGGAGTTGATATTAGGGATTTTTGTTGATTGGAGGGCTCGCACATTCGTTGACTTCACCAATGTATCATGTACATACAATTTGAAGAGGGATTGAACAGCAGCGTTGTGTTTGATTCACTTCCTCTACTCTACGGAGACTTTGATTTGATTCCCAATCAACCGCTTCCGCTCAGAGCGATGCACTCGAGCTCAACAGGGACACCCTTGGGCAGCTCCTTGACAGCGACACAGGAGCGCGCAGGCTTGTGCTCACCAAAGTACTTCTCATAGACAGAGTTCATCTCGGCAAAGTTATCCATGCTGGTGAGAAAGACCGTCACCTGCACACGTGGTTCATCAGTAAGTTGAGAATTTGCACCGTTTCGTGTACAATGATGGGACACCGAGGCCTTTGTGGCCCCCACCCACGCTCGTCTATCATGCGTGACAATCTATCAGGGCTTGCATGCGACGCACGTTTACCGACGGACGCACGATCGCACAACGTGTTGCCACGTGCAGATCCGACACACGACAAACACACGTGGCTGGGTCGAAGGAAGGAAAAGGGTCTAGCCATACATACCTTGACAACTCTGCTGATGGAACTTCCCGCGGCTTCGAGGATATTCTTCATTCCCTCGCAGCAGACAGTCGTCTTCTCGGCAATGGTGCCTTCGACGAGGTTTCCTTGGGCATCGGCTGGGATTTGACCGGAAACGAAAATGTGCGGACCTGCCTGAACGGCTTGAGACTAGAAAGCCGGGACACAAAGTCAGCCTTCCTGTCATTTTGGCCGCGTTCGCCGCGAGAAGCTGTTTGCCTAGCAGTCCAAAGGTCGAGGAGTTTAGGGTTGCATTGAAGTGAGTGTCAAGCAGCGGGCAAACGAATGCAGGGTATGTTGATCACTTCCGCTGACTGAGCGGATAGGGAAGGAGAAAGCGTATACGCACATAGGGAGCGACAGCTGTGTATTCATTAGCTCCTTGAGCTAGGCTGTTCGGCATCCTTCGACAAACTTACGCTGAGCTGCCAATGGGGTGGAGATTTTCTTGATCTCGGTCATGGTGCGGATCTGGCGGATGGTTGCTGGGATGGCGGACTGAAGTCTGATAGATTGGCCTGTCACACCGAGGATGGTGGGGTTGCTCAATAGGGACCGGCGGATGGCWCTCTGGAACATGTGGTGGAGGTTAGGAAGAGGTMAATTGTGACAACCAAAGAGGGGTATCTTTTGAGGTGAAGTGCCAAGACGTATCTAAACCTTGACAGTCAAACAACCTTCAGACCTGAATCTGCCCGCATGTCGCCCAATCCGTGCATGGCAGGCGTTCCCTGATGAATGCAAAGTACATCGTCGAGAGCTGAAGAGAGAGGCATGTCATGGCGCGGCTTGTTCGTTTGCAAGGCGGGTATCTATAATCGATTGCTGCTACATGAAATCATCCATATTGTCTGCAAATCCGGGCTCAGTCCGACCTTCAATACCATGTGCATCTCCACCTATCCCATCTTCTGGCAGATCTTCTCCTCCTTCAACATGCCCTTCATCAAGATCCTCAATCGGCCATGTCAAAATCGTAGCGAGTCCGCCGAGTGCTCCCAATCGCTGCCCACTTTCGTGCATGCTGCTAAGCACAATGACCTCGCCTCCTTGTTCCTTCACGTCGTCTACCACTGCTACCCAGTGTTTGCGGACTTCAACCTCCTGACTTCGAAACAGCTCATTCGAGATCATGAGTACACCGCCTCCCCTGCCAACGGCGCCCTGCGCAATGGCTGCCTGGCATTCCTTGCGTCCATACCAAGCTCGCATKTCGTCCTTTCGCACCATTTCCAAGAATTTGTCCATGAGCTGGGAGCCGCGCGCAAAGTTTTTATCGCTCAGTTGGCTGATGATAGCCGGGCTGGTTAGCACCTCGCTCAAGCTGTGTACATGGCCAGACGCTGAATGCGCCACTATGATCTTCGAGATGAACTGCAGGAGCGGCTTGTTCGCGCTGTCGACGGCCTGACTTTTGATGTACTTTTGGAAAGAAGTCGCTGTGAACCCAGGGCTGGCGAGCAGCAGTGGTTTGGGGTCGTCCAGGTTGATCTGTCGCAGGAGAGAGTCCCACACGATCTGGTAGAAGCGTTCGATTTTCTTATCATGATCCGTTGATCCTGCGCGCTTTTTGGGAACTGGCACCTCGACCTTTTGCCTTAATATGGTCTGAAATTCCGTCACCAGACAGATATGCGCCATGCCTTCTTGCATGACCACTGCCCATAGCGCTACCCTCGCTTCAGGGTTGGTACACTTCTTCAACTCCTCCCGTGCAATGCTGTCCCATCCCTCCTTTTGGAGCGTAAAGTCGCGATGCAGCTCGAGGTCCAGCGTGTGGTGGCCGCCTAGGATGACGTGTTCATTTTCCACGGCTACTCGGCCAGAGACGTGTAGTTGGCCGACTTGCGGGTCGAAGTCGAGTCCGAGAACGCGAATCGTGAGTGTCGTGTGGACGCGCTTGCTCGACCGGCTGGTGGCAGCCTCGGTAGTTTTGCTGCTTGCTCCTTCCGTAATGACTTTGCGTACTGCAGCGGCGGTCAATAGATCGCCAGGTCGTATAATGTTGTATGCATGCCACTATCGTTATGTTAGTATGCCWTCTCCGCGCGCGACTGATGACAAGTTCCATACCATGTCTTCGGGCTCTTCTGGCCGGAGTTTGGCACTGCCAGACGCATCCTTGGCCAGAATGCTATTGGAGATGAGCTTCATCCTGCGCGTTGTCTGCTGCTGTTWTAGGAGGAAGATTCAGGTGTATGAGCAAGCGGTCTAGCTTCTTCTCGGGGCGGGTAGGAAAAGTGTGGAGAGCTGCACTCGATGCGCTGGCAGAGAAGGAAATGTAAGAGATGAAGTTGGGCCGTTCCATCGCCTGTAGCTTACTKTCGCATATGTAGTGGAATCTTGAGCCGCTCTATCTCCAGCGGACTTATGGTATATGTAGCTTGAGCCTATTTTATGCCGTTCTTTATAAGGCGGAAGCCCGCAAAGAAGATGTTGGTACCTTGGAGGTCTGTGCGCCCTCGAGTCAACTACCTTACGTCATAGCCACCAAGTGAGTTACATGTACTTACTCCATGTCTTCGCATTCATCTCTTCGGCGGCGTACCAGCATCTCCCGCCAACAGTCCACCACTCCGCTGAATGGAAATCGTGTCACGACGGTTCATTAGATCCACTACGACTTTCAAAAAGACCTCTCCACCTACTTTTCTGACCATGACGAGCCTTGATATGAACTCCAAGATACGCCTCAATTCTGGCCACTACATTCCTCGTCTTGGTTATGGTAAGTCGAGTTCATTTCCCGGCTGTCTACTGTTTAATTTGCACATGTCGGTCATCTGCTTTGGGTGACCATGGTCAGACAGCCCAGGGGAGCACTACCTGATCCCGACCTTAACCCCAACCCCAACCCTAAAGAAACCGGCGTCGAGCACAGCTAAACTCCATTGCAGGCGTATATCAAACGTAATTCTCCAATGGACTATATCATGAACGTATCTGACACTTTGAAGACCTGCTGCGGTAGCAGAAGACGTGTGCGACCATGCCATCAAATCAGGATATCGTAAGGTCCCCCTTTCTCGACCACTTCACGCGATTCTTTTTTATCTTTCTGGATGAATCCTGATAGACGTAGGCCATGTTGACTCGGCGACCATGTATCGCAATGAAGAGCCATCTGCGAAAGGCATGCTGAAGTCTGGTGTTCCTCGCGACCAACTTTACTTCACCTCGAAAGTTCCGCCGAAGGAAGTCACATATGAGGGCGCAAAGAAGGCCGTTGAGGAGAGTTTGCAAAAGACCGGGTAAGACATGTGTTTCGAATGCAGGATCATCTAGACTTGCTTCTCGATTTAAATGACATCCGGATTGCTGGTCACTAACCTCTCCTTGAATTCGCAGGTTAGGTTACATTGATCTATACCTGATTCACGCGCCATATGGAGGGACCGACGGTCGGCTCGGAGCTTGGAAGGCGCTCGTCGAAGCAGTAGACGCGGGTAAGGTCAAGAGTATTGGGGTATCGAACTACGGAGTCCAGCATCTGGACGAACTTGAACAATGGCAGAAGGTAGGTCTCCTCGCAAAGGCGACAGCTTGTGAGATGTATGCTGATCACGTTCGCAGCAACAACCTGAAGGCCAGGGCGGTATATTGTCCGTCAACCAGGTGGAATTACATCCATGGTTGGCCCGTGACGACATAGTCAGATGGTGTGAAAGTCGAGGAGTAGTCCTCGAGGCATACTCGCCGCTCGTAAGAGCCACCCGGATGGACGATCCCCTCCTGCAGCCGCTCGTGAAGAAGCACAACAAGAAAGCTTCGCAAATTCTGCTTCGGTGGAGTTTGCAGAAGAATTTCGTCATCCTGCCGAAGAGCGAGACGCATAGCCGTATTGAGGAGAATCGATCTCTCTACGATTTTGAGCTTTCGAAAGAAGATATGGAGAGCCTCAAAACCGGGAAATATGAGCCTTGTGCGTGGGACCCGACCATTGAACCTCTGAGCAAGTAGAGGAGGAGGAAATGGACGTATGCGATACCTTCATACATCTGAATGCAATCACCCACGCGAGTAGACATCGTGTGCGTTGACAACAGTTTCGCCGGCCGCCGGGGTCAGCCTGCCAAGGAAGGCAACAGTCGATGTATAGGTCGGTCGTTTACTTGGCGAAGCATGACCTGCTATAGTTTCTCTTTGCATCACTCTACCAAAGGTATCACCTCGCTTGCATTGCAAGTACAATGTCGCAGGTGTTGTCACCGATCTCGGGTGCAGCGATGTACGGCGTGACAAGAGTTGTCAGTCCAAGTGCGATGTGTGAAGCTCACGCCGTTTGGGTTCAAGTCGATCCGAACTTCTATTCACTTGACAGCCATCGTAGTGGTGCTGTAACGTCATGTCGATGACAGCGTACCATCGCCTGTATAGAAGGACCAGCTGGTCCGAGTCGTGTGACCTACCGATATGTGGAGCGACCATCGCAGAACACATGGCGAACAAGTTGCCATTGGTAGTTCGCGTGCGTGACCTGCATACCCTTGACGCTGTTCAACTGCGGTGTGATCTTGAATCCATTTAGCTCCCTCCACATCCCCGCAACGTAGCCTGCAGATTTGGGTGGAGGAAAAAGCTATACCGGACATGCGGACGGACTTGCCTTTGAAGGTCACGACACTCTCGTTTATTCCCCGGTCCAACAAGTCGCGCTGCTTCAGAGGCCCTGGCCAAGATGACCCTGCTGATGACCACGCGATGCAGCCCTCCGGACAGCGGCGGCGTGCTGCAGTTGGGACGATGAAGCATGGCGTGTCGCAACGGTGAAGCTATGATCTCCGGCCTGGATTGTTTTATTTTTTCTCGCCGAGGCTCTGACGGTTGGCGTGTTTACCTTTTAGACCCACGCTCATAGGCTTGGACCCGATCCCGCACCCGTAGCAAAAGTTTCTTTAGCTCCAAGGTAAGGTAAGTTACCTTACTTTACTGCTTCAGAGAGCGCGATTCTATGATGTCTTGTCACAAGATCATCACTTGATTCTGGCCCGCGGTAGAAGCACTGCCGAGCGATGTCGCAACCACGGTCACAGCTGGCGGTCAGTGTTGCGGTGTGGATTGACTGCGGACAKGACGATGTGCTGCACTGCCCGACAGCACCATAATATTCACAAAGCAGTGTAAGCAGATGGCCTACAGTAGAAAACATTGTTCCGACTGTAGGGCACGCCGGCACGGTAGACGTKGCTGCCTCTTGGGTCAGCATCCCTGACTCCTGCGGCTTCAAAGCCGGCCAGCGCGCAGCTGCAGCGGTTTTCTCAGGTAATGCTCGCGTCGACCAATCATCAGCTGTGCCTGAACGAGCCACGTCCGTCATCCCCGGCGCCCTACAAACGGCCGCAAGCTTCACGATGTCGGGTAAAAAGAGCGCGTCGGGCACATGATCTTGGAAATCCGGAGAAGGCGCGGTGATCTTCAGGCGATCTCAAACGACCAACGTCCGCCATTCTTCCAGGTCAGCCGTGACTGCCACCGCGTCGGCTCGGTGCGGTGGGGGAAGGTCACAAGCAGACCACAGCAGGCAAGGATCCATGTCGTAGTGCTTGGAATAATCGATTCAGACACGCTCGACATGCATAGCATCCGAATCGCCGCTGCGTCACGACATACGCGACGATCTTCGCCGTTGCAGAGTCGCGGGTGAAGGTTTGTCGTGCCTCCTATTCCGCGTGTACTTAACAATCGAGCTCCCCCCATCGGAAACGGCAAAAGCGTCATCTCATTTAGTGAGCCAAACGTTTCAGCGCGAGTCGCACCTCTTATTATTCATTCCAGGCGGGTGCCTGAACATTCCTACCACCGTCTCTATTCTTTCCTCATTGCCATCACTGCCTAGCCGGTGTCGTTGATCGGAATCATGGGCTTTCTGCGTGCTGCTGTTGCAGCTACTGCCCTGCTCGCCTCCTTCACCAATGGCGCACCGTCGACGCAAATGTCAACCATTGACAAGAGGGCATTGAAGTTCAACTTCGGCGGCGAGAAGGTGCGAGGCGTCAATCTGGGCGGTTGGTTCGTGTTGGAGCCTTGGATCACCCCATCGATCTTCGAGAATGGACCGGCCAACGCCGTCGACGAATATACCTACTGTCAGTTACTGGGCAAGCCGGAGGCCAAGAAGAGACTCGAGGGACACTGGAGCAACTTCTACAATCAGAATGACTTTGCGTTGATGAAGAAGGCCGGATTGAACATGGTCAGAATCCCAATCGGATACTGGGCAGTTTCGCCTCTTCCGGCCGATCCCTATGTACAGGTAAGGACGCAAATCTCACGTACAAGCAGTAATGGAACGCATCTGACAATATGATTACACAGGGTGCATACGCACATATGCGTACGGCGATTGACTGGGCCAACAAGGCGGGTCTCAAAGTCATGATCGATCTGCACGGTGCTCCGCGTTCGCAGAACGGATTCGACAACTCCGGCAAGCGTGGTCCGATCGGATGGACCCAGGGTGAATCTGTGAAGAACACCATCAGGGCATTGAACAAGATTAGGGACGACTTTGCCAATCATCCTGCCGTCGCAGCCATTGAGCTGTTGAACGAGCCTATGGGTCCAAGTCTCGACATGAACGTTGTCAAGCAGTTTTACTATGACGGCTGGGGCAACCTTCGTAATTCTCCAGTGGCAGTGACATTCCATGATGCCTTCATGGGTGTCACGTCGTGGAACAATGACAAGTTCGGAGCTGGTCTGTCTAACCTTGTCTTGGACACACATCATTACGAGGTCTTCAGCTCTGGGGAGCTGCAGCGAGGCATCCAGGATCATCTTCACTCAGCTTGTGACTTTGGCAAACAGATGGCATCAACCGATAAGGTCACCATTGCTGGAGAGTGGAGCGGTGCTATGACTGACTGCGCCAAGTACCTCAACGGTCGTGGCGTTGGCGCAAGATACGACGGAACCTTCAACAAAGACGGACAGGGCTCGTACTACATTGGATCTTGTGACAGGAAGACCTCAGGCACTGTTGCAGGCCTTGGAGAGGCTGACCACAACAACATCAAGTCTTTCATCGAGGCACAGATCGTCGCTTACGAAAAGGCGGACGGTTGGATCTTCTGGACATGGAAGAACGAGGCTGCTCCCGAATGGAATTTCCGGGACTTGATTGCGAATGGAATGGTACCACAACCATTCGACTCCGCCAGTAAGTTGAAACCTTTTGTCTGGATTTCGAACACTCGCTGACCTGCGTTTTCCAGACCGTGGCGTATGCGGCTGAGCCGCTTGACTCCATCAGCATCATTTATCTGTGTACAGACAGCATGGGGACCATGACAGTTTGGTTAATGAATCGTGGAACATATTTCTCTTATCTACTGTAATGATACCCATTTTCGGCCCTCTGGCCACGATCTCACGCTCAGAAAATGTGCACGGAATAAGTCAATGCGGAGCAGAGGCCTCAGCGGTTTCAAGAAAGCTGGCTGGTCGCTTCCACAGAATATTTAGTTGAAAACAGAATGCAGGCTTGTCACAATCCATTTCACAGAGCTGTCCTTGCTGTGTTTTATGATGAATCTTGTGCGCTGGCATTACCCATGCTTCAATCGCCTATTCTTGTCTAGGCCCGTGGGTCCGGTGAGTGATGGATGTTACAACTTCAGGGATAGTGGCCCATGTGAACCACGTTCTGAGGAGTTCCACGTGCGTGTCAAATTGTGCGGGCACGAGCGCGGAGAAGCGACTAGGGTGATGTTTCGTGTTACCATCCCTCGACACTGGATCAACTTCACCTCTCCGTGGAGTTTGAAGTCCACTTTGGACGTGAGGAGGACCGCCGCGCGTGCGATCGATGGAGCAGATCGCTTAAACCTCCTGTTGAGGACCGGTGAGCGACCAGGATTCGCAGTCGAAAAAACGACTGAGCGGCTGAGGCCGAGATTGGCATGGCAAATTTAACTCGCGCCATCACTCGCAAATGGGCAAGCGCCGACGGCCACGCTGTGATAATTCGCCAAAAGTGGATTAAGGACGGACTCTAAATCTTGGACAACCAATGACGATTCAGGAATCTCCGAAACACTGCCCGTGCCCGCCTGTTGGAATATCCGCCTCCTGCCGGCAAGCCGCCGAGTATACATACAAGCGTCCATCTCCAACAAGGCTGGAGTTGTCGCATCCTCGAATCCTCACCATCGTCCTCACACTCGGAAGTCTTTGCACTCCACACGCTCATYTCAAAACAGTCGCTCTTTACAACGAGGCCCATATCCCAACCCATCAAACACCCGAAAACTCATCAACAACCGTTCAACATGTCCGACTTCTCGCTCTTCAGCCTTTTCACGGCCGGCCTGGCCTGCATGGTGCCATTCGCCGCTGCATACACCCAGCCAGTGGGCGCCGAGCCCAAGGTGTGTAGTTCCCAGTTTCCCAAGTGTGAATTTATCGATAGCTAACGACAAACTCTACAGGGTAACCCCATCTCTCAGCCTGGCCTGAACTCTCTCGTGCCAGCTGGCGAGGGCTTCACCATCACCTGGAAGCCCACGACTGAGGGCCCCGTCACCCTTATTCTTCTCAAGGGACCTGCCACCAACTTGAAGTTGGAGAGCGTCATCGTTGAGGGCACCGAGAACGACGGCAGCTACACCTGGACTCCATCCACCAGCCTCGAGCCCACCGCTGACGCCACCGGATACGGCATCCAGCTCATCGTCGACTCCGGCGCCGAGAAGGGACAGTACCAGTACACTACCCAGTTCGGCATTTCCAACCCCGAGTACAAGGAGTCCTCTTCGTCTTCGTCTTCGTCCTCGTCCGCCGCACCTTCCAGCTCTGCCGCATCTGCTCCTTCTTACGGTCACAGCTCCGCCGCATCTGCTCCCTCGTACGGCCACGCTTCTTCCACCTCCGAGGCCCTCAAGACTGCCACCGCATCCGGCGAGCCATCTTTCTACACCGCTCCTTCCGTCATGTACCCAACTGCTTCTGCCAACCAAACCGTCATGCCAACTGGTGGACATGCCAAGCCCACCGGCTGGACCACCAAGAACTCCACCGTCGTCGCACCCACTGGCTACCTCCCATCCACCACCCTCAAGACCACCGGTGGTGCTTCTGCCTCTGCTCCTACCGAGTCCGTACCAGTCTCCACTGGTGCTGCCTCTACCATGACCACCAGCTTCTTCGGCCTCGCCCTTGCTGCTGGTGTCGCTGTCCTCGCCTACTAGGCGCAGACATGCATGGTTTGGGTGTTTTTGAGCGCGCTTTGACAGCATTTGCCAAAAGGACAGGCCTGGCACGGCGTTATTAAGACATTGCTTGTTTCTGAGTTACGAGCATGGACCGTGTTTGTATGTATGTATGCATGTACACCAACCGAGAGCAATCATGCTTGAATGATAATGTCGAAATTCCACGATCTCTATAAACGTGAGTTGCAACGCAGCCCATGACGTGACATGACATTCATGGAATCGCCAAAGCGTTGCATCGGCTCTCATCCTTTCCCAGCCAGCCTATCACGCGAATCAACCATTCTATTCTTCGCGCCATCTAAAATAAATCCGTCATGGCACCCGTCGACGCATCTCCCACCAATCTCGCATATTTTGCAAGCACACCTCTCGTCACCGGCATCCTCGGCGCTTTCCACTTCTCCAATCTCTTCTTGATCTCCTCCGGCGCGACATCCAATTCAATGACATTCCTCTCTGCATCGATTGTGATGACATCGCCGTCCTCGACAATTGCAATGGGCCCTCCAACTGCAGCCTCGGGAGAAATGTGACCGACGATAAAGCCATGCGATGCTCCCGAGTATCTTCCATCTGTGATCAAGGAGATGTTCTTCAAACCGGCGCCCATGATCGCGGCGCTGGCCTTGAGTTGCTCGGGCATGCCCGGGCCACCTTTGGGGCCTTCGTAACGGACAACGACGACGAGGTTCTCCGTCTTGGGAATGAGACCCTGGTTGAGAGCATCGTTCAACTCGAATTCTTTGTTGAAAACGCGCGCTTTGCCTGTGAACTTCATGCCCTCCTTTCCGGTAATCTTCGCGACGGCGCCATTCGGCGCAAGGTTGCCATAGAGAATCTCAAGATGACCGGTGGCTTTGATGGGGTTGTCAAGGCTTCGGATCATCTCTTGTCCTTGTTTGAGGCTGGGCCAACTCTCGACGTTCTCTGCCAACGTCTTGCCTGTCACGGTGATTGTGGAGCCATCGAGCAGACCAGAAGCGATGAGCAGTTTCTGGACTGAAGGAACACCGCCGATCTCGTACAGGTYTACCATCAGGTACTTTCCACTTGGTGCGATATCAGCGATGAAAGGAACCTTGTCGCTAATCCGTTGGAAATCGTCCAAGGTGAGGTCTACCTCCGCAGTACCAGCGATGGCGAGGAGATGCAGAACTCCATTCGTTGAGCCGCCCAATGCCATCATCATGACCAACGAGTTCTCGAACGCTTTCTTGGTCAAACAGTCGCGTGGTTTGATGTCCTTTTCCATACAGATCTTGATGGCTTCTGCGACTTTATGGCACTCTCTCATCTTGGCGGGACTCGTTGCGGGTGTTGAAGATGAACCAGGGAGTGAAAGTCCGATCGTTTCGATCATAGTCGCCATGGTGTTGGCGGTGTACATTCCTCCACAAGCACCCTGGCCTGGACAACTCCTTTGCTCCAGATCCGTGATGATTTCGTCCTTGGTTTGGGAGGGGTCGTTCGGGTTCTTCAATGTGTCGTAATTGTATGCTCCGTGAGCTTCCAATATTGTCGCGATGTTGATCGTCTTATTGAGAAGTTTCGAATGGCCGGGGTTGATCGTTCCTAAGGTCACCCTGGTTAGAATTGTCACGACAGACTGGAGCTGATCAATGCCAACCTCCATATATCATAATCGATGGCCGGTTGTGTCTTGCCATCCCCATGATAACTCCTAGAGAAACGATCAGTAATGCTCAGGCAAGAAGTTTTCAAACTCATCAGGTCTCACCAGGCATATTCTTATCACATCCAGGGATAGCTATACACGCATCATGCGCCTGAGCGCAAGTGACCGTCTCGACACTATCGGCAATGATCTCTCGAGTCTGCAGAGAAAATCGCATGCCCTCGCTGCCCATTGTGATTCCATCACTCACACCTACAGTGTTATACTGCCAACCTAGCATATCCAGCTTCTCAACTGCACGCTTCGTCTCTTTGCCCAAGTCTAGCAAWTGCGTGTTACATGGATTACCTTCCCACCTACAAAGTAAAGGATAGGAGAGTTAGCGGTGTGTCAGACATTATTGACGTGGACAGAGACGTAGTGCAGCTCCGAACATACGTTCGAACTGCCATGTWTGCCTTCTCCCCGGCAGTAACTTACCATACACTGGCGATGCCCACTTGTGGGAATGTTTTGAGTGCCTTTTCTGATGGCACTCCTGCAGCGTAGAGCATGGCTTGGGCAGCTGGAAAGTCATGTTCTCGAGTGAGAGTTGAGGAGAACTTGTTCAGTCCCGAGCCAGGTTGGGAGTGCTTGAAGTGAAGGTAGCGTGCATCTTCAGGTTTTGGAGCGGCCTGTTGTCTATCCCGGTTGGCAGGGTCCATGGCTGTTTACTGCTATATCGAGTCGGACTTGAGGCAGAGTGTTGTCGAGCTTGGGGAATGTCTCAATGGCTTTATAGGCAATGGACGAACGAGAGCGGGCAGAGATGGGATTATGGACTGGGTAGTTAGGTATGCGTCACTTAAAACCCCGCAATGCCACACGGCTCGACGTTGCGTGGGTGAATGATCTACCGAGATCAACAACATCGTTGCTATGCTCAAGAAATCAAAGCGGATTCCGAGGTCTTTCGCTCAACATTCTCTATCTCGCTACCAGCCCACTCCACTGTATCAGGCATCTGGCTTATCAATGCCAGACGAGTACATGAAAACATGTCGTGTCTTTGGAAAGAAAGGACTTTGCGATCGAGCTTTGAGGTCATTCAATCATTCAATCGTTTGATGTGCTTTTTCCATGAATTTATGGGAACGAAGCGGCACCTACATATGGTGAGATCATGCTTCATCGCAATAAAGTCCTCTTTGTGCGCCCACACACATACCGCGCAGTACAACGACTTGGCTTATTTGGAGCCTCCATCTTGCCACTCCGCAGCGCTGCTCCCAACCTCCTCATCTGCCTCATCCACTCCGTCGCCTGGCTTTGGCTTCGTATCCTTTGCAGGAGGTGCAGGTGCGTCGGTATCATCGTCGCTGTTGTCCTCGAAGTGCGAAGGATCGACCATCTGCGCATCACCCGCGTCCTGATCAAGATATGCTGCTCCATCATCCTCGTCGTCCTCGGGCTGATCGGCGGACACACTGATCCCACGAGCTCCCCAACTCCTTCCACTGCGACTAACGCTTGGCCTGACGACACCATTCTCCTGTGCAGACAGGGTGGCAGTATCCGCATCCAGCTCGTCCTCGTCATTATCACCGTCCGTGCTATTCCTGTTCCCTCGTCTTCCGATCAACCGTTTCACCAAAAAGCTCTTGCTCAGGTCGTCTGAATCTACCAAACCGCCTCCGCGTAGCTTGACGCGCTGGCGAGTCCAGTATACCCAAGCAAAGTCCATGTAGAGCGCCGTTTGCACTACGCCGAATATAAAACTGATGGCATCGAACTTTCCACCCGTGAACAGCAACACCACCCAGTTGAGGATGTAGAAGAAGCGGTATGTGCCGAGTGTGACAAGGTAGAAGGAATCCAGCACGGTAGGAACATTGGTTTGTCGGAGGAGCAGCAGTTGCGGCAGCACGCACACGGATTCTAGGATGATTGAAAAGGTCCATAGAAGCTGTATATCATGTCATGTTGCTGTCAGCTAGAGGCCCAAGCTTTCCGATCCTAGAGCTTTGCTTTCAACCATACATACCTCTGAAAAGCCGCAGCGTACCCAGCCCTCAAACAACAGGCATACAATCGGCGCACCCACGGTACTTCCCACCAGACTCCAGATAGCCAGCTTCCATCCATATTCCTTTTCGCGCGTCCGCGCAAACACCCGCATCATGATGAAGACAATGTATGCGGAGCTGGAGATGTAGCAGATCTTGAGCACAAAGTTCCAGAGATTCACGCTCGGGGGCACCCAGAACAGGTCGAGGTAGCGAGATCCGAAGACCAGAATGTATAGGAGCTGGGTGAGCAACGAAACCCCTTCGGCCGATTTGTTGTTATGGCAAGACCATATCAGGATGATCTTGGAGGCGGAATGGCTGACGTCGCCGAGGATGCGGAAGATGTTCATGTTTGCCAGCGTCTTGCTAGACTGATGTGCAGTCAGGGCATGCCAGGAATCGATGAAATATTCACAGGTGAGATGGATGGATGAAACGACTCGTAGCTGCCTTGATGAMAATCATAAGGTAGGACGGGAGGATTCGTGTCGATGGCGGCCCGCTGAGCTCTCTGCAGCAACGCGCCAGGGTCATGGGTCCGGGGAATCTTGAACCTTATCGACCTCGTGCACCTTTCTCAATTCTGCGCCTAACTCGTTTGCTTTACCCCTTACATTTACCTAAGTTACAAGATGCAGGCCAAGACGATTGATCATGCTCCGTCTCTCTCATTGGCATTGCGAATCGCAGCATGCCCGCCCTCCATCTTCACAACAACGATTTCCTCATTATCATCATAAGGGTCAATCTCTCGCCTACTCCTGAACCTATTGCTCACACTATCAACACCAGGATTCCAAGGCTGCTTCGCTTTTTGCGCGTTCACCTTTGCGCCGCCCGATTTCCGCCCCTTCTGAAGTGACTGATCCGTTACCCAGGGCAGCCTCCGCTTGCGTTTCGCGGCTGGCTGCAGAACTCCCTCAACTGGCTCATTGGACCATGGTATCTTACGCTTGGAACATTCTTGTATTGCTCCGGCGGTCTCGCCGATGGACGAAGCCCGTTTCGTCACCTGCTCAACCTGTTCCAATACTTTCCAGCCCACCTTGAACGGATCCCTGAGTCTATCTCTCCACATTCGCTCTTGCACATGCCACCACGCCTGGTCATCCTCACGATAGACAACACGCAGGACATCAATCTTCCACTGCTCTCCCCTTGCGGTGCTTTGGAAAGTGTCTAGCAAGGGCTCGAACATCGCCGTGGACGTCGCAAAGCCGTCATTCCACTGCGTGGTTCGACAGATCTTCAGGTAGATTGTACTCCTTGCAGGCTTCCTGTACGTGGTGAGGTCCAGGAGTGTCTCGCCCTCCCACGCAAGACATATGTCCATGTGTCGCTCCAGTATGTCTACACGCAAGACGCGGTTCATCTTCTTCGGGGACTGTCTTGGCTGGACCGGCGTTGTTGACACGAACTCTGCGTCGTGGTGTCCGTTCGCGGCTCTCTGAGGTTGCAACCGCCTCTCTTGGTACTTGGGCGCTGGAGGGTGAAATGCGTCGAAGTTTGATAGAAGGTATTTTGCGCCTGTGTGGACTTTTCGTACGATGTGACTTCGCTTCGGCCATCTACTAGGGGCGTTGGCTGCCGTTGACATTGTGCGGGATGGTTCTTGCGCTTGCTCCTGTCGTGGCGATTCCACTTTGCGTGTTCTGATGTTTTGATCTTGCAACTGGAGAAGCTGTTATGTCAGCCCCAGGTTACTTGCGTGACATGTTTTACCGCTCTGTTGCATTCATCTCGTTTCGCAGTGTTTTCTTGTCACAGAGGAGACCTCGAAAGAAGCAGACATAGCCATGGCCACTTCCATCGTGCTAGCTACCTCTTTGTCTCGTGCAGCGTGTCTCGCCTTGCGAAAAACGGGACGAGACAGCTGAATATCAGCGTTACTTGCCACCCTGTGAGACAGTCGGTCAAGTGAATTTATGAGAGTTGTACATGTKCTGGGAAATGAGCAGGCGGCCTCTACAGCACAAGTTTCGCAGTCAGATATGGATCTTGTGGCAGCTTCTTGAGTCGGCAGCGTATTTACGCCCCGCCCAAGGAGAGGACCATCGTTGCAACAGATGTAGCTGCAAAGCAAACCAATTGATTATTCAGGTGGACGCCCTCCCTCTTGTGCGAGCGGCCGACGTTCCGGTCGAATCGGTAGGCATATTGCTTGCGATTGAGTGACGAGCGAAGCCATTTGGTTCTCAACATGTAGAAGCCTCGCCATCGCCACTCATAGTAGAATTGTCACCAAGCAAACGTAGATTCGGTGCAGAAGTCCAGTCTATGCCAATGAGACTGGTGACTGAGAACGGGCTCGGGAACCTTACCGCGGCCGATGCTTGCTTTTACAGCGCGTAACTTAGGCGGTGATGGATCCCACTCAGGCCCAGAGATGCTGCGTGGGATGCATCGAAAGGGAACAAGAGATTCGATTTCTCCAGCACGATTCATTTGTCGTTCCCAGCGAGTCGAGTCGAGTCGAGCCATAGTGTTCCCCACCGTGCCGGCAAACCACAGAAATCACATATAGTCCGACACGTTGCATCGTTGGAGATTCATTCGATAAGCGTTTGCCGGTCACCACACGCAGTTTCTACCGGAGCTCCGAGAAGCGCATCGTAAGAACTGGGCAAGGATGATAACGACCCCCGGCTGCTTTTCACACTTTCATCGTCGTCGCCGTGTTGTGCATGGGCCAACACCCTGATCAGTCCTAGCGCGGTTTGGCAGTAAAGTCCGTCCGACTGAACTTGATCAAGCGAGCGAGTTGTGTGTATCGACCGACCGACCTCTTTCTTTACTTCCGTTCGATCCACCACAGCAGATGGAACCCATCCCGTGGACAGCATCGCCACGATGGAGGAGTAACCTCGTAGCTGATGACTTCACTGCACACACCCGCAGAACATCCAACAACTCGTCCACTTGCTCGGAGATTCTCGTTGCAAGTGGTCCTCCTGCCGTGCCTCTACCACATTTTCAGCCAACACAAGGATACCTGCAGCAATCATTACCGACCACATCAACGGCACCTACGCCAACAATGGCCACCATTTTTGATGGTAGAATCCTGCGAATTGCATTGAGCGGCCATCGAGCGCGGGAGAAGCTGCGCGCCATTGTCCAAGCGACGCCCAAGCCACATTTACCACGTTCAAATTCAACATCATCGCATGCGGAACCAGTCCACAGCGATGAAATTGACGACCGAAATGAGGAGAGCGACACTGGCCTTGATCCGGCAAAGACGTATTCCAAGGAAGAAACGCTCAGTCATCCGGGAGTTGAGTTCGTCCACCGTGGCCAAGGCCGATACCGAATGGCTGCCGCGATTAAAAATGTCAGCCCTGCCACGATGCAACGACCAACAAGGCATGTACTATTGAACTTCTAATGGTATCCACGTGACTGACCAGTTCGCAGACAAGCAGCAGAGCATCCCGCAATCATCAGCGATCAAACTAAAGATCAAATGTTCAATCTGCTGATTCAACATTTCAACGAACATCGAAAGAAAACTAATCCTTACTGCAAACCCAATTGGAGCCCGATACAAAAGAGTCAATTCGCCTTGATCATGAAGCTACTCAAGGAAACGCCACCTGAGCGATGGTCTACTGTACATCAACATGCCGACATCCAACGCTACTCGGCTCTGGTTCGAGACTGGGTGCATGCTATGGAGGAAGAATTCTCCGTCAATCTATCGGGCGATGGAGAAGCGTTTGAGACTAGAAGTCGTCGTCCGCGGCAAGCTAAACCTGTACCGGAGGTCGACCACCGGCGAAGCTCACGGGCTCATGCTCAGAACACCAACGTGTTCGATAGCGATGACGAAATGGCCTACGACGAGGATGTGGACATGAGTAGCAGTGATGATCATCCTCACCAGCTTGACGGGGATGGTACCGTGCACGAAGATGACCTGCACAAGTATCCTGGCAAATTCTTCCACCACAAGGGCAACAGGTTCTATCGGCCTGGTCTCGCCCCGGACGGCAAACGCGGTAGCATCGTGATTGCATCGAACGGGGAGAAGCGCAAATACGACGAGTACGCCGCTGATGCTGAGGAAGGGGAGGATGGTAGCAAGAACGGCGACGAAGACGAAGACGATCCTAACTCGGTTACGTACAGCAAGACTTACGTGAACTCGCATCCGGAAATCGAATTTGTCCATCGAGGCAAGGGTCGCTACAAGCGCAAAGATGATGTCGAAGCACTGGAAGCAGCGCGCAAGAAACGCAAGCTTGCGGGATCAGCGACGCCGACTGCGTCCTCTGACCGTCGCTCGAGCCGAGTGGACAATAACTTCGCCAAGGAGTACGCCGAGAGCCACGCGAGCGACGAGCTACTCAGAAGTGGACGTATCAAGCGTAATTCCAAAGCCAGAATCGATGCCATTGAGATGGGTGAAGAGGAGAAACGGCAAAGCACTGCCGGGCAAAGCAAGCAGGTTCGCAGAACATCAACCCAGAGCTCTTCTCAACGGTTCATGCCTTCCGCCGAGAAAGAAGAGCCGTTGGTTGAAACTGCATATGTCGACGCCCACCCGAACGAAACCTTCCATCACCGCRGACAGGGTAAATGGGCTCGCGGTCTGCCTCATCCTCTTGCCTCGAATAAGACCGCAGTACGTGGTCCAGACAAGGACAAGCCATGGCAGCAGCAGCAAATACAAGCCCCCCGTGTTGGGATTGATGTTGATGCTGATGGTAATCGAGCTCCTGGCCCGTTTGCGCTGTTGCTCAAGGTTGATGGTCCCGACAAGTGGCCCCTGTTGGAATGGAACTATCGTGGCGGCGGAAAATGGTGGCAACAGCCCAAGACCGGCGAGGCGATGCAACAGGGGCAGCTTGCTGGCCCACGCAAGCAGCGTCCAGTTGCTGTCGGTAGAGGAAGGACAGATGGACCAGAGGCCCAGCTACAGCGAGAAGCACGTGCGGCTGAAAAGGTGGCGTCTGGCGGCCCAAATTGGAAAGGAAAAGGTCCCGCAGCTGGACATTTGCAGAAGCCGGCCAAGATGGTACGCAAGAGAAGCCAGCGGAGTGGCTTTGGTGATGTAGGCTCTTCCAATTCACAATCCAAGGCTCCCACACCTCGACCGGCTCTGCTTCCACCGGAGGAGGACATACTGACTGAGCAAGATCTACCGGATCTTCTCAAAGACGAATGGTCAGAGGATGAGACCGACGATGCGGCCAGCCGGATCCTACGAAGTGGAAAGTATCAGGCGATCGTCGGTCCGGACCCGTTTGTCAGGGCACTCACCAAGCACGATCCAGCCGTGCGCTCTCTGGATAACCTCAAACAGCTGGCCTCCAATGCCCAATGGGCTCTGGAGCAAATTCAAAAAGAATACCTCGAGCTGGATCAAATAGTCGCAATCCATCCAATGAATGGCAAGAAAGAGCGCAAGCCAGTCAAGGGCGGCAAGGTGACGGTTGAGACTGCAATGTTCGAAGACAAGAAGGAAGCCACCCTCTACGACTACAACTTCGACCCCCGCAAGGTCGGCTATCAAGATCCGGACGCTCAAAGAATCGTTCGCGATGAGGAGGGCCGTGAGCTCAGAAGACGGCGGAATCGTCTAGGCGCAGACTCCACTCTCCCCAATGGCGTCAACTATGGCGACGGCGAGATGACCGCAAAGCGGACGGTAAAACCGGTATCTCGATTTGATGGTGTCGTCGTTCAGCCGCCGCGGAAGCGGTCCCGTCTCACAACAGGCGCCGAGACACCGGATGAGTCTCGTGCCACCACTCCAGTAGCCGACGACGGGAACGACAAGGTCCAGACTCGCGGCCGCTTGAACAATCACGTCCCCAAGCGTGTCCAAGAACTCCGACACGAGAGTGTCGGTTCCGCACGTAGCGCGAGTGAAGACCCAGGCGCGAAGAGCCCAGGCGGTAGTGCTGCGGGTGTGCGTAAAGGCAGACCACCCGGTAGCAAGAACTTGCACAAAAGAAAGGATGCAGGAATCAAGAAAGGCCCTCGTAAGCCTAAGACGGGGTCTTCGGGGCAGAATGACAGTGCGGAGCCGGAGTCTGGCAATGCTGAGGATTCCCCAACGCCGACGCCCACTGTGATGCTCGAGGATCTCGTAGCTGGATTCGCTTCCCAGTCGGCGGGTGGTCAGCCTCTGTTCGGTGGTGGCAGGACGTAGACGGCTAGGACTCATCTTGGACTTGGACATGATGATATCCCCGTGGACGCATCTGAGTAAGGGAGATGAAGTTGAACTTCTTCGTGAAGATCCGTGTTTACAGAGCCTTGCCCAGGGGGCACATTCACGAAGCTAGTTGGTCTTTCCATCAGAGCTGAGGGCGGTCTTCATGCTCCACGCTCTTGTAGATAACGCAATAGATGCCACGATATGGGTCCCCATCCAGCTCTACCGTGATATGATAGCACCTAGGATGCGTGTGCAAATGGGATGTTTTGACCCAAATTCGGTCCTGATTCTTTCCGCTACGTAAAGTATGCCTGCGCATGTAAACAAAACGAAAGTGCCGTTTCCAACTATTGAAAGTCGTCTAACAGCACGATGTCACATGTAAGACCTCGCTAAAACAACGCCACGCAATGCGCCCCATTGAAACCATTTTCCCCGAACACTTTTGCTTCGATGCAGGGCTGAAGCTCATTGCGAGCTGTTCAATCTTTGCTCATTTGCATTTCAGACGTAGGCGACGTCCATAGTCATACATTAAAAGCACAAAGACATACGATATTCATGAAATCGATTCCGGCCGTTCGTATCATTGAACAACCTGCTCTCGCAGGCCGCTCGGTTCCTTCTTGCCACGGCGTCCAAGAAGGGTGGCATTGTCGAGACTGAGCTCGAAGGCTCCAGGTTTGTTGCGCACTTGTCGCTTCGCAGCGGCGGCCACTTCCGGAGAGTGCTGACCATAGCCCCGCTGCTGGGGCTGAGCTGCGCGCGGAGCGGCTTGCTGGCGGGCCTGTGCGGCGGCTGATAGGCTTGTGTTTCGCATCTGCTTTTCTACAGCTCCAACATCCGGTGCAGCACCTGACTTCGGCAGCTTCGCCGGCGGATTCTGCATGCTTGGGTCGTACGGCTGCGACATGCTGTCGTCATCGTCATCATCGAGATAGTCTTCGTCAAGGGCATTGAGCGAGTTCATTGGGTTGCCGCCCCGGTAGCCTTGTTTGAAGTTTTTCCGACGCTTGCTCTCCTCTTCTTGGCGATGTACGGAGTAACCAACATCAAAGACTTCGCGGAGATTGACAGCGCCGGGTGAACGGAAATCCATACGTCGGTTGGCGCCGGGAGATTCGAGATACCCGAAATCTGGCTTCAATGCTCCATCCCCAGCAGACATTTGGCCTTGTCGAGCATGCAGAGGAGTGGCAAGAGGAGGGGCGTCGGCAGCTGCCATGGTCTCTTCGCTAGATTTGCGAATCCAGGGATGGTTGAGGAACTGCTTGATATCGTAGCGCTTATCCGGGTCAACTGTAAGTAGATGTGACACAAGATCTTGCGCGGACTTTGAGATGTCATCCCACCAGGGTGACAGGAAGGTATACTGTCCTCGGGCGACCTTCTCGGTAAGGACTTGAATGCTCTCGTCATAGAATGGCGGGAAGCCACAGAGGAGCGTGTAAAGTACACATCCCAACGCCCACATGTCGACACTCTTTGAGTAACGTTCGTCTTTAACGATCTCAGGGGCAGTGTAGCCAACGGTACCGCATGGCGTCATGGTCTGACTGTCCCAGATGACCTTGGAAAGTCCAAAGTCTGCGATCTTGATCTGACCGATACCTCCAGCGCCAACTCCAGGGATATACTCGCCCTCGTCAGCTTTGTCTTCGTCCTCGGGGCCCTTAGGCTTGGGGTTCTTCGTTGGAATGAACGGAGTGGGATAGAAAAGCAAATTCTCGGGCTTGATGTCACTGTAGTGTGTTAGCAAGGGTTTATTTGGATCGTTCACATTTGCTTACCGGTGAACGACACCAGCTTCTTCGTGCAAGTAGATCAGAGCGTCCGCGACTTGCTTGATGACATGACGAGAAAGATCCTCGCTAAAGTACGTCAGGCGAACGATCTGATGGAACAGCTCACCACCAGGGCAAAGCTCAAGGATGATGTAATAGTATTGTCGAGACTCTGAGAAATCGACGAGCTTGACAACGTTCGGATGATCAAGCTGGCGCATGATCTGGACCTCTTTGAGGATGTTCGCTCGCTAAGCAAAAGCCGGTGACGTCAGTATATGTTCATACGTTTGTGTAACCCAACAAGGATGTGATGAGAATTGAAAACTGCGCACCTCCACGCCCTTTGGCGCTTTCTTCTCATATTCCGGGTGAAGCACGCCCTAATAGGCACATGTGTTGGCATAAACTCATAACGTGCGGGGAAAAGATAGAAGCGAGTGTGGCGAGAAGGAAATGTTCGCAGCCAGGCTTACCTGAGTGGAGTTCATCTCGAATTTCCGCACGACCTTGATCGCGACCTGATCGTAGACATGGTTGTTGTCCTTGGCACGATACACATTGCTGAAGGCACCGTCGCCCATCTTCTCAACTAACTGCCAGCGCTCCAGTCCAGGATAGCGAGGAAGTTTGCCCTTGCTTTCGCGTTCTTCTGCTACTATCCGCTCCAGTACAGAGGGGTCGTAATCTTTCTGTTTCTGTTCCTTCTTGTGCTGACCGTCGATCGCGGCGGCAGCGGCGTTCCCAGCCTTGGCAGCCTGGTTGCGGTTGTCCACGGCGGCCGTAGAGTAGGCATCTTGATGGTGGCCACCTGCTTGCAGCGGCTGATGTGCCTGCACATTCGGATCGCTCATTCCATATTGTTGGTGTGCCTGCTGTGCGGCTCCACCATAGTTATTGTTGTTGAAGCGCTGCTGCTGAGCATGGACATTGGAGACGTGTGTGGTGGCCTGGTCTTGGGGAGGCGAGCGGCCGTCCCGTGCCTGCTTGCCATGCCGGATGAAGTTCTTAAGGTTCTGTATCGTCGACATGATTGTAGAGTGTGTGTGTGCGTGTGCGTGTCCGTATTCTCAGATATTGCAGGCCTGCGAGGGGCGAGCAGTGATGTGGAGGGGAGAATCAAGCGAATGGTGCAGCAATTCGTCGGTGCGGTGGTGAGTGCGAGGTCCAGACGATGATGTGTGCGAGTTCCTGACGATGGTAAGACTTGGTGAGTTGCCGATGTCGTCACTTCCCAAAGATAGCGCTTTGACGTCACCCCTTCATGGCGTTATGGCGTTACTGTAGGTTGTTCGTCAATGAATCACCCGTGGCATGTGGCATCACTCCGTTGTACATTAATATCGTCCAACCTGGCAGATTCATACCAGCAGACAGACGTAAACTGCTTTCACACGTCGTGCATGTCGGATGGGATTCGCAGCGACAGCGGCAGCAGCAACATCCCTCTCTGAACAAAGCATGTACCTATGACCCACCGCGGCGGAATTCTTTATTATGGAGTCTGTGGTAAATGATCTCAGAGCGTGGCTCCTGGTGGGTCCTGACTGGCGGAACCCGGGATAACTTTGGCGAGAGCCATCCATGGATACATTATGCATGGGTACTTAGCAAATATGTGTCCTTAAACTGAACTACGTCGCTACCCAACAGCCAAGCTCGCAGCAACGGAGTCATCGGACGTGTGCCTGACTTTCAAGCATCGTACAAAAAGCATGGAGCCGACGATGCGTTGGATTATATCCTGATGTGAAAACGCGGCGCCGCACGACAGGTTGGCCGCCCCACTATCCACCATATGACATGGTTCTGTACTATTCGGGGGTCGTCATTGGGCCAAGACCACTGCGGGAGCTGCCAGGTCTAGGTCGGGTGTATCAAACTCTGAATTCTGTCCGTCCGTGATCAACTTGTAGTTTGCTAGCAAGCACCCAATCCGAGCACGGAGTAGTTATCCTGGAGTCCTCGCTGGTATGCGCTGCTTCTTCACAAAATCCAACCGCCAGAGTGATTCACCACTTACAATGCTGAATCTTGATTCAAAGATCTTCTACAATGTATATATTCATGGTTCTATCGTTTTGAAGCGGCGCATCTAAGGTACCCTCATCGACACACGTCGTCTATACAGGGCGCCGTCCAGTTCGAGGCCAAAACCGCTCGCGGATCTTTACATATTAATGAAATCATGAAACAACCGCGCACCCATATGCAAGTGTCGTTTCAACAAATGTACAACTCATCCATCTATCCAGTTGGACCCTTCTCATGCTTGACTGGATGATGCAGCGTTCCCCTGAGACACATCCTTCCAGTCCCTTGCTCCTCTTGTTTGCGACCACCTTCGAAGTTCTCCGCCTGCCCCAACCATCGTCTCCAAAGCGCTCCACTGAAGCCGGAGTTGTAGTAGAAACTGCTTCCGAGAAGATTATGCTCACCCCATCCAAATGGACTCTCCCATTCCTCTTTTGGGTAGTTGAAGATCTGGTTTTGATACTCGACGTCCCAGTCTCTGTCGAAGTACACGGGATGTGGCACGTACGCAGCTTTCAACCCATGATGCAGAGCAACACTCGGCGGCCACATTTCAGGGAACATAGTATGCTTCATCCTCCACACTTCCTCATGCATGGTGTCGAGCAAGCGTTTGGACAGCCGCGCAACRGTAATGATCGCTGCGCGACGCGGCGGCGGCGCCAAGGTGTTGTCATAACCAGTGACATCCAGTCTGAATACCCAGTTCGTGACGCTCGTGTCGAACAAAGGATTGAAGACTAGCAGATCTGCTTCTTCACCCTTGCCCCACTCGTAATTGTCCTTGTCGTAAGAGGTCGGTGGTTTGGTCCCATTGAGAGGCGGCAGCATGCCTTTGTTGGGGAAAGTGTTTACTGGACCCCAAATGGGCACGGGACCGCTTTGCTTCTGATCAACATGGTGCGCATCCTTCTCCCGGGTCTCATGCTCAACAAATGCTGTGAAGTTCGCATAGTCGCCATGTATCTTGGGAATGTAAAATCTCTTACCGCGCTCCCATAGGCCCTTTCGCGGTTGGTTCTTCGCCCATTCACCAATGCGGTTGTTGAATTCGTAGTAATGTCCAGTGTAGCGAATGTCCATCTCCCAATTCCAAAAGTGATCATACTCCGGATGTTGCTGGCTGAACCATTGGAGAGCGAAGTGAGCACTGCGGTACACGCCATGTATCCCAGCTCCTGCCATGTTGGCGAAGTTGAAGGGGAATGGCTCGGGGTAGTATGTGATCATCTGCGCCTCGGACCAAAGTGTGCTAATGTTCCAGAACTCTTTCGGGACATTTGCCTCGAGCGTCTCGCGATATGCCTCCTTACTTGCCCATATCGGAATGCTGTTATCCTTGACGTGTACCAGAAGGTGTACATCGTATTCACCACCAGATTTCAGACTCAATTCGGCGATCATGGCTCGAAGGGATAGAATCTGTTGCGGATCGTACTCATAGCCGGTCCACGTACGTAAAACATAGGCTTGGCGAGAGATGCGTTTTTTGCCAGAAGCTGTGTCATCTTCGAAGCGATGCTTGTTCTTAGCAAAGCACCGCTGCTGGGCCTCTCCCCAATCGACTTTGGCGTAGTCAATGAATCCAGTCTGTTTGTAAACCTTTTCGCTTCCAACGTTTTCGGACTGCAAGCCTGGCCCTAGGCCACCATGGCTCTCCTTGTAGCCGTAACCGTATGGTCCGAGTCTCCCGAAGCGCTCAAAACATACGTCGTCCCGGATACCAAGCGCCTCATATGCGCCGAAAAAGGGCTGTGTCATGTGCTGGGGTACTCCAGGATATGCGTAGACATCCGGCACAGATACCTCGTCGGCGGCATCTAAAAAGCACGGCGCGACTGCGTGGTGATTTTCAAGGTAGGCTTCGGAAGTGTAGTCTGGATATGGGTCATACACCACAGGGTCCATTGGTGGCTCCGAGTGATAACCCTGTGTCGGCATGGGCATCGGTTCTGTCTGGTTGTAGCCATTCTCCGGAACATAGTCTTCCTGCTTCACCAGTGTCCGTATGCCATTGTAGAATCCGTTCAGTCGGTGATAGTGCTGCCAGAAGTATGGCACGGGCTTATCCTCCTCTTTGATCCGCTGCCTATGCCGATGGTATTGATGTCCTCCTCCCGCGCCCAAAGCCAGAACCACGATCGCCATTATCGCCAGCGTAATGCCTTTGGTCAGGGTCATCTTTCCGCCCAGTCCGCATCGCCGGCGCGGCTCCCGCCATGGCAGGCCGCTCGGCGGGCCATCGAGGTTGAGACTGCTGATGGACAGTGCCGGGACTTGCTGATAGGAGAACCTCGAGGGAAGCAGGCGCAATGGGCTCCAGTCGCGCCAGCGCGTTACCAATTGCATATCGCTTCTTGCCTCCAACCCCCTCCCCGCTCCCAACTTCTCCTCTTTCTCCGCCTCCGCCACTTTCAACCGAGCAAGACAGATCCAAACGGTTTCGATAGGAATGCGGTCCGAGGCCGAGTCCCGGTGACGTGGTATGTGCGACAAGGCCCTGGGCTTACGATGCCTTGCGAATAACGAATAGCATTCCTTGAGCACTTGGATCGAATAAGGACAAGGTATAGGACACGATGAACTTTGAAGGAGACACCAGGAGGACAAAGTCACTTTGAAACAGACGCGCAACGCGCAATCGCAATCTTGGCACCGGGCGAGTGAGGTTTAAGATAAATGTTGAGCTTTTTCGTGGATCAACGCCCCCTTCTTACAGTACCCTCCGCCGGGCAACCTTAACTTTCATGGGCTGTGATTGATGGAGGACCACTAGGCTTGTGCTGATTCCACATCTTCCGTGTGGCGCCTCCTCGCCGTCTCCTCGCTATCCTGCTTGAGCGATGCATGAGAAGACAGCCAAGACGCTGGTGATCTGCCGTGAGATGTCGCAATGCCACTTTCGGGCGCATCACGGGCAATTTCCATCCCCTCACAATCTCCAACTCGAATCCCCGGACGTACCGAGAAAGTCTAATTGCTCTCTACTCCAGGATGTGCTGTCGGTCATTGGCTGAAGAAATCATCGCCTGCCGCCGTCATCCCTGATAATCCTTGAAAATCCATGACTTGGCAGCCATGAGTCGAGACGGTGATATTGACGAGCACATTGGCCAACGGAGACCGACAAACTACGGTCTGTTTGCTCGCCGCTACGAGTGGAAGGACCTTGTGCCATGACGAACACACCTATCACATTGTATCCCCGTTCTGCCACTGATTCACGAGACATCAAATCTCATTGGTCGTTCGGCTACCACGTACTCAGGTGGTACTTCTGTGTTCCTTCGGTATGGTACATAGTATACACCAATCCTATATTGCTGACTTATTACACGCTTAGCCCGGAAGCGTCGCGTTGCAGCCTATTGTTCCGAGGCTGGTTCTTCCATCAAGATCAACGAACGCATCGAGAACGGCTAGTTATCTGTGAAGTGCGATGTCGAGCCTCTGCATAATTGGTCATGGACCGGCACATTGCTCTTAGATCTGGTGTGCTTGTACGATCCGATACAACTACGGAGGTTTACAGCCAGGGCGACGCAGCGATGAATAAGAAGATCTAAGCCAGTGCGCTCTGCGAGGACTGAACCACTCGTAGTACAGCCATCGAGGAACATGCAGCTAGCACACCCAAGTCGTCACGCCAACTTTGAGACATTTTGATATGTTGACAAGCTGTTGTTCGCACAGCTAAGTCGCCGTGTTCCTCGCGATGTGCGATCCAGCATGTCTAACACAGTCTCKCCCAKGGAACGAATCACTTGTCTTGGCCGACCAGCAGAGAGAGACAGCATCAAAGTATCAAAAAGCAATCGGTGCCAGCGACACTTTCGAGGCAGTAAATACAGTACACGCTCTCCTGGCTTGAAAGCAATCCACCACCTTCCAGATTAAGAACGCCGAGAAAATATGATGACCGTGCCGGACTTCACCGTGACAGTTAACACCATCGATCAGCCATCCAAGGATTTCGATCCAATTCCCGCAACGAGACTCAGCTCCGAAAGACACCACGGCGTCAATTTTGAGCATGATGAGATCTCTCTGCGCGATTCGCACTTGCGCTTCGAAATTGCGTTACAAGACATCCTCCACTCATTGACCAGCGCGACGATTGATTATCTTCGATTAGGCATTCGATATTTCGAGATTGGCATCRAAGCGCGGTCGTGTTCTTCTCCGAGCAACTCAGCAGCCCATCACCAATTCGGGATTGAGGGAAGAAGATGGGACGTAGACCCCTTCTTTGTGCCCTGGTTACAGGCCTTACACATTGCGATGGATCTCGAGGCAAATCTTGTGTCAAAATCGCTCTCCAGGACAACCAGTGGCTGGACTTGCAGGGAGATCAAGCAAGCTCGGGCGCTCGTCGACAGWGTTGAGGACACTGTGAGAAGTATTGAGGAAGGAGTTGAACAGATCGAGGACATAGAGCGGATGCGGCACTCTGAACACTTGCTCAAGCAACACGCGCAGGATAGAGCAGATGACAGGGAGGAGAGAGGTCTTGGGGAAGCCGAGAAAGAATCGAGAAGGCTACGTAGAGGGAAGAAGGAGAGGGAGGCTTCGCATGATGCAGAACGGAGGGTCTTGCCACAGATGGCTTTCGAGCAGGCCAAATTTGACAAGTGGCAGAAGCGAGTCGAAGGGGTTGAAAGGATGCTGGGGTAGCAGACTTGGAGACAGCAGAATCCATGTTAATCCTGGGTCCAATGGCGATCGTTCTATAATTCGTTTGAAGGTGTCACAATAAGTAGTCGAGGTTCTGGTAGCAATATGCCGGTTGGTGCGTCGCAAACACATTACAGTGCGGAGTTTGTCCATAAGGTACCCAACCTGTGTAGCCCATGTACAGTTGGACCAATTCACGTTGGTGGATCAAGATACAACCACTTGGTTGAGCGACAATGCAAGGAAAGTCCCGGGTTCATCTGGCTATATTCCAGATCGCTCGGTTTCGGATTCTAAGCATCCCCTGCACAGAGTGTGACTGGGAAGATATCCGTCCCCGGTCTGAACAAACATCGTATACACGATGCAATAACCTTGAATTTTCGAAACCTTCACCACTACATAAACCCTTACCCTAGCAGAGGAATCTACTCATCCGGGGCGGAAAAAGAGGCGCTCTTTGAACAAAGCGCCTCGAGATGTTGAGGTAGATAACCTATACTACCTAGGTGGGTGTGTACCACCTTCACGGCCTGTGGCTGAACTAGTCCATAGTACATGAGGACGCCGAGATTGGCTTGCAAATTTCATGTTCTGTTTTCCTTCGTCACGCATCAAAGAGGGTGCACGTGCAGAAGGCTATCCATCTGAGCGACCCGAAGACTTGAGCATGAAACATAAAGCACATATCAAATGCCATGCGGCGGTGTCTAGTTGGTTGCACGCGACTGCTATAGAGTACGAACACGGCACTAATACGGCATTGACACGGTACCGACGGATGATCGACGAGGAGATGCCGGCAGATCTATAGGGCTGAACCTTGCTGAGCCCTCTGGGCTTGGAAGGATTCGAATTGATCCTCGCAACTTGGAAGTCGATGCCCAGTCCGGCACGAGGACGACGCGCTTGACCCAATATTTTGCAAGCTGGTACCTTATGACTCCGATTGTAGCRCACAACGCCTGATCCACTTTAGGAAATGAAAACGGGCTTTCATAGCAAATGTTGAGGACCTTGGAAATATTGCATCCATGTCGAGCATGGAATCCAGCCGAGTACCTTTTCTGCATTTTTTGCCAGCGCGGAGTCTCTGCGCGGTATCTACTGGTGATTGGCAGAGGGCACCATGTGGACAAGTAAAATGATCAATTGCCGCGAGGAGTCTTGCGAGTCAGATCAATGGAGAACTTCGAAGTGTTACGGTGCGACGAGATGCCGTAGAACGGTCTCGACCGCCGAGATTGCCCCAAAGCAGGAGCATTGACAGATTCAACTTCCGAGATGCCTGAATACATGTATACAAGTCAATGTTGACATAACGGAGCATGAGTACAGGGTACAGGTGGCCCTAGACGAGTGCACTTTCTCATCATTCGATTGCGACCGGGCTATGCACTTGGCCACATGAAATGTCGCGATAGCTTTGAGAGGGTAGATCATCAAGAACTCCAGAGAGCACACTGAGAGAGCTTCCGATGGTTTCCTGGCTACATAAGACGACGCGACAGCGTGGAGCCAAGCTGTCAAAGACGACCGAAGAAGTATTGAGCCGCGTAGGTCAACCCGACAGTGTGGATGGCGCCGATCATGTAGCCGATCATGCGGCCGATCACGCGGTCGATCACGCGAATTGCATGGATCATGCAGATTGCGTAGATCGCAGATCACAACCTTTCGAGAGTCTCCCGGCCGCTCAAAACGACGCGAATGCGAGGAGAGTGTACGTCGAGTATATCTAATAACCGTTGAGCAGTTGAGGCCATGGATGTTTATCGTATCGCGCCTGTAGACGAGTACAACGAAACAGCTTTCGAGGGCTTTCTGGTCGGATGGCTAGACGCGATAGCGTAAGGTAGAGAGCGCAAATCAGGCACGGGACTGTCAAGATGTGGTAGATCATTGTGCTAGGTACGCATCGTCTCCACTGCGCCTCGCGTTAGTAACGCTCGGGAAGGCGTCATGTTATCAGAAGATAAACGACGTAGGAAAAGCACGGAGTGATTAATCTCTCAAAAGAACGTTGCGCCAAATCGTCTCCATGGCGCAGTCCACTTCTAGCGCTCGAGAAGGCTACATGTACCTGACTGAATGCATTAGCATGGCAGGATGGAGAGCGTAGATCAAGTAAATGACTGTTGAGATTGCATTACTTCGCATCACATCACCTGGCAGAATAGATTGGGATGACAGCGTGGTCAGCGCAGATCCAGTAAATGACTGCTAAAATCACAATACGTCGCGTCTCCATTGCGCAATGCACTTTTAAAGTTCGAGAGGGTCACCTGGGCAGATAAGATGACCCGACAGCGGGGACCCGTGGACACGTTGCCGAGACGATCCTTAGGGTTGGTTGTACCCATATTGATCTGCGCTAGGCTAGGTAGAACGCAGGGTACAAATTCCTGTTTCCTTCGTCGCGTCTTTCTCTCCAAAACAATACACAACCATCGGCAAGAACCATCAAGACAACTGCCAATTCCATCAAAAAACACCACTACAACCATCAAGACAAGAAGGAGCGATGTCTTCCATCGGATTCTCGCCTGCATTGGGATAGAATCCCAGTCCGCCAGAATCCCCAAACAACAACAATGCGCTGTCGCGCGAAAATGCGACCGCCCACATGAGCAAGCCGCGACGGTCGACCAGCGGAGAGACGCGCCAATACATCGACCATCTGGAAGCCGAGCTGTCCCGCGCTCAGGCAGAACGCGACGCGCCGTCTGTGGCCCGCGAACAGTTTGCCAAAATACGCATGCTCAAAATAGAGACGAAGCGGCAACAAAAGGAACTTGCCGACTGGGACAAGAACTATGAAGACCGCCTACAAGAAGAGGTGGACCGTCACCATCAACTCGAACTCAGTCTGCGCTCTCGCCTGCGAAGCGTCGAGGCCGAACTGGCTACGAAGACCTTCCGCATATCAGAATTGGAGTGCGCCGTCGAGAGCGCCCGACAAACCACAGAAGCAGTCGAAGCCGCAAACACCAAATTGGAAAAGCGGTTGGAGATCATGTCCGGGCTACTCGCAGAATCTCCCACAAAGTTGGAGCTGCACATTGATGCGTCTGGTCACACGCGAAACAAGTCGGTGCTTCCCCGCCTGCCTGCAGTCGGGCCAATGATGTCGCCCGAGAGACCGTCGTTCTCATTGCCTGCCAAACCCGACATTCAGCCTGGCCCTCCTTCGCCATACCGCCGAAGCACTCCCACAAAGCTCGGGCTGCACATCAATGCATTTGCCCACACGCGTCACGGAAGAAACAAATCCGTGCTCCCCCGCCTGCCTGCAGTCGGAACAATGATGTCGCACAAGAGGCCATCGTTCGCATCGTCTGCCAACTCCGGCATTCAGCCTTGCTCTCCCTCGCCATACCGGCGAAGCACCCCCACAAAGCTCGGGCTGCCCATTGATCACAATTGCGATGAGTCGGACGATGACATGCACCCAATGCCGTTCCCGCCGATACCAAAGAACCCATCTAGACGGATGCGCCGCTTTGTTGGTGGAAACTTGGCACTCAAGCCACTGATATTGCCATCTACTTCGTATCACCAACCGGCTCAGAATGACGGTACATCTGATGTTCATTCAAACATGGAGGCGGGCGCTTTGAGCGACGACCCTACGACACCCAGGCAGGCACACTCGAATGAAGCGGCCATGGACGAACATCACAGCGACGATGAACTGCTCGACCGTTTCGTTGAAATGGCCCGGCACCACCCGGTGAAAACCTATGAGATGCGAACACCGAGCACAGGCAGGTCAGAAATGCMCGACGTCTCGAGCGAGGTCTCTTGCACCTACTCGCGCAACTTCTCTTCTTTGGGCTCGATGGAACTTTTCTCCGGCCCCACACTGCTGGAGGAGCTCGGCGCACTTAACTCGTCTGCTTTCGAATACTCCTCCGTTTTCGATTCGGACGCTGAGTCGCAGACATGTGCAGACGGCAGCCAGGGACACAACCCGAGTCCACCACCGCGAGACAGAGCATTGAGCATCTCACCTACTCCTGCACTCCTGGCAAACACAAGCCTCGTCTCAAATGCGTCTACCTTGGTGTCTACTGCATCTATTCCTGGCACCATTCTCCGAGCCTACTCCCCGCACTCCCTCTCCACAATTGATAGTGTGGGATCATACTTCAGCAACCTCGTTCGCTCGCCCATTGTACCGGCTAGGCATCTAGTTGAGACGGCACAGACTCGTGCTCGACTCCCACGGCCTTTCTTCTCAATCCAATGGTGGCTCGTCGGTCTCCTCATTGGGCCAATGGCGAAGCGTGAACTCCTACGCACCAAAGAACTCTCGCAATCTTCTTGCGATCGAGACACTGGACGTACCTCCAACGAACTCTCGCAATCCTCCTGCGATCGAGACACTGGACTCAGCGCCAACGAACTCTCGCAATCCTCCTGCGATCGAGACACTGGACTCAGCGCCAACGAACTCTCGCAATCCTCCTGCGATCGRGACACTGGACTAAGCGCCAACGAACTCTCGCAATCTTCCGCTTCCAAGAGCGTGGCTAAGCGCTGCCCTCACTACAAGAGTACCAAACGGTTCAAGCACTCTCCGTGGTTGTGGCTGAAGTTTTCATTCACACTGGCTGTTGCTGTTGGGGTTGCTTTCAAGGAAGGACCTGGAAGCTTGTTGAAGGAGGTGCTTTGCGCCTGTGGAAAGAATTGATTGGATAGCGATGATGAGGGATCGGAGCATGCTTGGGTTAACGATCGTTGGGATGCTTTAGTCCCTTAGGAGTTGCATGATGATGATATGAAAACGTGTTGTTTCTGTTCACGTTGATCCTGAAAATACCAAGGTAAGCTGTAGCTCTCTAGACCTCTGATCTGAGTTGATGGATCGGAGAGCACTTTCGGTCGAGGTTGGTCGACAGMGAGGTAACTTCCAGCCGAGTCCCTTCTGCAGAACTATTCCAGGTCCTCCCAGCTTCTACCTTTCGACCTGCATTGCATATACGACACAACAATATCCACCAACAGCTCCATCAACATAACTATCAGAGCCACTAGCAAAAAAGGCACAACAATGTCTTCGTTTGGGGTTTCGCCCGCACTGGGCTATCAGCCGTCACGGAGTACTGGCCCCTAGCAGAGACCAGCATGCCGAGCGGTCGAGCTGCGTGAAGCAACCTTGCGCGCATTCCCAAGATCCCCGCCTCAGCGCAACTCTGGTAATTCTGGACACCAGCACCCTCTGTCGCCAGGTTTTGCTCAACAATCGCCGTGATCACGCAGGCTTCCGTGTACCCAAGATCTTTTCCTGTACAACTCTGTTAACCCAAGGCCTCCAAGAGCCTTGCAAGTGCCATGATCAAGAGGCCACACTGAACACGATATTTCCAACATGATGATGCACAACACGGGCAAGCAAAATGAACACAACTGACTCCGACAAGTCACCAAAGCAGCCAAGATCCAACTACGAGACAGCAACCTCCCGGCATCGGAGTTCAAGACAAAAGATCTCAGCCTCGACGATGGAAACGCCCGTCATTGAATCTTCATCCCTGGGTTCACCATCGGACGTTCATCACCGGACATTCGTCGTCGGACATTCATCATCGACCGAATACCAGCATTGCGAAATGCACAGCAAGCTCCGATTGATTCTGGATTTGAGGCTGGGTTACGACGGGAGGGTAGGTGATTGATCCCGCACTTGCGGCCGTCAGGAAGTCTTTGGAGAGTGGTGTCGGTGTGGTTGAGGTTCGCTGTACACACATAGGATTGTCTGAAAGTTTTGGCGTTCAGACTCGTTCAAGACAAACTGATAGAATTCTCTGAAAGTCATGTCGTTCAGACTGGTTCAAGACAAACTGATGTAAAGTCCAGCGAATTCAGGGGGCAGTTCGTCCTTGCCAGGTGGGATGTTGATTCAGACTGTAGACAGGGGCGACATGGTTAGCAGGTCGTGGTTTCCAACAATGCGCTTACTTGAATAGCTGCGTAAGGTGCCTGCATTCAGTCGTATTGATGGCCTCAACTATAATGGAGGCCTGTAGACTTCATTCTGTGTCGATGGATACTTTAGGGACGCTGCATGGTCACATACTCGAAGAAATTCTTTCTGACATTACCACCCTTTCAGTTCAAGTTCATGCCCCGGATCCGAATGATCATTCTATCAAATGGCCCTTGCAGCCTCGCCGCCACCCTCTTCTTCGGCCGGCCTCTTGCCCCTTCCAATTCCACCCTCACCCACGCCCATACGCTTAGCAACATACTGTTGTGCCACAACACCGACGCCGAGCTGCAAGATCTCCTCCATCCACTCCACAACCCATTCTCTGGGATCCACGCCGCCGGCAGCAATGAGTTCTCGAATGGACTCTGGCAGAGCTGCGGTGTTCATGGTGCCATCTGCGGAATCCTCAGCAGAAGCGTTAGCATCCAGCCAATTTGTCCACTTTAGGGGAAAAGGCTGGCTTAGGGCTTTGAAGCTGAGGGAATGTAATGGATCGTGAAGGTAAATGGCAAACACAACCAACCCCTCCTCTTCCGCAGCGACATCTTCACTCTTCTCAGTCTGCGCGTCTCCCGCGAAAAGCTCCTTCTCCTCTGTGTAGGAAATGGCCTGGATTGCCAGGAAGATGTCGGAACTTCGCACGGGGTTCGTTTCGGATAGTTCCTCTGTAGCGCGTTGCGCGGCGGCTTCTACACCACCTCTGCTCTCGAAAAACTCCTTTGCATAGGCTTCTGCGGAGACCCGCACCAATCGTGTTCCTTCCTTCAGGCCGCTCACAGCACCCAATGATCTCGGTGCAGCAGATTCTCGATACCATGGGCCGTCTGTCCAGGACGCTCCGTTCCCACCAAGAACGCCCGCCCCACGGTATCCTCCGGATTGTGACGCTGAGCGGTTGCGAGATTCCGAGCCGCGTTGAATGACGAGTAAGTCGCCGCCTTCGACTTGGGACATGACGCGGGAGAAGGTTGCATAGATCAAAGGGTCGAGCGATGGATAGTTTTGGATGTCGTGGGTCGTATGGATCTGCAAGCGCTCGTGGGCCGAAATTGGGGGTGCAATATGAGAAATGAGGGATGTGAAAGTAGGCATGGCACGAGTGCGAAGATCCGTACCTGCAGGAAGGTTTGGCTTAGCTTAGCTTGTACATGCAGTGAAGGACGGGATGCATTTACCAATAGATTGCAGGTTGGAAAGATTCCCTCTCACTTGCTCCGCCCATTTCTGCGCTTCCTCATTGCCTCGGATCTCCTTTGCAATGGTCTCGGCCTGCTTGACGGCGGCAGAGGCGGCGCTGTACATGCTGCCCCACCAACCACCGCCAGTGGCTGCTTTGGCTGGCGCTTCCTCCTCCACCGTTTGTGCCTGATGGAAGCTCCGTCCCCCCTCGACACTGCTACGCCCTGGCGCCTGGGTCCTTGTGGCACGATCCTCGCTGCTGTTCCGCTGGCTGCTGCCGACGGATGTGCTGGCCGGCGTGGCTTTGGCAGTGCCACCGCTGGTCGTCGTCGTTGTCGTCGTGCTGGAGCTCAACCGTGGCGTCCCGGGCCGTGACGCAGTCTTCTTGGTCGCCAACTGCTTCTCAATTTCCGCAAAGGCATCTTCGTCCAGACCATCTGGTGCCGTTGTCGTCGTGGTGGTGGAAGCTGTGCTTTTCTTACCGCCGGGTTTTGTCGTCGTGGGAGCCGCCTGTTCGATCCCCAGCGAGTCCAGCTCTGCAAGGAGATCGTCTTCGGCTTTCTTGGGAGGCATTGCAATGGGAGGTGATGGATATTAGCAGCCTGTCCCGTTTGGCATCGTCGCTGCGCGCGTCACTGGCCTTGAGCTGGCCTCGAGCTAGCAGGGTTCGGTTCGTGCCGGGATCCGACGCCGACATCACCTTTCCGCATCCCTCCCTACACTCACCCATCTCTCATGCATTCAGACAAACTTCCCTCTTGAGCGCTCTGTAATCACCGCCATTCTCTCTGTATTCATAGACACTCAAGGTAGCGTGCTGCCCTGAACTGCACTCAGACTCGACCATCATCATCATCATCATCATCATCATCAAGCAGCTATCGGCTGGCTGCGGACATCTTAATCTTAAGGTTCACTGTTGTCCACGGTAGTGCACCTTTCGTGTCATACGCACACCAAAGACGGAGTCCCAGTAGCAATGAAATCACGAGTATAAATTACGTCTTTTTATCGGTAGTCTTCTTCACCTTTCATCTCATTCCACACCAACCCGCGCTTTCCGAGCTGACTCGAAGCGCAATCATRAAGACACTACAGGTGATCGTGCCACTCCTTGCGCTTGCCATGACATCGCAAGCGTTCAATTTGGACTTTGTCAGGGTGCAGCTTGACCCTTATTTTTGTAAGATAACTGAATGGTGGAAGGCATATGGCATCATGTCTCGATCTAATCTCCTGGAGAGGCGCTGACTACTATACTTTGCTTCCAGACAATGAGCAGGATGAAGACGAGTGCAATGGCAAGGCGCACAACAACGACGAACAGCGCCCGACATCGAGAATCGAAGAGAACGGGTGCCACACGGAAAATCTTCCCTTCAAGGGATTCATTTACGATATCATGACGTGAGTATTCAATTCGCAGTCCATAGAGCTTCCTCGCTGACTTCGCCCCAAAGCACTGGTTTCTCGAGGCAAAAAAAGCATGGGAGTACTTGCGACTTGCTGTTCTACCAGGGCGAGCAGTGTACCGCCCCCCTTGTGTGGGCTCTTGAAAACGTGGGAATTATTTCGCACTCCAATGTAAGTTGCTTTTGGCTAATAGTGACCTAGGTGAACCACCCGACAGGCTACTGTCATATAATCCCGGGATATACCGCGAGGAGCGTACGGCTGACGTGCCGGCCAAATTATCAACCTCCGGCGTGGAAGAAAGATATGGTGGAGCCCGCCCTGAATGTGAATGAGATTCCGCTAGATGGAGGTGATTGATAGGCGAGCAAAGTGTAAGGTTGAGTTGGCAGCGGTTGTAATTGCTTTGTTCAGACTGCCCGGCTCCATATCATCCTAGCTCTGGTTCATGTCAGACTTTTTCGCAGAGCTATGATGCCTTTCGCATGGTCTTCTGGAGAGTAAGAAGCCAGCTTTCAAATCTGACGAGCAGCTAGGCCGGATTCAAACATCTCGCTTCAGCGATGTCGCCAATTGCAAAGATAGGATGCACACTAGAGTCGTGAATCTAAGCACCAACTCGACGATCTTGTCACCATATTGTACGTCCTGTTATTGAAAGTTCATGCACATCATGAGGAGCTGCCCTGCATTTTACACAGCCTGTCAGTATTACGAACCCCTACGTAAGCAATTCTAGCACCAGACTCTCCTTCCTATGCTTCTTCGCCGTAAACTCCGCAAGATACGCTCTCCCCTCCTCAGTCCGTTGCCAAAAATACGTATCCGATCGCGCCTGAGTCCAGACATTGGTATATATTGCCGGGTTATAGTACTTTCTCCCGCCATGCGCATGCAATCTCTTCTCAATTTCGCATTCACAGGTCCTCATCTCCAAGAATCGTAGAGTTCTATTCAAAGCCCGCTCGCAGAAGCGCTGGAAGCCAGGACGGAAGAATTCCTCCTCACGGGCACTGGCTGGGAAGTATCGATTGACATATCGATCTAAACCAGCTGCTCGGAAAGGAACGTCGAAGGCTTGGAAGATGGCGAGTCCCAGCCACCAGTCGAGAGTTCTGAGGTTGGTTTGTGCTCCGTCAACACGTTGAATGTGTTTTTCGATCGTTGCCTCGATAATCTTGAACTCTGGTGCATTGATTGCCTCGACGTGCAGGAGCGACATCTCCTGACTGCCGAAGAAAATCATGCGATACCAGATAGCCATGAAGAGCTGCGGGTTGACGAGCAAAGCGAAGCTTGGCTTATCCCGCGCTCTTGAAGGCAAGTCAGAGTCGAGATCCGCACATGATTTCTCAAAGTTCTCGTACTCCGTGAAGCGAGGGTCGTCGTCGAACTTACCGTTCAGGACGCCGTAGTTGAGATGTTCGAGAGTCTTGGAGTCGAACAGGCGCATATCGCACTGCGGGCATCTAACATCCTCTGGCAGACTTGCGTGGCAGAGATCTCGCACACATGATCGCCCAGCCACATGTTCCGGATCGCACGGGAAGGATATGCCAATGTGAGTGGTGGCGTTCAAGGACTTCTTGCAGAGCATGCAAGCTTTCTTCGCCTTGAACAAGCCTGACGCCCTCGCCTTCGTACTAGCCACAAGACTATCCTTGTAAAGATACAAGTCGTAATACGGCTGTCGTTTCGGCTTGAAGCTCGCCGCGAATTTATCGTAAAGCTCTGTGACAAAGTCAGTCTCGCGACTCTCCACGTACTCCAGCAGTCTGGTTTGCACATGTCTCGCTGCGCGGTCGTCCCTCATCTCGATCAAGTGAATAATATCCTGATACCATCGCGAGGGGTCCTTTAGCGCCAGGAAGTCTTCAAGGGGAAGATTGTAGTCTCGACGACCATCAGATCGTGCTCCATCGATCTGGCGGAAAGTGGTACCGCTGCATATCCGAATGAACGGACGCGTGGCTTCGGTTGTGTTATACACCAGAACGTTCAGCGTGGTGACCCCTATATAACCAGAAAGCTCTCGAATATCTTTGCAAATGTCGCCACAGAGCACGATGCCTTCGGCAGGCCTCTCGCGTGAGGCTCGACACATGGAGAAGAAAGGTGACGAATCTTTGAGATCTCGTCCGGTGTTTCTTTGAATCTCGCTGTCATTGATCAGTGGAAGTGGCTGGTAACGCTCGGAGGCGTTGAAAGGGGTATGAATGAGAGGTCGCTCTTTCCATTGCAGTGTGTTGAGCGAAGGGTAGGTAATATCAACTCTGTGGTGCGGTTCGATCATGGGTATATTAGGAGACCATATTGGACTTGGGCTTGCGAGCGTATTGACCGGTGATGCCACCTCGCCAAAAGTGAATCCTGACGTGTGCTGGGCGATGACGGCTGGCACCTCTGCATTACCGTGAATACGTAGCCAGAGATTCTCACGAGAACTCATGTTGTGTTCGATTGCTTGTTGACGGTATGAAAAAAGGGAGGCATGGTGATGACTGGCTATTCGGATCGTCGAGTAGCGAGTATTCTTCCTTTGTTTCGCGATGTTGAGACTCTTGACCACAAGTGTATGAAAGATCCGCCTTTGTCAGAGGTTCCAGCGTGAACAAAACAAAAGAGCCGGAAACGGCCAACAGCGCATTGGGAGTTGGTGGACTTGAAATTCGAAGCCGAGCGACTTCACCCGTAGCATGGTTGCGAGGTTTCTCGCTCATAAGCACTCGCAGCCGCTGACATCGTACTCATTCAGCATTGACATGGATCATATGAGCGCCCATTATCGACGACAGTCGTGCACCCGTCTCTGAAGCTCCAGCTAATCTTCTCTTCTCCATGATACATAATCTCCCTTCCTTTTTGCCGCACTGTCGGCCGGAGGCTGGATCTTAAGAATGATGCTCTGATAGCCGCCGAAAGTCAACGGTATTAGCCACATCATAGATCAGGTGAGTCAAAAGGAGAGCCTGGCACAAGGATCCCATAAGCTGCTGTTTTCCTGAGAATCTGGTCTGGAGATACGGATAGTTCTCAACCAGGTCGATGTTATGGCAACCATTCCTGTGATGTTGTATTAGTCCGCGTGTGAGAACAGACGGATGGACGGCATCGTATCATCAGGCTCGTCCGACATGTCCGACATGATGAAGATTCACGGTTGATGGTCGATTGGAATTGCAGGAACGCGGCGTTTCCGACTGCTGAGTCAGACGGGGACAATGAGACTGACTTCACGCGGAAGGCCAAAGTCGATTGCAGCTTTTCACATCGACAGAAAATGGCCCAAAGCGAGACCTCAGTAAGCGACACCGCCTTCGACCACTCCTTCGATTGTATTCTTGWAGATTCCGCAAGACGCCTCAGCATTGTTGATAGGTCGAGGTCGAGGTCGAGGTTAATAATGCCCTATTATCAACCCCACAGTCAGACCCCCCGCCTTTCGATTTCGGCAAGACCGGTCCGCAGATCGGTAAGAGATGTTTTTAGCCGCCCTTAGTCATGTTAACTACAAGGCAACAGATACTACCCTTTACGGTATAGAGCGGTACCTATATACTAAGCTATACCGTTTTAGCTTAGTTTACTTAAGTAGGCCGCTATAACTATTATAGCGGTCTATATAACCGTATTCGGTTTCTATAAAGGGTTTAGCGTTAATAAATAAGGAGCTTGTTTTAATATAAGGCCTTAAAATAAGGCTAGATGCTACTATCGCTATTATATAGGGAAAACCTCTAAAACTCTTACTACCCTTATTATTATTATTATCTATAGACTCTATTAATTTCGAGTACTACTAGCTACTAGCGGTATCTATAGAACGGCTAATAAGTATAGCTAAGCGAAGGAAAGGTAAGGCGCTAGCTATAAAGCGATAAAACCGCTAAACTATAGAGTAATTAGCTAGGTCTACGGATAATAGTAGTAGTTTTAAAAAGCGTACGGTTAGCTATAGAGGTCTTACTAGTAACGCTTAACTAGCCGCTATATAGTCGTTTATCGATAACTACGACTACTATAGTAACGGCTTCGGCTATCGCGTAAGGGCATCCTTCGAGCGTAAGACTAGTATCGTATATAAGTCCTTAGAGCGAAGGATAGTAGTATAGGAGAAGGAGTAGGCTCTAAAGTTCGAGGATTCGTATACTAGTAAGGAGGAAGAGAACGCCCTATATTAAAAGATAAGGGAATAGTATATATTATAGAAGGAATATAAGAAAAAGAAGCGTTAAAAAGAGGCTACTCGAAAAGAGGATAATAATATAGCGGATCGCTTACGCCTTAACCGTAATACTATAATATAGGCTCTATACTAGCGGAAGCGGAAGCGTACGGTTAAGGAGCTAGCGGTTAAGGATACTTCTAAAGTAACGAGTTCGGTATACTCGGTAAATAAGGATAATACGAGTATTAATAAAGATATAGTAGATAAGGATATAGCGGATAAGAATATAGTAGATAAGAATATAGCAGATAAGGTACGGATACTACTACCGCCTAGCTAAACTATTTACTACTTTAAGAGCGTTACGAGTATAGGTACGCTAGTACGTAGTACTCGCTCTTATAATATATCGTATACTTCTTCGACTTAGTCCGCTTATACGAAGAAGCTACGGAAGTTACGAGTTATGTAGATACTAGAGTCCTTAGAGGCATCGGATAGAAGCTATATATTTTAGGCTATAGTAGCTAAGTATAGAGGGTAGTTAAAGCTTAAGGAGCGGCTCTAAATAATAGCTACTAATATTAAGGATACGGTAAAGGATAGCATAAAGAATGCTAATACGGCTCTTAGTACTATTACTACGCTCTTATAATAGTAGTTAATGTAATAGTAGTAATAATAGTAGTAGTAATAGTAGTAGTAATAGTAGCGGCTACTACTACTAGTACTTCCGCTAGTTAATAAGTTTTAGTAGATTAAGGGTAGATTACTAAACTTTCTACTACTCTAATATTTAATGCTATATATCTTTTAAACTAATAGTCCGTTTTTTATAATTTTTATTCGAGCTTCTTCGCCGTGTCTTATTCTATATTACTATACGTTAATATATTAATAAAAAAATACATAGCTATTATAGTTCGTAAGGATTAGCCGCGAAGTTCGTAGCATAATAGTATACTTAGTATTAGAATAGTATGCTTAGTATTACCGAGGGAGCCGTTTAGACTTAATCCTTTATATTAAATTACTACGAATCTTTCGAATTATTATACGCTATCGCTAAGTATCGATTTTAGCTAGTAGAATAGTTAACCTTAACGGTACTAGATACGCCTCTTCGACGGTAGTAAGAAGGATAAAAAACTCTATTTGTTCGAAAAAAACCGTCTTATTTATTTATAGGTTAATCTATTCTTACTACGCCCTTTACTATCTTTACTACCTATATTATCCTCGCTAGTTAGCTTACTACCTTTACCTTTAACTTTTTACGAGGCCTTTATTACTCCGATTAAGAAGCTACTAGAGGTAATCCTCGTACGGCTTAATATACTTAAAGAAAGGATTACTATAATTAAGGAAGCTGTTAGAATTTAACAGGCTGGGGAATAACTGTGCCTTTGCTAAGAAACCACTTGTATTTAGTCTTTTAAGAAGGCTCTTCCTTCTCTAAATTACACTCGCTTACCCCGACTATCCTAGATGCTTCTCTCTCTCTTCGTCCCTAGATTTCACTTTTTAATAGGTTATAAGCCCGGGTTTTGCGCCTACTTTTACCTCTAAAATAAATCTAAAGAGAAGTTTTGCATTCTARTAAAGGAATCTACTCCTTAAATTTATTTAGAAGAGAAGGGAGGGGAAGAGGAACCCTATATAACTAAGATACCTCTAAGTTTAGCTTCTAAATAATACCCCTAATAGTTTAGGAAGAGAATGTAAATCTAAGGTACTTAACCTCTCTATATTAGATTAGATATTAAGTTTAGTATGCCTTATCTAGCTATAAATCTAGTAATTAGTCCTAGTCTTTCTACCCTATCTTCTAAGATAGGAAGAGGAACTCTCTCCTATAGTAAAGAGAAAAAGARTAATAGAAAGACCTCTAAAAATTTCTTCTAGAACCCTATAGAYAATTTAATAAGCTTAGYACTACYTATATAKAATTTTTACTTTAGGTTAAAGGACACCTCTATACTTTAATAARAYACTAATATAAAATGCTACTACTTAATCCTTAGRAGCTATACGTCTTTAGAATAGAATTTAGATTAGCTTTTACCTCTTAGTAAGCTACCTTTAAGCTAGAAAATTCTACTCTAAAGTCTATTCCTAAAACTACGACAAAATCCACTCTTAAGTTAAAATCTAGTCCTAAGTTAAAATCTATCCTTAAGTTAAGGTTACCTAAACTACCTCTAATCCTACCTTCTAAAGCTGCTTCTAAGCTAAATCTAGAAAGAGTAAGTTTAAAGGAAGATTAGATATAGTCTAAGGATATATTAGATTAGTTAAGAAAAGATCTTTTTAAGAGAATTTAGGATATTATAATAGAACTCTAGCTTAAGGATTCTAGAACTAGGGGAGACTAATACTTAGATTCTAAGAATCCTCTATCTAATCTAGAATCTAGAACTAAGTTAGATTTAGAACTAGATAATTTAGAGTCTAGTACTAGGTTAGATCTAGAACTAGAGGATTTAGGATCTAAGGAATGTTCTAACTTTTTAGATCTAGAGTTAGTTAGGTTAGATTTAGAAGATTTCTAAAAATAGGGGAGCTAGATTAGGTCTAGGGAAATAGGGGAGGATTCTAAGGGAATAGGGGAGCACTAATGTGCCTTTTAGTAGTTTTTTCCTTCCTTTTTAAATTTTAGAATTCTTAGACAGAGATATAGCTATAGGGGAGTATTAGAATTTAACAGGCTAGGGAATAACTGTGCCTTTGCTAAGAAACCACTTATATTTAGTCTTTTAAGAAGGCTCTTCCTTCTCTAAATTACACTCGCTTACCCCGACTATTCTAGATGCTTCTCTCTCTCTTCGTCCCTAGATTTCACTTTTTAAYAGAAGCTATATTACCGGATCTAATATACTCGTAGTACGACTAGCCCTTAGCTAATCGAATAGATATTAATATTAAGTATAGCTTAGAGCGTAAGTTATAGGTACTCTAATAGCGAAGGGGGGCTAAGACCGTATTAATTACTAGTTTAATTACTTCTAAAGCAAGTATAGTAGTTAGTTAAGAGGGCTATAATAATAAAGAACGAACTAACGGCCTATAAGCTATAGTATAGCTATTTAGCAACGAAGTTATACGTCTAATACCTTAATACCTATCCGAATAGATGTTCTATAGATATACGTACGCTTAAAAGCGCTTTATTATACGCCTTCTACGAAGGTATAAGGTAATAGTAACTAAGGTCGCTCTTATACGGAGCTATAATACCCTAACTACTATAGTATATAGGATCGCCGTATAGATATAGTATT